AACTCTTAATGGGGAAAGGCAAGAACTTAATTTGGTTGCTGTCTGGCAATCTCATATAACTGATTTAGGGTGGTGGCTTCTAACCTTTCTAACCTTTACTTAATCCGATTTGATTCTGTCTAAAAGTCATGGGATCACCCAATGACCAGACCCCTCCAGCACTGATGCCATTTTAACTTTTTTCATATTCTATCCTTTGTCTTGTAAAGAGATAACTCACATACCTATGCCTTAAATTTAGCTCTAACCCTCAACTTGGGGAAGCAGAAGCTCTGACTGCCCATGGGTCCTGTCCCCATGCTACACTATTCTCTAAATAAAAGAGCACTACTGCCAGATCTTGAGAGTCCAAGAAATCTTTCTTTCCACTCCTTGGCTCACCGACCCCGCATCACACAGAGTGGTTATATACCCCCAGACAGTATGTTTCACATGTGATTGAAATGTCCCTTCCACAATAGTCACAAGATTGCCCTGTCAGCACAGTGCTTGATGGACACAGCAGGTAGTGGTCTGCTATCTTGGTGGGCGTAGCAGGAGGCAAGTTGATTGTGGGGGGGGGGGGGGTCACAGATGAGCGCAGCAACCAGTTTCTAGCCTAAGGAAAGATACTTAATCCTTAAGGAGGCGCCAACGTTGGGAGGGGGAGGGAAGTTGCACCTTTATCTCAAGGGCCTTTGCTCTTGACATAGGGAATCTCTAAAGCAGATATGCAATGCATGCTCAACGGCCTCGGTCAGGCCCTTTTGGAAAGACAAGGTCAGGCCGAATTAGGTTTACACCAAATGGCTTCCTCATATATTCCAATATATCCTATTACTTGCCATTTTTATTTGTCACCTTGAAGGCCACAAGCACAGTGAGAGTTTTGGCCAAGACAGCAGAAACAGCCACAGTAAAAACAACTCCAAATGCGATTTGTTGAAGAATGCAGGTGGCTGTGTTGGGATGACTGATGAAGAGTAAGGAGCAGAGGAAGCACAGGGTGAGGGAGGTGAGCAGGATGTAGCTGAGAGTCCGATTATTGGCCTTGACTGTGGGAGTGTCTCGGTGCTTCACAAAGATCCCCAGGACCACAGCTGTGAGGCCAGAGAAAGAGAGAGCTGTGCAGGCCAGGGCCGTCCCCAAGGGGTCTTCATAAGCCAGAAAGGTCACAACGTTTTGAAGGCAGTGGTCTCGCTCTCTGTTGGCATACTGATGGTCCGGACACCTGACACACTGATCCATGTCTGGGGAGAAATGCAAACTGTCATCAGCCCAGCTTCAGTAATTCTGTCATTCACAGGCCCCCAAAGAAGGGCACTGGACAAGTTTAGCGAAATTGTCCTCCTCTGTTGCTCTAGACACCAAGTAAAAGAACGCTCTGCAGGGAATGATTCCCAGTTAGTATTGCCCATCTTCTTTATGGTTCAGTAACTAAGGTGTTAGTGTTATTTGTATTTATCTTGCATATTCATCAGAGCACTTTCTTCTTTGAAGAGAACCAGAAGACATCCCTGCGTCACTCAGTTATCCTCATATACGCTGTGGCCTGTTTTTATTCTTTCAATGAGCGAGCGCTTATTGGAAAACCACCATGACAGATAATATGCTATGTTTTGGGTAAATAGAGACGAACAAGTCATAGACCTCATTCCTAGAGACATTCAAAATGACGCACTTTCTTCCATCTAAAATGATTTCCAATACATTTCATCTCGATTTCACGTCCACTACTTCACTTAAGAGTCTAGTCTCATCTCTCCTATGTTATCACAAGAACTTTCTACTCGTGTTCCCTCCCCCAGCCCAGCATCAGAAGTCATGTTACATGTAAATGTGATCATGTTTATCCTCCACTAAAAAATTCCATTCCACAAATTCTTAGAAAGACCACAGAGATGCTATATAACCTTGGTCTTGCCTATCTCTACTACCGCTGATTTTTAAGATTCTCAAATCTTCATGCAGTTCTCAAACTGTCCCATGCCCGCTCAGCCCTGTAGGCATCAATGCCTGCTTTTTCCTCCTGCTTGAGACATTGCTCCGTCTTCCGTATGTTCCACTAAAATCGCTAGTTTTTCACACTTACATCTACCATCTACCTGATAATTTCTGTGGATGGTACGAGTGAGTTAGAGAGTCATTATTTTCTCCGTGCATATAGTCAATTTGCCCAACAGGTATTTTTGAAAAGACTTTTGTTTTCCCTCTACTCCTCTGTGTTTCCTTGTCATAAATCAGATGTGCATATATGTGTCCCTGTGTGACCAGCTTGTATCTGAACTTGCCATTTGCTTCCATTGATTTCCTTGTTTATCCTCACCATCAAGCTATGCTACTGTGATGCTATACTACTTGATATCAGGGAGAGTAAGTCCTGCCACCCTATTCTTTGCTTTTGAAGTCCTATCTATGCTTTTCCTTTATCATTTCCATATGAATTTGTAAGGAATAATTTCCACAACAAAACCAATTAGGATTTTGATTGCAATTGTATGTTGTCAGTAGATTGATTTGGACAGTATTGATATCTATACAATATGGGCTCTGGTCAGACACAAACATGGTTTATCTGTCCTCTTCTTTTTTTTTTTGTGAGGAAGATCAGCCCTGAGCTGACTACTGCCAATCCTCTTTTTTTTTTTTTTTTTGCTGAGGAATACTGGCCCTGAGCTAACATCCGTGCCCATCTTCACCTACTTTATACGTGGGACACCTACCACAGCACGTCATGCCATGGGGTGCCAGGTCTGCACCCGGGATCTGAACCAGCGAACCCCGGGCCACCGAGAGGCAGAACATGTGAACTTAACCACTGTGCCACCGGGCCGGCCCCTGTCCTCTTCTTTCAGTCTTCTTTTATTTTTCTAAATCCAATTCTGTAAACTTATGGACCAAAGTCTTTCAAAATTTTCATTAGGTTTATTTCTAGATATTCCATACTTTTAAGTTGTTGTAAATGTCACCGTTTAAAATTTAAATTTTGAATGCCTTATGATTGGTAGATGGAAATAAAAATTTGTTTGTATATTAGCCTTGTTTTCAGCCACCACAAGACTCAGTTGATTCATTAACTTATCAGGATTTTATACTTACAAAATAATGTTGTCTGGAGATAATGTCAATTTTATTTTTTCCTTTCCAATAAAATATTTCTTTTCCCACCAATATTGCACTGGGGAGGGCCTCCAGTGTAATATCTAGTAGCATCGGTAATACTGAACATTCATCTCTCATCCTTGCTTCCAACACTGGGCTTTCATCTTTGGTTCTGTAAATACTCTTTATGGGATTGAGAGAGTTTCCTTCTAGTCTTCATTTTGTAATAGTTATTTTTGTTTGTTTTAAAACATGAATGGGTCTTTAATTTTATTATTGCTTATTCTGCAGTTATTGAGATTATGATTTCTTTTTCTTCAGGGACTAGTGTACTGAATTACATTGCATGAACTACATTTGGTTATGATATGCCCTTCTTATAAGATACGGCGGGATTTTTTTTTTTTTTTTTTTTTAGGATACGTGAGTTTAATTCATGAAAGAGAGTGGCCTGTAAATTTCCTTTCCTGTTATTATTTTGTTAGATTTTGGTTTAAGCTATTCTCACAAAATGAGTCAAAAGCTTTTCTGTTTTTCCTATTCTCTGGAAGAGTTTGAGTAAGTGTGTTTTATTTATTTCTTGAATGTTTGCTAAGATTCACCAGTTCTATCAAAGAAATATCCCACAATAAAATTTCATAGGAGTATTTTAAACAATAACTCAATTTCTCTAAGAGATATAATACTATTCAGAGTTTTCATTTTTCCTTGAGACAGCTTGGTAACTTTTTTTTTTAATGATTTTTTTCCCCTTTTTCTACCCAAAGCCCCCCGGTACATAGTTGTGCATTTTTAGTTGTGGGTCCTTCTAGTTGTGGCATGTAGGATGCAGCTTCAGCATAGCTTGATGAGCAGTGCCATGTGCGTGCCCAGGATCCAAACCGGTGAAGCCCTGGGCAGCAGAAGCAGAGCATGTGAACTTAACCGCTCAGCCATGGGGCTGGCCCCACGTAACTTTTATTTTCTTGGGAATTTGTGAATTTCATCTACATTTTCAGTGCATCAATAAAATATAACTTACATTTTCTTGATGTTAGCTGACAACATTCTCCATGGATGGTAGTCTTCATCCCCCATTTTGTTCAAATTTCACATTTTATTTTATTTTTAAAGAGAAAGTTAAAAAAAATATGCCCCCATTTCATGGTGGAAACGAGACAATGAAACTAAAACCAAGTAGAAACCTGAAGTTCTATACACCCTGAAGGCTGAGCAGCTGCATATTCCAGAGCCCAGGTACTAGGATAACTTCCCATCCTGGCCGTGAGGTCAGGGGCTGTCAGTGGGAGGAGACCTCGGAGAAGCCCCAGGGAGTCTTTGGAGAGGAGAGACTGCAGGGCCTCCAGGCTGGCAGCAGCGAAGGAGAACTCTTAAGTCCTTTGGATTCACAAATACCTTAAAGATAATTGCACTGGGTGGTCTAGGTGAATGCCTGGGTCATGACTGGAGCTGAGGGGTCTGCAAACCAGCTCTAAGCCAGTGTCCATTCTGGGCAGAGATGAGTCCAGGAACGGGTCTGGGTTTCTCACAGCCCCTCTATAGGCAACGGGCAACTTCTGGAGATATCAGGAGACAGATGCAGAGAGAAAAGCATGCGAGAGACGGACTGTTGGCTTGAGGATAGAGGAGTTTGCCAGGGAGGCAGAGAGAATGAGGAGCCAAGAAAGGCACCCTGAAAACACAGTGGGAAAAGCAAGATTGGTGCTGGAGAAAAGGAGAGTGGTGCAGTGAGAAATTCGCCAGGAGACAGCCTTGACCCCCACAGCATCTCTTTGTAACGTCCAACATGATCTTTACTGTTCATGGTAAACCTCGATTTTTATTTACCATGATTTTTCTTCCTTTTTTTTATTTTTAAAAGATTTTATTTTTTTTCCCCTTTTTTTACCAAAGGCCCTGAGTACATAGTTGTGTATTTTTAGTTGTGGGTCCTTCTAGTTGTTGCATGTGGGAGGCTGCCTCAGCATGGCCTGATGAGGATTTGAACTGGTGAAACTCTGGGCCGCCGAAGCAGAATGCATGAACTTAACCACTCAGCCATGGGGCTGACCCCTGATTTTTCTTCCTTTTTATATTAAAATCAATAGGATAATTGAGGCTGAGGAATTGGCATTTTGAACTTACATTTGTTTTTTCTAGTACTTGCCCTCAATGAAGAGATAATACCCACTCAAATGAGATTTATCTATGTTATATTAAATATGATTTCATAAATTATTATGATTTTGCATCTAATTTTAACATAAAATCCATCAGTCTTTGTCACATGTTAATTCAGACATAGATAATTTTTATATCATAAATTAAGTACCTCTGATTTCTTCCCTGGCAAACTTGTCTAGCTTTGATTTTGGAATCTTAGCAATGACCATACTCCGTGGGGCATTATTTGCCACTTAGAGAATCTTGGCAGCCAGCTTAGTGCCTTCATTCCCGCACTAGATCTGGAGATGTGGAAATGCATTCACCTTGCTCGCAGCATCGAACACATAGTAATTACTCTATAAACATGAGATAAATGAATAATCAGTGGCATCATCAGGTCATTCACAGAAGCCAGACTGAGACAGAGCTTTCCTAGGTCAGGAAGGAGAAGGATTCATTTATATTTGCAATGTTTTAATTTTTAACATTATAATGTCAACAGCGAATGTATTATTTTTATTAAAATGGGTTCTGAAAGTTTTAAAAAAATGTCGAAATCTCAGAGAAGAGAAAAATAAACCTCTTTGAACCTATCACTTGCTTCTAAGATTGTCAACTCATAAACCACCTGGCTTTATCTTCACAATCCCCACCCCCCCCCCCAATTAACCAGCTACAGATGCTGAGAGCACATCATTTCAGGTGTAAATATTTCAGTATTTCTTACAGATGAGAGATTTTTGGAACGCAAACACAAGTACATTATCACACACAAAAATTAAAATGTCATCCCTATAATCAACTATCTAGTCAGTATTTAAGGTCTCCCAGTTTTTGCTAGGCTGTTTCTTGGTTTTACATTTTATTTGAGTCAGGATCTTAATGATCTTCATTTGCAATTGGTTGATCTGTTTCTGAAGTCACTTTTCATCTCTATATTTCATGCATCTTGGGCTTTGGGTGGGATATGCTTGTGTGTGTTTATGTGTCTACACCACTGTGTGAATTATTTCTTTCCTGGATGGCTGGGCCCTGTCAGGAAGGGCCTGGGCTATGGGGAACAGCATTTATACTCTGACCCGGGTTGACACGTGCAATCTTCAGAAAGGAGGGGGAAGATTACCAAGGCATTCACGTGACCCTTGTCTTGCAGGGTGTTTCCAGGGCATGATGTTCAAAAAGCTGGGTGGTAACATTTTAGCTCCTGGTCATCGGGTGGGTTCTCAGGGTGAGCTCAGAGCAGTATCAATTCACTACCTACATGGAAAGCATTTCAGTATTTTGATTGGTGAGGTTGTGTCTGCGTAGGCCCATGTTCATCAGTTTGGTGGCATTCCCCTTCTGGACGCCTGTCCCTGCTCCTCTCATGCTTCATCTTTCAAAACTCCCAACAGAAAAGTTTCCCATCCCCATAGCACATAACCACATAACCACAGCACAAGACTGGGGAAAAGAACACAGCCATCCTGGGGACTACATGCTCCATAGGTTTGGGCCCAGCTGGCCCTTTAGGTCAAGTTGGGGTCAACACGACTGAGTGTGTAAATTAGTGATTGTCCGAGACCATGAACCTCAGAACCACATGGGCCCAGACGTCACCCAGGGCAGCAAGGGAGAGTGTGGGTCATTCACTGGCCAATATTAAGGTCCCTTATCCTGGCAAACCTGATCTTACTCAAGCTCCGTCAGGCCCAGCCAGGGAGGAATGGCCACAATGTACCTGACAGAGAGGCTGGGGGTCTTAGGGAATTTCTGCCCAAAAATAATTCTAGAAGGAAGTGCAGGGATGCTGGAAATCCTAGTTCACAGGGAGCAGTGATGACTATGGAACAAAGCCCTGCTGTAGCTTTAAAAGCTGCATCACAAATCTTTCCCTCTGGATGGGAAACAAGCAGGAAAAGGACCTGCAAGTTCATGGACCAGGATCCCGGGAGTAGTCCAATCCAGGTAATGGGTGAACAGGGAGCCCCTAGAGGCGGCCTGTGGAGGGATGTCCTGCCTGCCCTTAGTCCGTCTGCAAATGGTCTTCCTCTGGCCTTTTCTCTCCCATGTGCAAACATTTATCTTTTCACATTTTTCCCCATTTAGCATTGAGGCATTTACAGAGATTGACTACAAAACTACACGTTCCAATAATTGATCAAAAGAAAGCTCAACAAGAGAAGCAGAAAACATTCCTTCTGCCTCAAAAGCTGTAGAAAGGCAGCCACTGTCCCGGGGCAGGACGTGGTCCTGGCAAGTGCCATCTGGAAGACATGCACATTTCTGTGCTGGTTGCTCTGCTGGGACAGTCCCTCCAGCCTCTAAATCCAAGGGGACCTGAGGGCCTGTCTCTGCTCCTGCCCCAGGGGAAGCACACTGAAACGAACCTGTCCTCTGAGGAACGGGGACTTGGGGGGTCCTTAACTAGCTAGGGAGGGGGTTGGCCTTCCTCCCTTCTCTCACATACAATAAGCTGTGACCACACGAGTTCTTAATTCACGGATGGATGAGATTCTGTGTCTCATTTACATGAGCACAAGAAGTGAAAACCACACCACAACTCCCAGGCTATAAGAGAAACACGATTTTAATATAACATTCAAATCTAACATTCACAATTAAACAAATAATGTTGCTGCACACTAATAGGTAAATAGGCACTGAAGTAGACATGTCAAGGGAGTTGGGGGGTCACCCCCTCCCCATTGGGCTTTAGGGTAAACCAAGAAAAAGCTTACAAGCTGGCCCAGTGTACTCCAAGCTTCCCAGCTGTGTCCCTGCTGCTGGAGAAGCGGCTGAACTGGTGGTGGTCTCCTGAGTGTGACGGCCCCTTGCCAAGGGCATGGCAGCTGAACAGAAGAAACACACTATTTTGGGGTGCCTCCCTGAGATTCATGGCCCACCTCCCTGCCCCCACTGCACTCTGTGCTCCAAACCCTGTGCTGAGTGCTCAGTGCAACCACAGCACCCCATTTGTCCCTGACATTCAGGTACCATAAAGCATCACCCATTTCAGAGGAGGCAACCGAGTCCCAGAGAGGACAAAAGAGTGGCCCGTCACAGGACTGGTCAGCAGTGGAGCTGGGATCCAGGCACAGACTGAGCCCAGAGCTTTATGAGCCCCTGGATTCAGTCCCTGCTGCTCCCGACACTCACTCAGCCCCAATCTTGAGGATGGCCGGTTCTTCTTGGTCCTGAAGAAGCCTCACATTTTGCTCACCTTCAGGTCTGGGGGCTCCAGCTGGCAGGACAGGCTGTAGCTACAGGACAGAGTGGACCTGTGAGCTACCAGGAGCCACACCTCAGGTGTCCCTCCCAGAGCCTGCCAGCAGCTGGAGTCTTGGTTCCCCAGGGATCACCAAGCAAAAAGGTCTGGGGCTGGTCAGAGAGCAGTGGGCACATGGTCCGGAGCTGGCCATCAGAGAGAGTCTGCCCTGCACTCACCCAGCTCCTGAGCCCTCACCTCTCATCCTCACGGAGGGGCTCCATGGCCTGGAACCAGGCCCCAAATTACTCCTCAGGCTTCAGGTGGCGTTCATTGGCAGCCTCTTGGAGCAGCTGGATCCTTTTAATGACCTTGAATTTCTGGGAGGAAGGACAGGATGCAGACAGGCCCTGGGTGGGGAACCCAGCCAGGAACTTGTGGGTAGTGAGGAGCGGCTCTGGGGTCTTTGCTCACTGGGAACCCTCCTTCCCTCCCACTCCATTCAGGACTTGCCTTTTCTCACAGTTGGGTTGAACTAGTTCCTCATCCAGGAAGGTGTCCTTGATGTCAGCCCCTCCTCCCACCCACCAATGTGATGGGATTCCCAGCTGCCTGTATCTAACTCTCTAACACATAAAGGATGAGGCCAGAGAAAGTTTTGCCAGGGGAGGTCTCTGATTTCCACAGCCCCACCCTCCCCGCATCGAGGGCACGACTGCTCACCTCACTCCATTTCTGGAAGTTCACCATATTTCCCTCGAAGGCAGACAGCCAATGTCCATCAGAAACAGCCCCCTTGGCCCATGACTAGCCCCCAGCCCACCCCTTCCCAGGTTGCAGGACTGCCAGGGCCTGGCAGAGGGCAGACACTGCCACAAGGAGAGCCTGAACCTGGGCCAGGCTCTGGGCTCCAGCGCAGGGGGGACAGGGGCACTGAGGCCAGAGACTGTAGCCCAACCCTCTCTGATGACAGACAGGGAGACTGAGGCCTCGTGCAGGGAGGGACAGCTGGACCACGGATGTGCTTCCTGACTTGCAGGGGCTGTCTTCACTCCCCCAGGGGTGGGGCCTGAGGGAGAGGCTGAGTCCAGCTCTGACACCACCTCCTGTGGCTCTGCAGTCAGGCAGCTCTGAGCTCCCCCAGCCCAGGGAGCCTGGAGGGGGGCTTATGCGGAGCTTTGGTTCCCACATCACTAAGATGGGCCTGAGGCCCCAGCTCCAGGGGCGGCCAGGAGGCTCTCAGGAGAGGAGGTTTGCCAAGAGCTGAGAGCTCAGGACCTAGTGTGGGGCTCTCACCTGGCCCCGCCTCCAGCCTCACTCACCTGCAGACAATCCTCCATCTCAGTGTCCAGCAGCTGCAGGTAATGGAGGAGTGAGTGCAGGAAGGGGATGACACACTGTGCCATCAGGGTGGGCGTGGTGATGAATCCTGGCACTCAAGTGTCCCCATGGACCCTCCCCCGAAAACCCTCACTCCAGCCTCCTGCCTACCCCAGACTCCCACATAGAGCAGCCAGAACCCTCAGCAGTCTCCCCCAGGAGACCCCTCCAGGAATACCAGTCTCCCCCATCACCTCCCAGGGTTGGCTTTTGGCAAATCCCAGGGAACATGGTCCCTGCCCCTCCCCACCCCAAGTCCCTCCTGGGCCCAGCACTGCCAGGCCTCCTCCTGCTCACTTCCAATGCAGGCAGTTCAGGCTCTTGGGGCCAGGAGCTGGGCTGGAGGAGGTGGGAGCCCCCTCTGGGTGGAGACCTCCAGCTGTGAGGGTGGAGCCCCCTCTCCTCGGACACATGGACCACTCACCTGCAGGCACCCTCACCTGCTGCTGCTGCCTCACCTGGGCTCCCCAGGGGCCCATCTCCAGGATCTCCAACAAAGAGGTTGCTTCCTGAAAGGTCAAGAGAAGGGTCAGGGATGCCACAGTCCCTTCCACATGTCTCCCAGGCCCTTGATCTTGGACCCTGGACATCTGGTGTGTGTGGCTGCTGCCATTTCTAGAGTGCTCTGATTCTCGATCAGTCCCAGCTCCAATACTCGCTCCTCTGTGGCCTCCGGTCTGCCCAGGCCCCTAAGCCTCTGTCCTCATCTGGAAAGTGTGAGGAGAACTCCACCTGCCTCCCAGGGCCTCCTGAGGACTCAGTGTCATCTGATTGTCATCACTGCTCTCCCCTCACCCCTCGAGGAGGAGGTGGCACATAGTTCCTGCACATTCCTCTCCTCCCTTGTACCTCATCCCCCGTTTGTGGGGCTTGTATCACACATCACCTCCCTCCATCTCCCAGATGAGGAGACTGAGGCTCACAGAGGGGCAGTGACTTGCTCAGAGGCCCACAGAGGAGAGACCCCTTCCCCTCCCAGCCAGAGGCCCTGTCTCCCTGCCTTCACCCCACCTACAGACACACCTCTGAACAAGGTCATGTCCTCTGGACTCTCAGGGTTTAACAAGGCCCTCAGCTATGCTGAGCCATATATGGGGATGGGCAGGCTATCTCAAGGGGCCTGTCCCAGTGACATCTGCCTGTCCCAGCCCCCTGGGATTCTCTGACCCCAGGCTGGGCCTGAGGCCATGCCAAAGGCCTCAGCTCCCTAGGATCCCTCAGGACGTTCCCTTGAACAGAACTCTCTATTCATCCACTCAGGAAGGGGACCCACAGTGGCACATCTGAGTGACGGTGTAGGGGGTGACCAGGGCACTGAGTGATGGTGACATTTGCTTCCTTTTGTTCTTGGAAACTTCTAACATCCAGTCAGGAAGGTCCATGAAGTATCTATTGGATCCCCCAATACTCTCACTGCCCTCTGGGGCATGTGCCCTGCCAACAGGGCACCAGGTGAGAATCCCACTGGGTGTGTCAGCAGTGACCACTATCAGGGCACAGTGGGGAGTCCCAGAGAGCACACAGTTCTGTCCCAGGTCCACCATTCATCCCAAGGCTGGGCAGCCCTCATGTCCACCTCGCCTATGGGACCCCGCAGTGCCCATCCCTGGGGCAGGCAGGGTGCCCTGTCCTTCGAGGTGCAGTGAAGACAGAAGGAGCATCAGGGGCCTGGCTTCCTGAGGACAGATTGGGCTGCTTTAGGAAGAAAAGAGTCCCTGCCCCCTCCATCCACCCACAGCCTGGAGAGAGTCAAGTCCCAGCTGATGGATCCGCATGAGAACCAGGGACCTGCTCATCCTGCCTGCTCCTCGCCCTCCTGGAACAGTCCAGCCAGCACCCCTGGGCCCCCTGACCAAGGCCTCCTGCCCCTAACTGCCCCCACCCGTCCACGCAGCTAACACCTCTCTTCCTGTCAATCAGAACAATATAGACGGTTATTCCTCAGAGAAACTTTAAGGGAAAAACTAAACCAAGCACATCCAGCCTGCTCCCTCCTCCCCTCTCCCCTCCCCTCCTTCCAGATCTGCAGCCTCCACTCACCTCCATGAGCAGCTTCCTGCTCACACTCTGAGCGGTTTTTTAAATTTTTGAGAGCTCTTCCTGAGGGGGGAAAAGGAAAGAATACCTGTTGGGTGTATTAAAAGTAAATCCCATTTCTTTGAAAACCCAGAATATCCAAACATCCTGGATGAGGGTTTTCCCTGGGTCCTCTGAGCCCTGGGATCTCCATGAGACTGGGGAGGGGGCTCTCCTGGTGTCGCCTGGGGCCTCTGTTCCTATAACTACTGAGCAGATGTGTTTTCAACATTCGTGGTTTCAGTTGGACAGAGAGTTCTGTTGTTGCAAAGCAAATACTTGAGAATCTTCAATTTGCCTCAACCCAAGATCTGACATTCAGGGAAACTGATTCCTGAAGCAGAACCACTGGCTTAAGTTTCAGAAGAGACTCAACCCCCAACCATGTCAGTCCCTGTGCTAGGGTGGGCTGTCTCCTGGGAGGTCCCAGCCGACCGAGGAGGCAATGCCAGCCCTATGGCGGGTGTCTGGTCCATCAAGGTGTTGCTCATATGGAGAGAGGCCTACCCACCTGGAAACGTGTCCCCATGTCTTTTTGAGCCGATGGATTGTGCAGCTCTGCAGAGCAGAGAGGATGGCGTGGAGTGAAGGAAACTTCCTCAGGCCTTGGCACGCCTGAGGAAGGGAAGAGAAGGAGCTGTGAGGGGAGCTGGAGCCCTGCTGCCTCTGGCTTCTGTCCCCTCATGGATATCTCCTGTCCTCGATGAGACACATGTTCAGGGAACCCGGGGAGGGCACCCCTGGGACCTGATGAGTAACACTCCCAGACTGGAGGATTTGAGCTCAACCCAAGGAAGGAGCCCAGGAAGAAGTGATCTTCCCACACTGGGACCAGGATTCAAGGTCAGTGAGGCCCTGGCAGGAGGGGCCTGGGGATTGTGCAAGGGATCAGAGCACAGACTTCAATCCCGAGAGCTGAGGAAGGAGAAGGGGCTGTTTCCATGACTCCAGAGAGGGGCTCCCTAGGCCACCCAGAAGGTACCTTGGACACCTGGATCCAGAGCTCCACCACCCTGGCCCTGTCCTGGGCTGTCATGCTCAGGTCTCCCAGGCAGGTGGTGACAACACAGTTGACCACTGTGATAAACTGGGTGACGGTGGCACAGATGGTGGGTGCCAGGTGCTCATTGCCCATGTTGTCCCATGGGGATCAGATGGGGTCCAGGCAGTGGTGGGGCATCACTTGCTTGAACAGCCCCTGGGAAGCAGGGAGTGTCACCCAGCCCTGCCGCATCCCTGCTCAGCGTCCACAGCCCACAGTCCCAGGCCGGGACAGTGGTCAGAGCTGGAGCACAGGAAGCTGAGGATGTGGCCTGGGGCTTGTGGGGGTCCCTGAGTTTTGTCTATGCCCACTGAGGGCACCCAGCACAGGATGACCCAGGACCAATAGTGTGGGGAAGGAAAGAGGCATTTGCTCCCAGCCCAGTCTCACTACTCCAGGCACCAGAACCCGGCTGATACTTGACCATCATAAGGGGCCTTGTCCACCCATTCTGATCACCCTGGGGCGCGACTCCCCACTCAATTTCACATACCTCTCAGACAGTGACAACCATGGGCTATGTTTGTTTGTCTCCCATTTAGTCATGTACACATGAGGTGCCTAATAAATGCTGAGGCTATTGAGGCCTCCTGTGCAAATAGATGATCAACCCAAGGACCTGACAGCACTTCAGTGAACTCCTCTCCCCGACCCAAGGGCCTGACTTTGCCCAACTTCCTCTCTGTTCTGCCTCATTCATCTGCACAGCCAGTCTGCATGGCAGATGCCCTTAGTGTCCATCTCTAGTGTCCACATGAGGAGAGCAAAGGCTTGGAAGTTAAGAGGTTGCCCAGGGCACATGATCGTAAGTGGGGAAGCTGAGACTGGACCTAGGTCATGAGATTCTGCATCAGGAAACGGCAGGTCTTGGGCCTCTGATGGCACAGGGAAGGCCGGCCCCACCTGCCCTGAGAACCCCGCTGCTCACCGCATCCATCAGTGTAAATTGCTCTGCAATCAGCTGGGGAGGGAACCCCAGGAAGTCAGGCTTCTCCTCCCACAGCAGGCTCTTGGTGGTCACAGCCCGGGGGGAGGTGGGCTCTGGGGCTGGATCCGGCTCTGATGTTCTCTCTCCACATGGAGGTAGAATTCTCCCTGGAGACAAGGGTCCAGCGGGCTCCAGCTGGATCTGGCCCTGGGGCTGGAGCTGTTGTTGGCATGGCTCTGGCCCTGGAGGGGCTGATGGAGGTGACACTTGCTCCAGCTCTAGCACAGGTAGTAGAACTAGAGCTGGAGCTGGCCTGGGCCATGGAGCTGGCCCCTGCTCTGGCTCTGGAGCTGGTGGGAGCTCTGGAGATGGTCCTGGAGCAGGATAAAGAAAAAGTATCATCAAGTAGATGACCTCCCCTGAGGCTTTCCAAAGACAGGAAGGACCCCACTGCCTTAAGAGAACCCAGCCTGTGAACCTCCTGCAAATTGTCTTCCCAGACTGCAGGGCCCTCACCTTTCAGCTCTGCCTCCACGGGCTCTGGAGCCTCCAGCTGGACTTGGAGGAGGGAGGCGTGGCCCTCCAGCTCTGAGGCAGGCGAGCTCACATGTACATGGGCCAGCTTCATCCTGAAGTGCAGAGGCTTCCAGAAATCCTGCATGGCAGGAAAACCTGCAGGCAGGTTCCCATCAGAGTAGAGATGGTGCTGGGTTGGGGTGCAATTGTGCAACAGATTCAGAGGCCTGGTCTTTCCCTCCACACTGCCCACGCAAAGCACTCTTGTTTGGGTCTGGGCCCTTTGCCTGCCCATTCCCATCCAGAGGAGAGTACCATCCCAGCCCTGACCCCTGTGTGGCTGTCCTGGTGGTGGCAGGCCTGCTCATCCAGCAAGTTGCACAGAGTCTGTTGTGAATCTCTTTTTTCCACCAACATTCTCTTCTCAAAGGGCCTGTACAAGGCCTGCCCCAGCTCCCCACGCACTTGTGCAACTGGACTGAGAACTGAGGCCAATTTGTGAGCAAGTTGCTCACACACCACCTCTTCTGGCCTGGTGGTGGTCAGAAGAGGTGGATGTGGAGGAGGGGAGGCAGATCAAGATGGGACTGTGGTCTCTAGGGGACAACCCAGCCCAGCCTCCACTCTGGTTCCCAGGAGTCCTGGGATCCACAGCTTTTTGACTCCTGTCCTCCTGGAGTGGAAGCCATCAGACCTAAGCCCTCCCATGGGAATCAAAATATGTGTGAGATGCAGGGTTCTGCCAGGCCTGCCTCAGCCACAGCCCCCATACTCTACCCCTATGCTGTTCTGCAGAGATAGGGAGCCCTCCTTCTGGACCCAAAGACCACTCAATTTTCTGGGTGGTCCGGTGGTCTGCCCTCTTGGTTGGAACAAGGAAAGATGCCTTCACATGTAGAGGAGACTATGAAGGCATCACTTGGGATGCTTTGTGGAGGACAGGACTTGTGAAAGATGTCTAGTGTGACTGTTTGACTCTCAGACTACCATTGAGGCCCAAGGATTTTTTCTGCTTCATTCATTGAGTTATACTAAGTGCCTCCAAATGTCCTGCAAGTAGTAGGTGTTTAATATACATGGTCAAATGGCTGAAGTCTAACCAGAACCATCCCAGATATGAGTGGGCCTGGGGCCCCTCTGAAGCCCAGAGATCCTTAATTGGCTCCACCAAGCACAAGGCCCAGGACCAGCTGGATGGAATCTCAAAATCCTTGACAGGGTGCTTCCCCATGTGCTTTGCCAAACTCAGAAAGACCATTTCACAGAGGTGAGTGAGACAGACTACTTTTACTTTTCATGGGGAAGAAGCAATAATAACCATGAACAACCACAGCTCACCCCACAGCCCCATCTGCAGAGCCAGGCACCAGGTAAGCACCCGCCATGGCTGATCCCATTATTCCCTCCAAGAACCCCATGAAGTTTATCCCCTCCTACCCCACTCTTCAGAGGAGCAAACTGAGGCTCAGTGAGATGCAGTGACATTTGCAAGACACATAGTCGGCAGTGGGCAGAATCACCACTGTGCTGAGGGGGGCAGGCACTCACCTAGGGAACAGCTGGTCCAAGACCAGGTGGGATATATTGAAGGCTGAGTAGTTGAACACAAAGGTGGTGACATTTGAGATGTTTCTACCCATTAAGGCTGGTGCCATGGACTCTGTCGGAGTTTCCATTGGGCCTGCCTGGAGGGCACGCATCCTGCAGGTCTCATTTAAATTCACAGTGGGGTCATCTTCACACTGGGTGGAAGGAGGAGGGACACACAGTCAGTGGCATCACCTTGAACCACCAAGAGGATTGAGGGGACTTTCTTCCTGCCCATGTAGCTGGGGGGGAGGAGGGGAGGTCGTGATTCCTGTGGGAGTGGGGCTGTGGGACACTCCAGAGAGAAAACACTGGGAGGGTCCCAGGGGAGTCTCAGATTTGAGTCTGGATGCTGGTACTGCCTCGGTCATGTCAGAGTCCCCGGTTCGAAGACCCCACAGCATCCATGCTCACTTCAGACCAACCTTGGTCATTGTTGGTGGCCTGGTGCACCTGCCTCCTGTCCAGGGAGGTGGTGTAGTTGAAACCATCCACCAGTTCCTCGACCATTTCTGGGGGCAGCTCTGCAAAGACAGTGCCTGGTAGTTCAGGAGGCATCAGGGGCCTGCCTGGATTTCACCACCAGGGGAACCCCCACCACAGATCAGGCTCAGAGGGGATCTGCATAGACCTCCACCAGGGAACGAATGCAATGACACCGTAAGGGCTTGGGATTCACATATGGATAAAGGAGCTTGGTCCCCAGCACTCACCTTCCTATCCTTCCTGCCAAGATCTGGGGTATGAACACGATACACCACTGGGATTCCAACACCTAACTACCTGCTCCTGCCCAGGGTAGGTACCCCCTTATTCCTTCCCTAACTCCACCCCGTCCCCCCCCAACACACACAATGAGGGTCAAGTGGTTTGGAGCTGCGCAGGTGGGATGAGTTGTGACCTGACCTGGAGTAGCCTGCCCTGGGCTGCCCTGTGTTACCTGAGGGTTCCTCCTGCCACATGGCCAGAGACATTGGATGTGAGAGCTGAGCCATTGTCTACAGCAACTGAAGAGGCTCTCATTCTCAGCTTTCTAGGAGCCAAAGATTCAGAAAGTTGGGGAACAGCATAAGAACATCCTGCTGTGTTGAGTGTCTCCACTCAAGTGAGCTGGACAGGAGGCTGTGTCTAGAATGTGTTTGCCTGGTAACCAGAATGCCGAGTTCTATTGGCATCTGTCACCAAGGAAGTAAAGTCACTTCTCCAAGTTTCCATTACCTGGGCCCCTTCCTTCAATCATACCCACCCAAAGCCCCCTCTCAGCTGTTGACTGCTCTCCCTCTTTGCCCGTGTCGTCTCCATCACTGTTCACAAATATTCATCACTGCTCTTTCCACAGCTCCTTGGGAGTGGAACCAGGGCCCAAGCTTTGAGGAGACACAGCTGAGTCCAGACCTCTTTTTTCCTATCAGTTCTGTGTCTGCAAAAGCCATTGTGCCTCTTAAGATCTCCCCAGTCTTCCAACTTGCATAATGGGGATGGTACTAAAAACAGCTTCCTAGGGACATTGTCAGGGGTATGTGTAATAATACCTATAACACCTGTGGGCTAATGTCACATGTGTGTGATACAGAAACTTAGAGATGGAAGAATTACAAGAAGGAGTAGGATGTAACGTGGAATACCACATAAAACGTCCCTAGGTTCCAGGCGTATAATCTAGGGACAGTCACTGCTCACCTGGGCCTCATTTTCATGTCTGTACCTTTAAGGGGCTGAAACTAGAGGAAGGTCGGTTATTGTCATCTACTAGCATTAAACCTTCCATGGTCTCCTGTTTTACTTAGGATCAGACCCAAGTGCCTCATCTTGGCCTATGTGGTGGGCACCCTCCTGGAGCGCACGCCCTTGTATAACCACTAAGTGGTTAGTAACTGGCTTCTGAACAACAGAATGCAGCCAAGGTGGTGGGATGTTATTTCCAAGTTTCAATTACAAAATGTCTGTCACTCCCCTCTTACTGACTTTCTTGTATTCCCTTCTTCTCTCTCTCCTTCTATTTCCAGCTCTCTCTCTCTGTCTTATCTCTGGAACTGAGAGAGCAAGTGCTGATGTTTTCAGTTGCCCTGTGTAGAGGCTCCATAGGAGAGAACTGAGGGGGTGCCCAGCCAACAGACAAGAACTCAGAATCTGTCTAAATGAATTCTGACAACACTCATATGAGTGAACTTGGGAGTGAATTCTCCCCCAGTCGAGCCCTGTTGAGACCACAGCCCCTGTGTCCTAGAGATCGTGAGGCAGAGCACCCAGCTAAGCCATGCCTGATGCCTGGCCCACAGAACTGTGAGATGTTAAATATTTGCACTTTACAGGTGAAAACTTTTGGAGGAATGTTGTCACAGAGGAACAGAAACTAACACAGTCCACCATGTCCCACGGTCTGGCCCTATCACCCTCCTCTCTCCCCTCTTCTTTCTTCTCAGGCTCCCTCCAGCCACGCTGGCCACCTTTCTGACCTCCTCTGGTGAGACTCACTTCTTCCCATAAGTTTCTGAACCAGGGGTGCCTTCTCCCTGACACACTAACTGTTCCCAGATATAGGCAGGGGTGGCTTACACTTGTCATTCTGGCTACAGCAAAAGACCCCTCAGTGAAGCCTTTCAGAACCTGCTATCATAGTCTCTACCATCACAGATCTCACATCCAGAAAAGCACTGCATTATTTCCTCTTTCTTGATCCCATTGAGATAAAGGGAGTCCACGAGGAAGTGCTCTCTGCTTTGGCTGAAGAAGATGCAACTCCTTCTGGTTCCACCAGGCACACAACTGTCTTTTTCAGGCTAGATTTTTACCACCACAAGTCCATTATTTAAGGAAACTATCTTTCCCTCCATTTCATGGGTTTGGTTCCAGAAAGAGACAGAAAATGAGCACCCAGGTTGAAACACCACCAGATCCTTAATTCACTTACTGCTGAGTGCCTCCCAACAATTTTGCAATTCAGTGGTTCTCCTGAGGCCACCTTTCCCCTGAGACCCAACTCCCAGCCTGTCCTTGGCTTATTAGAGTAACAATGAGATTCCCTCAGAGCCCTCCCAGCCCGAACAAGGTATGTTTTGAAATATCCTCCGCATTAGTTTTTAGGGACTGGGGATATTGGAAGGAGTAATTTGAGTGGATATGTGCAATAGTTTCTACGAAGGGATTATATTATTCAGGCACAGAGAAAATAGTGTGGCTATTGGATGTACCAAGAAAATGGATAATTGATTACATTTTTTCACAGTGTGAAGTCTTTAGAGAGCAAAGATCACAGTTCAGATCATAGACTATAGAGCCAACATCTTATGTTCAAGTCCCAGCTCAATCCCTTACTAGATACTACGATAGGGCAAGTTATTAACCTTGTTGGTGCCTCAGTTTCTTCATCTGTCATGTGGCAATAATGATAAGCATACCTACTTTGTAAGGTCATGGAGAATGTTAAAGGAGTTAATGTTTGAAAAAATGCTTATTTTTCAAGCATAAGAGAAGCACTGTATCTACGGATTATAATTAAATTTAAAAATTCTCTTGACGCTGTCCATAATCCCCAGATGGTCAGACTATTGCCTGGATGTGTGTAGAAATCACTCCACAACAGTCAATGAAGAAATGAATGTACAAAATTGGTGAATGCATTACCAATGTCACGTATGTCATTCTATAGGCATTTCCAAGCCAAGTCACACACAAGCATACCTGCTCTGTCCTGCAACATCTTCTTTGATTCTATCCAGGAATCACTGAGATTTCTTGGACCTTGGTAACCATGTCCACTAAAAGTTCTCTTTTCTCTGTCAGCAAACCCAGTCCTGTCCAATTCCTGCAGCTCACAGGGTCTGCACTCTGATCCTTTTCTTCGCTCAAGGGAGAAATGTCATCTCAGAGCGGGGTACACATAGTGCACGAGTGTTGGAGAAAATGTTTCCCTGGCCTGAGGCAGGTGGAAGAGAGCAGTGACAGAGTGCGATCTGGGGAACATCCTCCAGGTGTCATCAGAGGAGGTGGAGCCTGGGGATTTGTCAGCAAGGACTGGTCTGGTTGGCAGGCCTTGGTAGGTAAATAGTAGGGGAGGCCAGCACAATTCACAGGTCCTAGCATGATATAATCAAAATAATGGTCATGCAATCAGAATCAGCCTACTAAGGTCCAAATAAACCCAATGTCATCTGTTCCCTGACTGACTCACTAACCCAGTAGTGACTTAAGATAATGACATTCATGTTTTATCATTTCCTTTTCATTGATTAGAGTTGTTATACTTTACATATCTTGCGTATTTTTAAATAGTAAAGATAAAGTGAGATTTAAAACAACCGTCCATGAAAAAGTCTCCCTGACATATTGAATTAATAACCATGATGGTTATTAAGCCATGATGGGAAATTCACAAAAAATCTTGACCTTTAGTGTCTGGTTTTAGATTTTCCTGACTTCCAACTTCTTTCTTGAGATTAGTGCACTTAGGACTATGTAGGAGTGCAAGCTCACACCGTTTGAGAAGTACTGTTGGGACTGTAGGACAATATTTGTTTCATTCTTTCAGTGTGTGTGTGTGTGTGTGTGTGTGTGTGTGAGTGAGTGCTGAATCTTGCCCTGTGGACTGGCATAGACTCCTTTCTGTGGGAAAAAAATTTCCTAACTGCTTTCTTTTCACTCATGACTTGCCCTGCACTGTCCAACAGTAGCATTAAGCACTCTGTAATATGGAATTCAAATTTTTTGTAGTCATATTTTATTTTATTTTTTTAAAGGTTTTATTTTTTCCTTTTTCTCCCCCAAACCCCCAGTACATAGTTGTATATTCTTCGTGTGGGTCCTTCTAGTTGTGGCATATGGGACGCCGCCTCAGCATGGTTTGATGAGCAGTGCCATGTCCGCGCCCAGGATTCGAACCAACGAAACACTGGGCCGCCTGCAGCAGAGCACGCAAACTTAACCACTTGGCCATGGGGCCAGCCCCAGTAGTCATATTTTAAATAGTGAAAACAGGTGAAACTAATTGTAATCGTATATTTTAACCCATTATGACCAAGATATTATCATTTGTGCGTGCAGTCTATATAAAAACGAACAATGAGGTAGTTTACATTTTTTGCTGGGTTCCACAAATCCAGTTTGTGCTTTCCACTTACAGCACCATCTGAAATTGTAAGTTGAATTTTTTCAGATATACATTCTCTGTATTGAGATATTATAACATTCCCAGCTGTAAAATAAGATTCACATATCTGAGTTTGTAACCGAAAGTTCGGTCTCTGAACCCGATGCCAATCCAAATAACGAGAACAGAGTCTTGAGTGGAAGAGGAAAGGTTTTTACCATGCCAGGCACAGGGAGCAAAGCAAGGGCTCATGCCTCAAAAATTGCTAGCTCCCCGATGAGGAATGAGTAGGGATTTTTATCTGGGGCTTTGGGTAGGGGAGGGAGCGCATGTAGCTTGTGCAGGTCGGGGCTTTTCCACCAGCCTGCCTTTGGCCTTGAGAGGCTGCCTGCAGCAAGGTGGTGGGGGGGAGGGTGAGATAGGAGGATGGCAGGTGGGCGTCCTTTGCCTTTGTCTCTTGTCTCCTCTTCCTGTTTGAGGCGGGTTCGAGCGCCGGAGTCAAGGAGTTGAGGTCTGGGAAGCCTCCGGCTCCTTGATATTCTTGAGACAGCGGCTTTCCTGGCAGACTTCAAGGACACGTGATCAGCTAAACTTTAGTGTGCCTCCAACACCAGGCCACCTGGGTTTTTAACGATTTGTAACTCCCATTTAGTTGTAAAGCTCAAGGAGTCCAAGTTTAAAGAAACAGGTATTTACATATGAGTGGAGCTAGAGAAGCAGGAAAGGGGTGGTGGGTTTTAGTTTTAACCCCATATACGCTGGGTTCAATGTGGGGGACTGATATCAGGGCTGATGTTAAGAGCCTGTAACAAGTTGTTCCAAGTATACTTAAAAATGCTCCACTTCAAGATCATGTTGGATGACTAGTGAAAAGTTACTATCGGGTCTGGCAACAAAGGAGTCAATGTGAGCTTACACAGGAAGCACCATAGAATGGTGAGGGCAGATGGAGTGTGGGGTGGTCTGAGGAGGTAGTTGGAGGTGAGGCCACAGAGACACACGATGTAGATGACCTTTTCTCGGTGGTTCACAGCTGTGAGGAAACATTAGAGAGAGCAATTTATCTGTGAAATATCGGACAAGCTAAGGGGCCTTGAATATGTCTGAAGGAAAAAGAAATGTGAGGAACATTTGAAAAAAAACTTTGTGAAAAATCAAGGAGTAAATATGCCACACATAAAAGAAAGTAAAATTTCCTGACACTGTGTATGCTTCCCAGTTGATTCAGATGACTTTGAATTGACAGTGGAACCAAAATGTCACACTGTATGCTTTTCCTAGCAGTTATCATAAGACCAGCAGTAGCTAAGGTATGGCAGATAATCGGGATCTTCTGGGTTTGAAGTTTTACAAAGCAGATATGATGAGCGGTAAGGAATTTTGGATCATTCCGAGGGAATTACTGAGATCATAGACCATACAATCCAGCATGGATAGGAACAGGAGAAGAGAAGATAAGGTGAGATATGGGGATCTGGCATCTCTTCTGATCCTGAGGGACGGGTATCTATTGTATGAATGTTTGAGTAAAAAACCCAGAAATTGGGAATTTGTGATGGGTGAATATGTTTTCTGAATTATTTACTTTTGAACATGACCATTTGGGTTGATGGAAACATCTGGGATATGAGAGTATGTGGCTAGGAGTGGGGCAGATGCTAATTTCTCTGTTGATTTACGCTCTAAAGGAGCTACAAACATAAAGTGGTCAATGGGTTAATCACATGAATAGTCATATAGCACAGAAAAATGGTGGGATTTAGGATTTAGAAAAGACTGGGAATCATGTGTCCTGAGAGGGAGCACCAGGGATAGTGCAGTTGAGAGTGACAAGGACAAAAAAAAGAGTAAAATCCTACTCAAACAAGGAGAGGTTCTTACGAGATGGTGGAGGGGAAATGACCTAGAGTAGTCCTGAGTTTTGACTGTAAGCTTTCTGGTCTTGACCCACATCTCTTTGATGATGTCCCAGGACACAGGTCAGATCTATCCCCACACGGAGCGAGGGATGGTGGAAGTACAAGAGAGCTGAGATAATTGTCCAAAAAGGCAGGTTTCATTTGTTTTTTTAATTATTATTATTAATGTGTATTCAGTACTGGGGTACTTTTTTTTTCTGAGAAAGATTCATCCTGAGCTAACGTCTGTGCCAATCTTCCTCTAGTTTGTATGTGGGACGCTACCACAGCATGGTTGATAAATGGAATAGGTCCGCACCCAGGACCAAACCCATGAACCCAGTGTTCTTAAGCACAGCATGTGGAACTTTAACCACTCAGCCACAGGGCCAGCCCCTCATTTATCATTTTGATCCAATCTCACAATTTATTTTTATAGGGTAAGAGGAAAATGAGTATGATGGTCAAGTCTTCACAGAGGAACCAATCCAAACCAAAGCCTGGGTTAAGCACCTCCATCCCTTTGAGGCTGTCCAGTTACATCTTCCAGAGGTCAGTTACATCCCATCCTGGCAATGAGGTCAGATGCCATCAATGGGAGGAAACCCTGGAGCGGCCCCAACAAGTCTGCTGGCAGAAGAGACTGCAAGGGCTGCAGGCCTGCAGCAGTGCAGGAGAACTGTTAAGCCCTCTGGATCTTGCCAAAGCCTTGCACAACCTTACACCCAATTGCACAGGCACATCCCTGCCAGGCGTGCTCAGGGGTGGTCTGAACTCCAGTCCCATGCCTGCCCCTTTCAGGTCTTTAGATTTTGCAGAGATGATTCCAAGAGCTGGTCTGGACATCCCCCAGCAACTCTGTAAACAATTTCTGGTGACTGAGGAAGATATCAGGAAACAGGAAGGGAAAGTGAAGATGGCAAGAGAGAGACTGACAATGACGTTGGTTGCAGACAGACTTGCTAGTGAGGCGGAGAGAGTGAGGGGCCAAGAAGGACATCCTGACAAACACTATGAAAAAAAGAGAAGATGGCGCAGATGACATGGAACACCACATGATATTGATGCCTCTTTGCAGTGTTCCTAATGTTTTCTTGCTTTGAGCTCTAGAAACTTTAGAATATACCAATACTTTTCTTTCACTCAGTTCTTTGGTGTGACATAGAAAATATAGACAGTGATCCTTTTGAGGTGAGAGATTGGGTTTCAGGTGGGAGAGAAAGGAGATCTTTTCACGTTGTTCTCTCATTTTCCTTTTGTAAGTATATTGTTTATTTGTATTTTAAGGTCAACAGAGAGTTATCAAAGTCACGGGATTCTTTAGAGTTTTGCCCTCGCAGTCAGAGTAAACCTACCTAGGCCAAATGGATTATCTTTTTTGTGTAACATTCCAACAGATTCCAACATAATATTTCATTAAAGAGCTGTCACACCTGTGTTCCCAAAAAAGATATCCGTGTTTGGTTCTCTGTTTTTCTGTTATTTGTTGCACGTTGATTCATAGTTGCATATAATGAAATACCAGACTTTCCTCGGTTTTTTAGATTTATATGTGTTAGAAAATTGACATGTCTTTGGAGTATCATGCTATCAAGAGAAAGACTGTTTTCAGCATCATAATCTCACAATAAGCCACTGTGGGTTGGAATTTGTCTATTGGCTGATCAACTATGTTGTATTATTCAAATCCTCTATCATTACTTTTGTCTGACAGATTTATCAGTTTCTGAGAGCAATGTGTTAAACAATAATAGAATATCTTAGTATTTATATCTTCCCTAAATAATCAGTTATTTTCTAGTTAAATCTTCTCATTTCTATTCTTCCACGTGGCAATCATCTGGAATTTGGCTAGAGTGTGTTTTTAATGTATTGTTTTAAAATTAACACTAACTTAGGGGGGGCGGCCTGGTGGCACAGTAGTTAAGTTCACATATTCCGCTTTGGCGGCCCAGAGTTCCCCAGTTCGGATCCCGAGTGTGGACCTACACACTGCTTGTCAAGCCATGCTGTGGGAGGTGTCCCACATATAAAGCAGAGGAAGATAGGAATAGATGTTAGCTCAGGGCCGGTCTTCCTCAGCAAAAAAGAGGAGGGTCGGCAACATATGTTAGCTCAGGGCTAATCTTCCTCAAAAAAAATTAATACTAAATTAGATGCCCTATATTTTTCTTTTACTTAGGACTCCTGTTATGTTGTCCTGGGTTCACATTTCTTCTTCCTGACGTACATTCTTTGTCGATTCTTTCACTGAAGCCTGCGGGAGGTCAACTTTGAGTCTGCCTGTATGTCAGATAATGTCTTTCCTTCTCTGACAGACAGTTTGGCTAGGGGTTTAACTTAGCTTTGTAGTAATATTTTCTCCTCCCTTGTCAAGTTATTTAATAATTCTGAGCCTCCATATCTTTAGCTTAAAATAGGAATAAAATCCTAAAAATGTTGAGCGTAACTGACTGAAGGCACAGAGCTCACTGATCATGTTGCTTAGCAGACATTAAATAGTCGATAATGAGAGTTATTATTATTACTATAATCTCCAGAGAGTGTATTCTCAAGAGAATGACTGCTTAAGACTGAGAATGTGAAGCTCACACCCTGAAGACTGAGTGGTTGGCATGACAGTGATTTGAATTCTTAGCCCTTGGGGAGCTTCAGCTGTGGTCTGCAAAGCGTGTACAGTTGAAATAATTGATTCCTGCAAACCCACCACAGGACAGTGCAGCCTGCCTCACGCCTGGGATGCTCTGGGCTGCTTGTTGGGGAGCATCTACTGTAAGTCTAGATGGATTCTGTGCAGAGAAAGATGAAAAAAAGACTGTCTTTCTTTTCCCTCAGATTTTTACAGCAGAGTTTTATTCATTTGTACATCCAAAGCAGACACTCTCCTTCTAGAGCCTTGGTGTTACTCTGGGATTCAGGCTTCCCAGACACCTAGTCATTTCAGCTCCCAGGTCCCAATGTGACTGCAGAGTCACGTCTGACCCACTCCTTCCATCTTGGCCTGTTTCCCATCTTGAAGGACCTATGAGCAGGGAGAGGAGCCACCGAGGCAGATGGATCTGGAAGTCCTGGTGAACCTGAGCTTCAGAGAATGAAGCAGATATTGGAAACCTGAGACTGCCAAGGCTTCAAGGGCATGGGAAAATACGGAATAAATGAGAGGGGTGTGATGGCTGGCACAGAGGCAAGGGGAGAGTGCTCCAAAGTTGCCTGAGAAAGGAAACCTCGCACTGAGGTGGGGATTTGATTTTATATGACAGCAATCTCTGTGCCAGTTTCACCAGTTCTCGTGTCCCTGAGGGATGAAATGGTGTGAAGCCACAGGACAGAAGTTTCAGTTGCCTTCAGGTCTTAAAGAAGGGGAAACCTTTTATCTGAGTCCCCTGTGAACCAGTCAGGGGTCAAGTTTAGAAAAGCCTGAAGGCTGTGTCTGACCAATGTGGTTTATTTCTGTTCCAGCCAAGCTCCTCTGGACCCCGGCTGGGAAAAAGGGGTCTCAGGCAGATCTAGTCATCGCAGCTTCCGCAGGTCAAGGTGGGGCAGGTAATAGCCCAGGCGTTGTTGTTGCACTTGGTAGCCGCCCTCCTTCTTCCGCCGGCAGATGGTGAGCTGTGAAGTGAGGATCAAGCATCAGAATGGACCAGTCAGCTGCCCCGTATGGGAGACTCCAGGGCAAGGAGATACCAAAGACACAGAGACCTGATGCTTCCTGTGTCCCTCTCTTCCTTTTTTCCACTTAATTTTCCCTCTTGGTCCTTCTTTTTTTTTGTTTTTTTTTGTTTTTGGAGGAAGATTAGCCCTCAGCTAACTACTGCCAGTCCTCCTCTTTTTGCTGAGGAAGCCTGGCCCTGAGCTAACATCCGTGCCCATCTTCCTCTAGTTTATACGTGGGACGCCTACCACAGCATGGCTGCCAAGCAGTGCCATGTCCGCACCCGGGATCCGAACCAGCGAACCCCGGGCCGCCGAGAAGCGGAACGTGCGAACTTAACCGCTGCGCCACCGGGCCGGCCCCCCTCTTGGTCCTTCTTGTCCTTCCCTTTTCCCTCTTTCAGCTCTCCCTAACCCACAAGCTCTAGCTTAATTGAGGTATTAATGACATACAATAAACTTTATACATTTAAAGTAAATGATTTAAGTTTTGATTATGACACTGAACTATCACCACAATCAAGACAAGGAACGCCCATCCTCCCCAAATTTCCTCATGCTCCTTTGTAATTCCTCCTTCCCTGCCCTTTGCAAACACATTCTCATTCCTAGGCAACCAGTGGTCTGGTATCCGTCCCTACAGATTCACATGTATTTTCCAGGAGGTGTTTATAGATGTGCTCATTTTTATCTGGCTTCTTTCACTCAGCCTAATCATTTTGAGATTTATCCATGTCATTGCATGTATCAAGAATTCATTCCTTTCTATGGCTGAATAGTAAGCCATTGTGGGGATACACCACACTTTCTTTATCCCTTCACTTGTTGGTGGACATTTGGGCTGTTTTCCATTTTGGGCTAGTATAAGTAAAGTTACTATGAACATGTGTGTACAAGTCTATGTAAAGACACATGTTTTTACTTCCCTTGGATGGATTCCTAGGAGTGGAATGGCTACTTAGGTGCATGTCATTTTTAAAGATGCACCCAAGCTCTTTTGCACGAGCATCAGTGAGAATTCCAGTTGCTTGACTTCTTCACCAACACTTTCTATAGTCAGTCTTTTTAATGTTAGCTCTTCTCAGGTGTGGTGTTATCGCCTTATGACTTTCACTTGCATTTTCCAAATGACTGATGTTGTTAAGAAAAGGAAAAGGCAAGCCACACTCAGAGTGGGAGAAAATATTTGCAAAACATACCTCTAGCAAAGCACATGTATTTATAATATGTAAAGAGCTCTTACAACCCAATAGTAAGAAGACAGGCAACACTTCCTGGCTTACCAGGAGACAGCAGATCAGGCATGTGACAAGCACCAGGAGTACTGCCAAGCAGATGAGGATGATGGCCCAGAAGGGGAGGTCTGGGGAGACAAGTGCTTGGGTGAGCCACCTCCTGTCATTCTCCCAGAGCTTCTCCCGTCCCACCACTGTGCCTTGACAATGCTTGACATGGGTTGGCCAACCCTCATCATTATCCAAGACCCCGTGCGAGTGGTTCTCTTTGATGGGGCACAGCATCAAGATGCTCCCTCCCCACCCTGGGCTGGGGCTTCCTGGAGGCTTACCAGGACTCTCAGTCAAGGTGTCATCTCTGTTGGAAGAATATCCTGGAAGCAAATGAAATGAAGAATGCATGTGAATGTGTTTTACTCTTTTCAAGCACAAAGAATGGAGAGAACAATCTCATAAACGTCCATGACCTAGATTTAACAATGTATATTTCATTCGCTTAAAACAATATTTCATCCAACATAAAAATTACTAACACTTGCCACTCTTGCTTCATCCCATATTTTCACTGAAATATTAAAGTAGACTTCATGATATTTCACCCCATTTTACTTTCCATCTCTAAAAAATGAGGACACATTGCTACATAATCCAAGGCCATTATCACACTACAAAAGTGCAATAAATTAAATCAAATTCACACCTGTAGGCATGGAGGACTGAAATTGGGCTGTGCCATCTAATGATGGTCAGGGGGCGAATGGGTCATAATAGTTGACATGGGATCTCTCTAAAGCTGTAAATTCTCAAATGCTTTCTTCTCTGCCTACAAACACATTCATCCCCTTTTCCTATACTGAGTTGCTTTATATTCATTATCCAGGATTCACCTGCAATGTAATTTCCTCCAGGAAGCCTTTTCTGATTACCACCCCAAGTATGGATTGGTTCACATCAAATAATTTAAATTTCCGGTTGCTTATTCTTGTTATGGCCAACTACAACATAAGCTCCAGGAGGCTAGGGCCACACAGCAGCCAATGGATACGGGAGGAGGGTTGCATGTTCCGCTATTTGTACACCCTCTCCCTAGACAATCTCTTAGAGATACGCTGTCTGATATGGAGCAGCAAGTGCTTTTCTAAATTAAAATTAATCTTAGTTAAATAAAATAAATCTGGTACCTCAGCAGCATTAAAACTCAGTAACCATAAAAACCAGTCACAGTATCATTCTTCAAGTCCTCAACAGCCACATGTGGCTATGCACTGGACAGCACAGATATAGAACGTTCCAGCACTGCAGGAAGTTCTAGTGTATGGTGCTGATCTGGAGCAGGACTTGGAAACTACAGGCTGTGGACCAAGTCAGGCCCATTGTCTGCTTTTATACAACCTGCAGATCAGAAAACAGGTCCATACCCTACACCCGCCAAAGCTGGTACACACAGCTGGAGGCCCTCACTGACCATCTGGCCAAGTGGCTTTCAGCACAGAGATAAGGAAACAGAAGTCCAGAGAGGAGAGTTGATCAGCTTGAGGTCACAGAGCTGTCCAGCAGAAGGCAATGACCTCCTATATTCTACTGGGTGTCCTTTTCTCACTCCCAATGATGGGTGAAAGCCTGCCATCTGCCAGCCTCGGAAAGTTCAATGCTGTCTCAGCCCCAGGCCTCCAGATTCCCAGGAAAGGCGTCAGTTTCTTCCCCAGTGACCAAGGAGCCTTACCATCCACAAGGACACTCTTCCTGTCCAGGGTAAAGTTCTGCAGCTGGGTACCATTCTGGGTCAGCCGCAGGAATTCCTCATAAATGGCAACTCTGTCCAGTCTCTGTGCCAATGGTGAGAAGGCACATAGGGAGTCCACCTCCGTGTGGTCACTGTGGGGGACAGACCTGGAAGCGCACAAGGGATGAACAAGGGTGTCTGGAATTCTACCCTGATTCTAGATTCCCTGCTTCTAAGTCCTGTCTAAGAGAACTTTCTGCAAGGTTAAAAACATTTGTGTCTGCATCGTCCAATGCAGTCATTATTAGCCCCATCATGGAATTTAATTTGATGTAATTAGTTTATAAATAAATAGCCCCAGAGACAACATTTTTGAAATGTTGGAGTAAGAACTTCTGCAAATGCATTAAAACAACAAGAACACTGGCAAAAATGGTCAAAATCAACTTTTTCAGAAGTCTAGAAATTCATCAAAGGCATGCAACAGAGTTAAGAAAAACGGTGGCATCTTGTTAAAGGCAGAAAACGTTGTGGCATTATAACTTGCACTATTCCCTGCCTGCTTTCACAAGATCCTCCATATCTTTGAAAGCCATCAGTCTCAGAACCATGCCAGCTGTGAAAACCAGCAGCCTAGCAGCCATAATGGGTTTGAAGTTCCCAAAAGACCTATCCCCATTGAACTGTCACTATTTGACCTGCCTGGCAGCTCCTTGAAAGAGCCCCGTGTTCAGGGCTTGTCCATAATTAACTCAGAGCTTGCTCAGTGAGGAAAGTCCATTCCAAGGACACTTGCTAAAAACAATCAGTGGTAATTATTTTACATTCTAGCTCCCTGAGTGAGTGATGCAGTTGAGGCAGGCAAGAGGTGAGCCAAAAACATTAAAGAAAAATTGGGGGAACGAGATATTCATGGGTAACTTTGAAAATATCTAACACATTTGTGGAGATCTAGAAGGCCACAAATATTCAGGGCTGTGTGCACGCCCAGAAAGGACTTGAGAAGGTCTCAATCTCTCACCTCTAGCTGAAAGCTTGACTTAATATCTGAAAAACTGATTAATGTAACACACCATATTAATAGAAGGAAGGACAAATACCACACAATCTTGATCCACACGGACAAAAAAGAATTACACAAAATACAACATCCTTCATAACTAAAAAACTCTCAACAAATTAGGAATAGAAGAAAACTTTTTCAATCTAATAAACAACATTCACGAAAAACCCACAGCTAACATCATACTCTATTGTGAAAGACCAAAAATGTCCCCCTAAGACCAGGGACAAGACGATGATGTCTGCCCTCATCTCATATGTTAATCATGGGTACTAGAGGTTCTAATGAGGGCAATTAGGCAAGAAAAAGAAATAAAACACATCCAGATTGGAAAGGAAGATGAAAAACTATTTCTTTTTGCAGATGACACAATATTGTATATAGAAAAATCCTAAGAAATACACAGACACACACACACAGACACACACGGTATGTGAATCGTATCTCAATAGGAGTATAAAACATTTAAACTGCCTCAGTGGTTAGTGGCTCCACTCTTGGACAGCAGAGTTAGACTGCCGGATTCTATGGCAACCAGTTCTAGCCCCCCACCTTCCATGGATCCTGACTGTAGTAGGTGATGTCTTGAGGCAGTGTTTCTATACACCATTTCCATGGCTCCCAGCACCAGGCATTGCCATGTTTGCTAAGGTTTACAGAAGGTCTTTCGAGTCTCTCAGGCAGTTGTGCTCACTGCTTTAGGAAGAAGCCGTTTTTTAGGTAACAGCTTCGTATTCCTAGGGCTCTCTTCCATAAGAGATAGGTACTGGGAGATTATGGCATGGAGACACTTTTACTTAAAGGACAACAGAAGTCTCCAGAGTGATCAGGTCCTGAGTTGGAACTCACCTGAATGCTGAAACTTGACAGTCAGAAAAATAGCTTTTGATGCTGCTGTTTCGGAAGAGCTGGTTGAGCTGAAAGACAGGGCAACACTTCCTTGGTCAGAATCCCGGGTCCAGTGGCATCAGAGAGTTTTCAGCCACAGAGCACACTTCCCCATCTATTCATTCTTGTCTCAAAAACGCTGGTCCAGCCAAGGATGTCTTGTTCTAAGGTTTGACTTAGCTATGTGACCCTGGGCCAGCTACTGAAGCTCTCTGTGTCTGTTTCTTAATTTATAAAATGGGAATAAGGACCTGTCTTTATGAATTGTTATGAACAGTCACCCCCTGGCTCCCAAGTATCCACAGGTCAGTCTTTATTTGGGAACAGAGTGGACACACAACCCCATGCTCACCGCAGCCTCAATACTTCTCTTGTTCTGCTGGTGTTTGCTGGTGCCTGGCTGGGCGATGTCCTGGGAATAAAGTAGGTTGGTGACAGTGAAATTCAGCTGGAAGTGCTGGGAGCTGGGACTACTTGTTGGCTTGTCTGTCGGTAGATGAATTGTCGGCTCCACTTCTACAATAAAAGAAAAGAAAGTACAAAAGTCCCCTATCTGGGGAAGGTTTTAACAAATGGATCATTCCAGCCAGTCTACTTATTCCTGGAAACGTGACCTGAGCTGGGTTTTTAAAAGTGGGCTACAGGAGACCCTCCATTTGCCTGTCCACCTTGAATCCATTCATTCGTCTACCTGTCCAACTCTCCACCAAGCATTATGAGTTCACTAGGATGTGGGGAAGAGGATATTGGGCCTCTCTGGGGCTTAGATGGCAAGCGCAGGTGTTGATCCCCCAGTGGGCATCTGTCATACACCTTTGCTGACCCAGCTTCCTCATGGGTCTTTCTGCCTCTGGTCTTCTTCCCCCTCCCAATTCATTCTCCACACAGCATCAGAGGATGAGCTTTCTAAAGCAGAACTCTGAGTGTGTCATGTTGCTCCACAAACCACTCCAATGCCCAAGAAATTCCCTGCCCACATGTTTAGCCTCAACTGTCACCTCTCCCATGTCAAAGTGTATGCTCCAGCCACACCAAACTTCTCACAGCTTCCTCAAATATGCCATGATCCATCTACTTTCTAGATTACAGACACATGTAGCATGATTCCTCATCTCTTCCCTCTGGCTAGGTCCTTTTCTCCATCACATCTCACATCTCAGTTTCTTCATCACTTCCTCTAGAAAACTTTCCAAGACTGGGCTGTGTGCCCCTCCTTGGGGTTCCCACGGGCTCTTGACATTCCATTACAGCAATTAACACAATGTATCACCAGTGCCTATTTACCCTCATTAACTGTTCGTTGAATGCACGAATAAATGAATGAATGAATCAATCAATAACTCATAACTGGGGACCTAAGAAGGAAACCCAGGATCCTTCACATTTGGGGTTGGAAAAATTGACATGTGAAAAGTAACCATTCCCTTGGGTGCAATTGCTACATTTTTTCTTCATGCCTCCTGTTGGATGACACACTGCCGTGGGTCATCAAGATGAGCTTCCAGAAAGCCTCCTTTTTCCCTCTGGAGCCTCGATCCATTCCACTGTTACTCAGAAGTCCCATCCATCTGCATAGACTAATATTTTCCAGCTTAAAGCTAGCCCCCTCATCTCACACCTGTCACATGCATGTCCGCCAACTGGTAGGTGGCACCCAGCCAGTGAGATGAAGCATTCAGGGTCTTGTCTAGAAAGATCTGCTTCACCACACTCGTGTCCAGATTGGAGGAGAACAGTGCCTTGATGGTGACCAACATGGAATCCAACCTAGAGACAGGGACCACATGAAGTCAGACAGCACCAAACACCAGCAGTGTCTCCCGAGTTCCTGCTTTATACAACCAGACACCTAGGGGCAAGCAGTGGGGGATTATCTGGCTGCCTCTTCCTCCAGGCTAGAGAAGAGACCCTGACCAAAAAGGGAAGGCTTCCAGGAGTTGGGGACAGAAGCAATAACAGGAAAAATAATGAACATCTATGGAGTGCCTCTAAGAAGTGACTTACACATTCCCTCACCATCACGCTGGTGGAAGGTATTGTTACAATTATCCTCATGTAAAAGATGAAGGAACTGAAGATTGGAAATACTCAAAGTCAGCACTGTGTCCTATGACCTTCTTCTACCCAAGTGTAGATGTCCTAGTTCCTCCATCCAACCCTCAGAGACCTGGGATCAAACCCAACTGTGACAGTTCTTGGGCTGTTCACCTCACTTCTCTGAGCCTCAGTTTTCCCACCTGCACAATGGGGATGATCATTGTATCCACTTCATGGGGGCCATTGTGAGAACTAAATGAGATGATCTTGCACAAAAGTGCTCAGCAGGAGACTGACCATGGTCAATGTCATCATTGCAGAGCCAACAGCTGCCAGATCAGCCAATGCTTCCAATCTCTTCAACTTACGTCAAGTCGGTGACCAGGCAGGAGATGAATATGTCTCGTAGCTGGCTTCCTCTGTAGAGCTTGGTGACCTAGAACAAAGGATAAGGAGAGTGGGTGAGATGGAGTTCTCCTGGGGCTGCAGGGGACCACTAGAGCCAGTGAAAGATCACAGGCCTTGTAGCAAAGGAGACCTGAGTTCACATTTTTTCTCTGCCCCAACTCACTGTGTGATCTTAAAGGCCCCTTTATTAGCTTCAGTTTACCCATCTGAGCAATGGGGAAGGCAGCTAGGGCACTGTCTCTGGAAACTGAGAGAACCCGGAGCACACAGAGAAAGTGAAGAGTTGAGACAATCACTTAATAAATGTAAGTCAGACGGAGGAATGAGAGGGGCCTCCAGGGCAAGGAGAGATGGGAGATGGGGAGACACCCACCTTGTCCTGGATGTCCATCAGCAGGGCGGTGTACTCCAAGGACGTGGGTTCCAGGCTGCTGAGGTTGCAGTTGATGATGCGGAAATTTAGCTGGTACTCTCTCTGGATAGATAAACTCTTGGGGGCATAGCCTGCAGCCACCGAGAGGAAGAATAGACAGGCAGAGACTCTCAACTTTCAGCACAGAAGCATGGTGGCCCAGGGGGCTCCTGCCTACTGTCAGAATCATCCAGAATCAAGCCCACAAGCTGGGGGCTGTGAGGGCTTCCAAATGGAAAGTCACCCCAAAGCGGGGGAGAACTGGAATTTTACAAGAATTCTCCTGAGCTGAGGTTTTCTGCTGGGCTGATGCAGTTCCAGCTTCCTGGAATGCTCTTCTACCCTCTTCTTTTCCTGGAAAGCTCCTATTCATGCCTCAGGAGCCCAGTGAAATGGAGCCCCATGAGAGTAGGGACTCATCTATCTTGTTCTTGCCATGTCCCAGCGTGCAACACAGTTTAGGGAACATAAAATCCTTTTCCAGGAAGCCCTCCTTGACTTGTCCCTCCTCCCAACTCCCATGGCACCCTGTTAATAACAGTGTTTATGCCCTTTTTTTGTCCATAAAAAATCTTTAGTTCACTTTCACTGTGAATTTCAGGGGAAGAACCTGTATCTTCTAACTCTGTACCTGGCACATGGCTTGGAACAGAATGGTCATATATATGTGTTTGATGAATGAATGAATGTGAGCTACAATGGATTCCCAAATATGAGGGCCTAAGATACTCATCTCTCATTTGATCATTCCTTCACTCATTTATTGGGTACCATGATGAACCCACATATTATGAACAGAGGATATAGAACCTCACTAGACATAACCTAATGTCCCTAATGTGGTAGAGCTCAGAGTGTGAGGGGGGAGTTGGATAATTAAACATTTAATTGCAGTGGAGTGTGGTAAGTGTTGGTCTGGTGCCCATTTAGGAACTGGGGGACCACGTGCAGTGAGGTCTTTCACTCGCAGAACAATCAGAACTACTGACATTTGGGGCTGTATAAGTCCTGGGGGGGTGTCCTGTGCATTGGAAGATAATAGCAATGTCCCTGGCATCTATACACTAGATGCCAGGAGCTCCCTCCCCCAGCTGTGACAATGAAAAATGTCTCCAGACATTTCCAACTATCTCCTGGGGGCAGAGTCACCCCTGGGTAAGAAACTGGCCTCGAGGAACATCACAGAGAAGACTCGCTGTCCCAAGAGACCCCATGGGTCAGAGATTTTGGTTTTGAATTAAAATTAATTACATTACTTGATCAAAGAATTTCATGCTGTTTGACTGACATGATAGCAGGGACCCTCCCCATGGGGGTTTGGGGAGGGTGTCCCCCAACCAGAATGTGGGCTGATTTGTTAAATAGAAAATAAAATAGAACAGGGACAAGTAGCGATCATATGAATCCAAGTCCACATGAACACTCACCATTGATGAAGAGGCTATCCCTGACCAGGGTGTAGAGGCCCATCTGGGTGACACCGTGGGTCAGCTGGTTCAACTCCCAGTACAGCTGCTTTCTGTCCAGCCCGAGGCCCACGAGGTCAGGGTGGTAGGTGCAGACAGCGTCCACGCTGGTGGCCTCCCCATCCTTCTCAGGCCTGGGGAGAGAGGGATGTGGAGACTATAGAGAGAGGTCCCGAAACCTTTGCGGGTGGGGGCCAGAAGGAGGGAGGAGCAAACGGGAGGACAGTGGGAAGACTGAGAGAGGGGCAGTCACAAAAGAGGTCGTTACTGGCAAATGCTCAGGAAAAGGTCTTACTTGAGGGAGATGAGCCTGCAACTCGAGTAGAAGGGGCCCAGGCTGCTCTTCTTGAACAAGGATCCAAGCTGGGGAGGAAGCGGGAGGAGGGTGAGCAGGAGGGACAGGGGCTGAGGGAGGGGCTGGCTAGAATTTATCCTACCAGGAGCTGCTGGGGCCAGCATCTTACCAGGCTCTGCAGGACCCTCTCAGTAGAGTTGAACATGGCTGAGCCATTGCTCATGTCTGTTGAATACTGGAGGTTGGAGATGGTGAAGTTGACTGTGAGGGTCTTTAGGTTGTGTCCCAAAGCTGCAAGAAGAGAGGGAAAGCTATGGCTGTCAGTGACAGCTGGCCTGAGACCAGATCAGAGTCCTGGATTCATTACAATCTGCTGTCTTCACTCCCAGTGGTACACCACCCACTCATGTGGTCACCCAAGTCAGAAACAGCATATGTGCTCAGCTCTTCCTCCCTCCCAGCAACACCAATTCCACTTGCAGAGTGGTCCTCACATATACTCCTGCTCTCCATGTCTGTCCCAGCTCAGGTCTTACCTTCTTTTACCTGGACCAAACTCCAGCAGGCTCACTGGATGCTTTGTCTAAAGGATGCTCTGTACACGGAACACTAGAAAAATCTTTCTGAAATGAAAATCTCACTAGGGCTGCCACTGCTCTAGTACCACCCATGGCTCCCTACGGCCTTCAGTATTAAGTTCAAGCTTCTTGAATTGGCACTCAAGGCCCTTCCCAAGCACGTTCCTGCCGACCTTTCAGTCTCAGTTTATCCATCTACTCTGGGTTAAGATTTATGCTTCATGGAAACCACATTGCTCTCAATCCTCTCCATACACCATGCTGTTTCTGGCCCCTGAGCCTTTGTTCATGGAATCCTCTCTGCCAGGAAAAGTCTTCATCCTCTATGCACCTGGATCCCTCCTACTCATTCTTGAAGACTCCATTCCAGTGAAACTTTCTCTAGCAAGCTCTTCCTCTTCAAATTATGCCAGGTGCCTCTCCTCAAAACGTCCCACATTGTGTTATAATAGTGTGCTAATTTCACAAGACTAGGGGCTCTCTGAGGGACGGCATCAGACTTCATTGTTGGTATAATCTTTGTGATTAGCATGATTGCCTTAAAACCATAATTTCACACCTTGGCTTCCCAGATCCTGGTTTACAATTGGCAGGTGGAGGTGTGGGGCTGGAGAGCCTCTCTTGGGAAATAAAAGGGGCACCCCAGATACCTGTGGTGGCTTCTGGTTGCACAGGTAATGAGGAAGTGGGCAGGAACGTGGTGACCGGCTCAGGAGCTGTGGAAAAGGCTGTCATCAAGGAGGGATAGAGTGGGAGAAGCCCCCAGGCTCACCTGGGTTGTAGCAGTGGTCTCCCAGGACCACCATTCACAGGTGAACCATAAATGAGAGTGAGGGAAGGGGTGACAGTGTGAGTAGAGGGATGAGCAAGCCTGTGGGTGAGATGAACCCAAGCAAGTGAGATGGGTGAACAAGAGAGAGACTGAACACAGAGGAAAGACAGATGGATGAGCAGAAAGATGGACAGACAGATGGGATACCTGGATGGACGGAGGAAGAATGGACAAATGAAGGGTCAGAGAGAAGCAAGAAGAATAAAGGAGAGCAGTTGGAGGGATGGGAAGAAAGAGGATGGAAGGACAGCAGGAAGGAAGGACAAACAGGTGAGTGGGCAGAAGGATGGTTGGAAGGATGGATGGATAGAAGGATGAAAGGATGGATGAAGGAAGGAAGGAAGGAGTCCAAGAGAAGGGATAACTGGGAGGATGGAAAAAGGGATAGGTTAAAAGATTATGAATGGACCCCTGAAAGAATGAATGGGAAAATTTGGTCAAACAAATGAAGGGCCACCAGAATTTTCAGCATGACAGAGATGGCTTTTGTGGTCCCTGTAGGAGATTTTGCTTTCAGGGGGCATGGACTACAAGGTCATTATCTGACCTCAACCCTTATCCCTATAGGGAATGCTTGTTCAAATTTATTTTTCTAACCTAGAAGGATGTAGAAAATTCAGAAAGCCAACACTATGGCTGCAGGTCCAAACAGAGGCCAAGGACTCAGCATTCTTCCTCCCACTGACACTCAGAAGAGAGGCCTAAGTTTTGTCAAGACCCATTGAGGCTGAAATGGGCACTGGTGGCAAAGATACATACTTGTAGGAGGCTCATCCGGACCACGTTCATTATAACCTGGAAACCAAAAAGTCACATGTTAAGGGGAGATGGCAAAACAATCTCAAATGTTCTATGCCTTTGTCCATGTGGGGTTCCTGCCTGGATGCCCTTCCCTCTGTACAACGTGCTCATCTACATGTCTTCTAAGATCAGACTCAAACATCATCTCCACTAATAAAGGCTTTCCTGGTCTTTTGATTGGAAATTATTTTTCCTTACCCTCCTCTCCATCATGCCCCCAACAAGAGGCTCTCGTCATATTTATGTTCACACATTCATCCCCCGACATATCTATCTGTCCCACCATCTGCCGCTCCACCCTCCCTCCAGTCTATCCCTCCATCCAATAAGTATTTATTGAGAGCTTACAATGTGCCAGGTTCTGTTACATTTGGGGAATACAGCACTGAACATAACAGTCTCTGCCTCACTGGAGCTACATTAGGACAGTTGTGCATGTAGCCAATCTCTGTCCCTGTGCCGGCACAAGGCCTGGGTTATGGTAGATGCTTGGTCAATGCTGAATGAGTGAACAAAATGAAGCATGTACATTGTGCGGTTTACGAGCAGAAAATCCTAAACTGGCCCTTGCAGTGGCCAAGGTGATGGGAACAGATGTGAACTCAGAACATCAAGACCCAGACTGGCCACAGACCTCCTGAGGGTGTGGTCAGGTCCCTTCTCTTCTCTGTACCTCCATCTCCCTCTTTGCTAAAATGGGTCATACAGGACCAGGATGGTTCCCTCCCACCTGATGGGGCTATGGAGATAAGGCAGTATGAGTTGCCAAATGCCATTACCAGGTTGGAGACAGAGAGGAGGGAAATTGAGTCATTCCAATCAACCTCCCCATGGCCAAACTCTGCATCTTAGAGCCCAAAATGAGAGTCACCATCGTAAATGCTGTCCCTTCCTGGATTCTAGGCTAATGTCCAGTAGGTCCAAAGCTTGGGCCCTTCAGATGTTCAGAGAGCCTGCCTCCCTCCTGGCCTCAGGGCCCCACCCAGGAGGGAAGCCCATCCCTGGTTGAGGCTGAGAAGAAAGCAGGGAGGGGAGAGAGATGTTGGGTTTGCTCTCCCCAGGGCCCCCTTCAAAGACTCTTCTATGAGTTAATGTGTCGAGTGGAGCACAGCGTTGGATGCTGACAACTGGGGCTCATGCCCTGGCTGTACCACTCTCAAGCTACACCCACTTGGGCAAATTACTTAACCTTCCTGAGCCTCAGTTTCTTCATCTGCAAAATGGGTTTAATCAAGGACCAGCCTTTCAGGGTGGCTGTGTGGGGTCAGTGTGGAGTCGAGATTCACACCTGAGTTTGTCCCAAGTTTTCCCCTAGAGAACTGACTGGTAAATGAAGAGCCTTCTAGGATTCAGGCATGGCCCCAGTGAGGTAGGCTGAGAACTACTCACCATTGAGGTAGAGGCTGTCTTTATCCAGAGAATAGGGGCCCAGCCGGGTGATGCCACAGGTCTGCCGGCTCAGCTCATGGAACACTTGCTTGGCAGGCAGACCCAGGCCACTAGGGGGTTGCCGGTAGGTGCAGAGGATGTCCACTCCTGTCTTGGCACCATTCTTCACAGACCTGGAGAAGGAGAGGTTGACCTTTAGGGGAATGCAGCCCACTTGGCACCTCTCCTGCTGTGGTCACTACACATCTCACACTGTGTGTTCCAGCCTTGTTGAACCATTCACAGTTTCTCCATTGGGCCATACTCTCTCACCCCAGGATCTTTGCACATACAGTGACTTCTGTCTGGAAGTCTCTCCCCTTCTCTCCTTACCTGGGTAATTCCCCGCTCATCCTTCTGGTCTCAGCTTAGACACCTCCTCCTCCTCCTCTAAGAACCCTGCCAGCTGGTTCAGGGGCCTCTTCCGGTTCCCACAGTGCCCATGCTTCCCCCATCACAGCCCTGGTCACCCACTGTGTGAGCATATATTATTTGTCCCTACTTCCTCCAGATGGTGATCTCCATGTGGTCAGGTAAAGGAACAGCATAGTTCACTGTTGTCATGTTGAAGCCCAAGCCTCCAGTACATTACTTCTCCATGTAAAAACTAAAGTCCTGATGAATGGATAAACCAACGATGATACATACACACAGCGGAATATTATTTGGCCATTAAAAGGAAGGAACTTCTGACACATGCTACAACGTGAATGAATCTTGAGGATATTATGCTCAGTGAAATAAGCCAGTCAAAAAATGACAAATACATATGATTTCACTTATATGAGGTACCCAGAGTGGTCAAGTCCATACGGACAGAAAGTAGAATGGTGGTGGCCAAGATCTGGGGGTAGAGGGAACTGGAGAGTCGTTCTCTAAGGGATATAGTTTCAATTTTGCAAGTTCTAGAGATTGGTTGCACAGCAATGTGAACATAATACTACTGAAAAGGACACTTAAAACGATTCAGATGGTAATTTTTATGTTATGTATATTTTACCACAATTTAAAAAATCAATTTCCTTAGAACAAAGAATCCTAAAATTTCTATGGAACAACAAATGACCCCGAATAGCAAAAGCAATCCTGAGGAAAAAGAACAAAGCTGTAGGCATGACAATCTCTGACTTCAAAATATACTATAAAGCCATAGTAATCAAAACAGCATGGTACTGGTACAAAAACAGACACACAGATCAATGGAACAGAACTAAAAGCCAACAAATAAAACCACACATTTACAGACAGCTAATATTTGACAAAAGAGCCAAGAACATACAGTGGAGAAAGGAAAGTCTCTTCAATAAATGGTGCTGGGAAAACCAGACAGCCACATGCAAAAGAATGAAAGTAGACCATTATCTTATACCATGAACAAAAAGTAACACAAAATGGATTAAAGACTTGAAACCATACAACTCCTAGAAGAAAATACAGGCAGTACATTCTTTGACATCAATCTTAGTAGCATCTTTTCAATACCATGTCTACTCAGGCATAGGAAACAGAAGAAAATATAAACAAAAGGCATTACATCAGGCTAAAGAGCTTCTGCAAGGCAAAGGAAACCAGTGACAAAACGAAAAGACAACCCAGTAGCTGGGAGAAAATATTTGCAAATCATACATCTGACAGGAGGTTAATCTCCAAAATATATAAAGAATGCATACAACTCGACAACAACAAAACAAACAACCAGATCACAAATTGGGCAGAGGATATGAACAGACATTTTTCCAAAGATATACAGATGGCCAACAGGCACATGAAAAGATTTTCAACATCACTAATTATTAGGGAAATGAAAATCAAAACTATAATGAGATAGCACCTTAAACCTGTTAGAATGGCTATAATTAGCAAGACAAAAAATAACAAATGTTGGACAGGATGTGGAGAAAAGGGAACCCTCATACACTGCTGGTGGGAGTGCAAACTGGTGCAGCCACTATGGCAAACAGTATGGAGATTTCTCAGAAAATTAAAAATAGAAATACCATATGACCCAGCCATCCCACTACTTTGTTTATCCAAAGAACTTGAAATCAACTATTCAAAGAGACTTACACATCCCTGTGTTCATTGCAGCACTATTCACAATAGCCAAGATGTGGAAGCAACCCAAGTGGATAAAGAAGATGTTGTATATATATACAATGGAATACTACTCAGCCACAAAAAGACAAAGTCATCCCATTTGAAACAACATGGATGGACACGGATGGACCTTGAGGGTATTATGCTAAGTGAAATAAGCCAGAGAAAGACAAACACCACATGATTTCACTCATATATAGAAGATAAGCAAACACATGGACAAAGAAAACAGATTAGTGACTACCAGAATGGGGCTGGGGGGGTGAGCAAAAGGGGTAAGGGGGCACATATATAGGGTGACGGATAAAAATCAGACCTCTGGTGGTGAGCATGATGCAGTCTATACAGAAACTGGTAAATAATAATGTACACCTCAAATTTCACAATATTGTAAACCATTATGACCTCAATAAAATAGAAAAAAGGAAAGGATACAAAAAATCAGTTTCCTCCAAGACTCTACGCGGTGTAGACCCTGCTGATATCTCAAATCCCCTCTCTTCCCCCTCTCTTTCTCCCTCTCTGCTCCAGCCACACTGGCATCCTTGCTGTTCATCGAACATGCCAAGCTCATTCCCATCTCAGGACTTTTGTACATGCTGTTTCCCTGCCTGGAACAGTTTTAATTGTTGAATCTTTGTTACCAATTGGGTCACAGTTCAGAAGTCACCTCCACAGAGACGCTATCCTGTCCCCTGGTTAAGCTGCTTTCCCATCACTCTATATCTATGCTCCACATCACCTTACCTCATTTGAAATCACCTTACACAGGTATTTATTCTCCTGCTTAGTATCTGTTTTCTCCACTAGATGAGGGAAGGGGTGGTACTCGTCTTGTCCCTGTGGGTCTCACCACCTGCCTCAGAGGAGCTGTACCATCGGCATCAGCGGAATGAGAATAGGAATGGAGAAGTGCTTCATAAATCCCAACAGAACGCAACCTGATCCAGAGATGGGAGAGTACCTGCCTAGTGGGTACAGAGTTTCTGCTTGGGGTGACCAAAAGTTCTGGAACTAGATGGGGTGATGGATGCACAATATTGTGCCTGTAACCGATGCCACTGAATTGCACACTTAAATATGGTTAAAATGGTTAATTTTATGTCTATATGTATTTTTTCACAATTTCAAAAATTAATAATGTAATAAAAAATGGATGCAGAAAAAGACCCTCCAAGAATAGCCTGTGGCAACTGGGGGTGGCCCCCATAGTCAGAAGTCCATGTCCTTTGGTGGTGGGTCATGGGGCGGGGGAGCATTCTCACCTTAGGGAAGTGACCTTGCAGCCTGCATAGCGGGGACCCAGGCTGCTCCTCTGGAACAATGGGCTGAGCTGGAGAGGAAGCGAGAGCCAGTGGTGGTCAGGGGTGGGCAACAGCCCCAAGGATGGGTCACGGAGAGCGGGAGGGGGAAGAGTCCTCTCACCAGGTGCTGCATGAGGGTGTCTGTGATGTTGAACTTGAGGGAGCCATGGCGACCCATGTCCGCTGAGTAGCGCAGGTTGTCGATGGTGAAGTTCACTGTGAATGGTTCCTCACTGACCTCTCCAGCTATGGTAAATGCAGAGAGAGGCTCGAGGGGAGGTCAGGGGGCCCTACGTCCACCCTAGATTGGGGCTTCAAAAGGCTCACATCCTCCTCCAGATAAGCCTGAGGGTCACTTGTTAATGGAGACACTCCAGTAGCAAGTAATGGCAGGGCTAATGATTTGGGGGGTTGAGATGGCCTTCCCTCCCAGATGCAGGAGTGGAGGGCTCTGTGAAAACACTCGTGGCTTGTACTTTCCCAGGAGGAAAAGCTCCAATTTGCCACACTGATGCAGAACTGATGACCCCAGAGATTTTCAACCACATTCTCTCTGCTCTACCCGTCTACCTCTGTCTCTCGGTGCCTCGGTCTCTCTCTCTCTCTCTCTATGTGGATAGATAGATCTATATCTATATCTTCCAGGATTGTTGGCTTTTTAGACCTCTGCATAGAAGGTTGGCATATCTGGTCATCAGAAGAGGAGATCTATCTATCTATTTATTATCTATCTATCTATCTATCTATCTAATCACCTATCTATCACCTATCTATCTATCACCTATCTATCTATCTATCTATCTATCTACCTATCAACCATAGCCTATCATCTATCTTTCCTGCCCTTATAAGTAGGTATGCCAATCTTCTGTGCATTTGGTTAGAAAAGCCAACAATCCTAGCAGCTATAACCAACCTCTCCACACCTCAATTTACTCATCTGTAAGATGAGATCATAATGATTCCTACTTCAAAGGTTGTTACGCGGTTTAAACAAGTTAATATTTGTAAAGCACTTAAGCACAGTGCTGGGCATGGAGTAAACACTGTGTAAGGGTTTATTACATAAAATAAATAAGCAAATGCTTTTTGATCACTTAGTATGTACAGAGCTTTTTACACGGATAAATATATGCTGGGTACTAGAATTACCCACATTAAACAAAGGAGGAAACCAAAGTACAGAAATGGTCGCCTGCCCGGGGTCACATCACTGGAGGGAGGGAGAGTCTGGTTGGACCCAGGTCCTCTGACCCCCGAGTCCTTGCTTGTGAACTCTCCTGCTACCTGCTATGCTCTTGCTCAGACTGATTCTGGTGCAGTGCTCAATAATTGGGGTGACCTGTGTAGAGCCCAGGGGAAGTAGAACAAATGATTGAGGCAAGACCAGAAGTCCTGTGGCCTGACTCTAGTAAAGATAAGCAATGCAGCAGCTAAATAGTCAAGACAAAACTCTGGGAGAAAAACTCCCCTCTCTTCCTCCCTTCTGTTCATCACTCCTTCCAAGCTTCCTTTTCCCCTTTCTTCCTTCCATCTTTCCTCCTACCCATTCATTTTTTCTTCTTCTTCCCTCTATCCCTTCCTTGCTTTCTTCCACCATCTATCTAACTATCCACCCATCCTTTCATCCAATCCTTTATCCATCCCATCAGCCATCCATCCATCCATCCATCCATTCATTCATCAATTCATCCATCCATCATTCCTTCCTAACTCACTCCTTTCCTTCTTTATTTCTTCCCCTTTATACCTCCCTCTATGCATCCTTCTGTCCATCTTTTCTTCCATCTATCCATCCATTTTTCTTTCCTCCCATCCTTATTTTGTCCTTTCATCTATTTATACATCTTTCCTCCCTTTCTCCTCTTTTTTTTCCTCCATTCATCTTTTCTTCCTTCCATCTGCTCATCCCTCTTTTCTCCCTCTCTCCTTCCATTCATCTTTTCTTCCTTCTATCCATCCATCTTGCTTTCCCTCCATGGACATTGACTTGGTCCTAAAATGCTCAGAAATTATTCCAAGGACTGGACAGTGGTAAACAAAGGAGTCAATGGAGCTGACTTTAACTTATTTTTCTTCCTATAATTTGGGAAAAGACACCTGTTTTTGGACTACAGGAGCCCAGAACCCTGATGTGGTTGGAAGGAGTGAGAGAGGCTGCTTTGATGTAAAAGGCCAGTGATTGACCCAGGGATAGTTTGAGGGGATTGAGAAAACACACCCCTAATGCAAGGGCAATTAATCCTTGAAAACCTACAAGGGTTTGCTGGGGATGCAAAAGGAGTTCCTGCATATAATAGGTGTGTACCTAAAATCAGTATATCTTTAGGAATAAATTAACTGATGGTGAAAAGCATCAAGAGTGGGATCACAAATTTGAGAGTGATAAGAACTCCAGGTTCTGCTATTTATTTGCTGTGTGACTTGAAAGCCTCTCTGAGTCTGGGTTTCCTCATCTGTGAAATGGAGCCAAGTGACATGGTTGCAGTCAGAATTAAAGGGTGGAGTGTATGTGTTCTGAAATGAATTGTGTACCCCCAAATGTCATATGTTGAAGAGCTAGTTCCTAGTCCCTCAGTAGGTGACTGTATTTGGAGATATGGCCTTTAAAGAGGTACTTAAGTTAAAATGAGGCTGCGGGACAGGCACTAATCCACTCTGACTGATGTCCTTATGAGGAGAGGAAATTAGGACACAGAGAGACACCAGGAATGTGTGTGCAGAGGGACAGTCACATGAAGAGGCAGCAAGAGGGCGGTCATCTGCAACCAAGAAGATGGCCTTGGGAGAAACCAACCCTGATGGTCCTTTGAACTTGGACACCAGCCTCTAGACTGAGAAAATATACTTCTGTTGTTTGAGCCACCTAGCATACGGTATTTTTTTACAACAGCCATAGCAAACTAACACAGTATGTAACTTAGCATGGTGCCTGGAAGGTGGTCAGTTTCAACAAATGTTCACTGGAAATCCAACCACAACTGGTACAACACTGATGTGGAGAACCTCTCAGATCAACAAGCAGACATATGAATAAAAGGAGAAGAAAGGAGGACCAAGGGCAGGGCTGTAAGAGAATTAAAGTGAAAACCACGTGAGGGCAGAATGGGGTGGAGAACACGTCTGTGTCTAAGGTTTTCTCACCCTGGGCTGGGACTCTCCACCAGAACCCGGGAGAGAGAGAAGGGATGAATTAGGGGCTCTTTTGGAGTTTCCCTCACCAAAGGCATGGCGTGAAGGAGAACAACTGCTCCTCAACCCCAAATGGGGAAAGGGCCCAGGGGATAAGGCCAGAAATACTCACTGGTAGTAGTCGGGGCTATAGCTCCATAGGTGTAACCTGTAGAGAGACAGCGAGAGGAGCTGAGCAAGAGTTGGAGTGAACACAGAGGATTGAGGGAGAGGGAGGATTCAGGGACCTTTGTGGGAGAAGCAGAATGGAAGAGGCAGTGGAGGGACATTTAAGAGAGGCAACAAGACAGAAGGTGGCTGGACTTAATGATCACCCTGTGACGGGAAGATTAAACCCAGACCAGAAGGAGAAAAAGCTGGATCATAGCTTACTTCAGAGAAATGGAGGCAACATAAATCTCTGACTAGGAGAGAGACCATGGCTATAGCCCCTCACCATTGACACAGAGGCTTTCCCTGTCCAGGGTGAAGGAGCCCAGCTGTGTCATGCCATGTGTCTCATTGCTCAGCTCCCAGTAGAGTCGCTTTCTGTCCAGTTCAGGCCCCGCAGGGTCAGAGTGAAAAGTACACACAATGTCCACTCTGGTGGCTGCTCCACCCTTCTCAAGCCTGGGGAAGGAAGAAGATGGGGATGTGGGATACCGAGCACGGGTCATTCCGGGTGTGGAAAGCAAGAGTGGAAGGGAGGAGGATGATGGAGATGCTGAGGGGCTCGGTCTGATGCCGGGAGGGGCTATCCTAAGTGTTTCTTGTCTGAGACAACCCCCTCACAATTAAGGACAGAAAACACTTTAATTAGAATTTGAAGACAGGATACAGTGGCTAGCCCTCTTCTTCTAAGAAGAGAGCCTTCATTTGAAACTAAATATCATCGGGATTCCATAAACTCTAAACATGATGCCTCATTTCCAAGCCTTGAGCATTCTCATCCACTAGGCTTGAAGAAGGCATGAAGAGATCACGGTGGGCGCTGGAGGCCACTGGTTCCAGGAGCATGCCCAGCAACTGAGCCCTCCTGGCTGGTGAACGAAGGTCCACCTGATCCAACGAATCATTCCATCTGGTGTCTCACCTGAGTGAGGCCAGTCTGCAACCAGTGTGGAGGGGACCGATACTGGTCTTATTGAGCAAGAGCCGGAGCTGGTGGAGAAAGAGGAGGCAGTGAGCAGAAGGGCTGAGTGGCTATGTGGGCAGGAGTGAGGTGGGCTAACAGTGGTCATCAAGAGGTTTTCACCCGGTGTTGTAGGATCCTCTCAGTGGCGTTGAACTTTGAGGAAGCTGGGCGCCCCATGTCCTCTGTGTAATGCATGTTGGTGATGGTGAAGTTCAAGGTGAAAGACGCCAGGGTGAGGCCAGGGGCTGCAGTGGGGGAGGAAGAGAAAGGTGTCCACTTGGGACCATAATAATGACCAGGGTTGCCTGGGGCTCTAACCAAGGGGCAGCAGCAGAGGACTAAGTACAGTCATGGGCTACAGGACCTGAAGGAGAACATTATGGAATTCCAAAGACATCGAGAACCTTCACTCATTCACTCAGTGAGCATTTATTGAACACCTAATGTATGTGAGGCTCGGTGCTGGGCTCTTATGGGACAAATAGAGCATAATCTCTCAATTGTGTGGACCAGACCATTATGCTTCTGTGGAAGCTGGGGGCTAGGCAGTTCCAGGAGGGAGAGCCAACCAGTGACTGAGGAAAGCTTCCCAGATGAAGCATCATTTCAGGTGTGACCAAAAGCATGAGTAAGAGTTAGGTCACAGGAGCTGAGCAAGTGGTAAGAGAGCTCAAGCAAAAGGACAAGCCTAGGTAAAGGCCCAGCAGGACTACAGAGCAAGTGAACTCAAGGAACTTGAAGTCCTTTTGTTATGGTCACAGGGAAGCCTAGATGTGAGGCTGGAGGGATTCTCTGAGTCCCAAAAGAGGAGGGAGCGACTATGCAGCACAGGGGTTTGAAAACAATTTGTAGAGCAGGTGGAATCATCCAAAGATTGTCAATCAGGCAGGAATCATATGGACATAGGTACACTGGGAGGGACGCTGCAGCTGCCGTGTGGAGGACTGTAGGAAACCAGAACGGAGGCTACTGCAGTCGTCCTAGTGAAAAATGGCAGTGGCTGAATAAAGGCAGAGTGATGCAGATGCAGAGAAGGGAAGGACTCGAGAGAGATCCCAAAGGGAGAAAAGATGATTTGGTGATGGATGGATGAGGGAGGTGAGTGGGAGGGAGGGTGCAGGTTGGCGCCCATGTCCCTGCCTTTGGTGATCAGGAGATAGAGCAAGTTTGGGAGAAGATGGTGACTCCAGGGCCACAGACTGGGTGATGTCCAGGAGGTGGGTGGACCAAGGGTCAGGAGCTGCTGTGTGGTGTGGGCTGGACTCAGGGTTTGGATTCAGAGCAGCTAGATGATCTCTGAAATCCACAGAAATGGATGAGTTACCTCAGATGAGTGAGCAACGAGGGAAGAAGTGATCTGGTACAAATGATTTTGGTACCAGTAAGAGCCTTCCTATCTGTGAGCAGGATGCGGGGGATGGAGCCAGAAAGGACACTGGGAAGGATGTGGAGGTCACAGCAGCTGAGGGAAAAAAAAATCAGGAACCGCATCCAAAGTGTGCTATACCTTTAAGGAAATGGTGGCAGTGGTGGTGGCTCTCGTTATAAAATGTACACCTCTCTCTATGCACCATTTAGTCTGGAGTTAGGATATCATCCTCGGTTGTGTGAGGTGGGAGATGGGAGATAAGTCCTGTTATGTCTCAGCCCACATTTCTATGCATGTCCTCTGGACTCCTTTCCGTCCAGATGGTGAATGACAGTGGGGAAGAGTTGGCTGGTTGAGCAGCTCCCATTTCTGGGGGCAGGACAGTGGTCACAGGTGCACAGAAGTCTGAAATACTCACTATTTGGGGTGGTGGCTAAGGCTGGATGACTGTAACCTGCAATAGAGGGAGAGATGCTGAGGAAGGTGGGAGGGAGAGACAATGAAGAAGCAACTCGGCCATTGGAGAGATGGCAGCTGGACCATCACAGCTGTGGCTTCTTAAAAGGAAGACAGAGTGCTCACCTAGAAGAGAGAAAATCCACCCTCCCATCCTCGGAGAGGCTAAAGACTTGCTCAAAGCACTCTGAAATGTGAGGCCCCCATAGAGGTCAACTTGGCGCGCAATCTGTTGCAGCACAGCCCAGTCAGTGTGGAGGAGGAGACCCACACCCAACACAGCTCTTCACCATTGATGAAGACACTATCATCACAGAAGCTGGGGAGAAAATAGCCCAGGGACTTGGGTTGGGGACCTCATCATCCTGGAGATGCCAAGAAGGTGGTGCCCACGTCTGGGGCTTTAAAGGGCATTGGTCCTTGTTTTCTGAGCCTGGAGGTGAGGTGGGGATGGGGAGTGAAGGCAGTGGGCTCCTGGCCTCTTCCATTCCTAAGGGCTGGCACTCAGAGGGTTGTAGAGACTTCTGAAGCCTCAGAATACTCACTGCTGGGGGTGGCGGCCTTGATCTTGTGGGTGTAACCTGCACAGATAGAGGGACATTGGGTGAGGTGGGGGCGGGATGAGGTAAAGGGAAGAATGGAGACAGAGGATGTGGGACCTGTTGAAATGCAAAGAAAGATGACAGCCCCTCACCATTGATGTAGAGACTCTCCTGGTCCAGGGTGTAGGAGCCCAGCTGAGTGACACCATGTGTCAGCTGACTCAGCTCCCAGTACAGCCGCTCTCTGTCCAGGCTCCAGCCCTTGGGGTCAGGGCGGTGAGTGCAGACAGCATCCACTCCAGTGGCTGCCCCATTCTTCTCAGGCCTGGGAAGGGAGGGTGAAGGGGATGACAATAAATGGAGTCCTTAGGGAGGAGTCCTGAGATCCCTGGGGGTGGGACAGAGGAAATGAGAAGGCTAGGAGAGAGGTGAGAAATTAGACTTAGATTCTCTGGGTGCGCTGACTTCCAGCAAGCCTGGAACTGTGAGCCAAGTCAGTAGGTGGGAAAATTACCATTAAATTGCAAGGCAGAAGCCTACTTCCTCAGGGCAGGGGGACAGGAGAGCTCATACTTGAGACAGGTGAAAAGCTGGAATTTGAGATTAAAGTCAGTGGAAAAGCCATGCTTGTCTTGGGAGAAATCCCGGGGACAGAATTGAAGACCTAAAGGAAATGCCCCTATTGGTCAAAGGGAGAGGAGGAGGGAATTCAGAAGGATGACCAGGCTAGGGCCCAATCCTGCTGATGGGCTTTGCAGAATCTGGGGACACTTAGCAGGGAGAGTTACAATCAGATGAGGTGTTGGTCCTGGAGCCAGTGCCTCCTGAATTCCACCTCTGTGGAGGACATTGACAGAGAGGTCAGGGAGGAAGCAAACCAAACTCCTCCTCAGGTCTGAGAGCACTGGAGTCAGCCCTGGCTGGTTATTCCAAGGTCTCACCTGAGCAGAGTCAGTCTGCAGCCGGAGTACAGGGGGCCCACACTGGTGTTCTTGAACAAGGGTCTAAGCTGTGGATGAGGGCATGGGAAGCAAATAGATAGGTTGAAAGCCAGGGCAAGATGGTCATCTGGTGAGTGGGGCAAGAGTGAAGCGGGCGAGCCTAGCACCAGGGGATGCGGCAGGAGTGGAGCGGTGGTCATGAGTGGGCAGGGCTGGCATCAGTATGCAGGATGGAGGTTAGGTGGGTGGAATTGGCTTCCTGGGTGGGGCCGGCATCAATGGGTGGGGCAGAGGTGAGGCGGGCAGGGCTGGCATCAATGGGTGGGGCTGGATGGAGTGAGCAGGGCTCTCACCAGGGACTGCAGGGACTTCTCTGTGGTGTTGAATTTCAAAGAGCCTGGAGGCCACATGTCCTCCAAATAGTGCAGGTTGGTGATGGTGAAGTTGATGGTGAAAGGCACCAGGGGTGGTTCTGTGGCTGCAGCAGGGGAAGGAGAGGAGAGACCATGCTGAGTCCAGCTGAATGGGGGCAGGGCCTGGCACCATAGCCCTGAGAACCGCAGCCATCTCGCTGGAGACCACAGCGATGGCTGAGCGTGCTTGGGGTGATGCCAGAATAACCAGTATGGACAATGTTAGACCATCAAATGCTTCAGGGGAAAGAGGGAAAGATTTGGAAGCTATGAAGCTTTGAAGGAGACCGTCTACAACCCACCATTCTTATTCACTTCAATTGTTCACTTACTTTCCTCCATCCATCCACCCAACCAACATTTAGTGGCCACTTTTCTGTGTTCAGCAGATAACACAGAGGTGATTCACAGATGACTCATTGAAATGATTTCCCAGCCTGTGTCCTGGACTCTTTCCCTCCCTGACAGCTGGAGATGTGGACAGGGCCTTGCTGCTTCCTTCCCTGGTGGGGGCCTTCAGAAGACCACTGAGTACTCACCACTGGGAGTAGTTTCTGAAGTCTGGTTGGTGTAACCTGAAGAGAGAGAGGGAAAGAGAGAGAGAAGGTGCTGGAGGTGGAGAAGGAATAAAGAAGGCATGGAGAGTGAGAATGCAGGCTCAATAATTCAGCAAAGCAAAGGTGGCCACTGCTCACCATTGACATAGAGACTGTTCTGGTCCAGGGTGTAGGGACCCAACTTGGTGATGCCTTGGGTCAACTGGCTCAGCTCCCGGTACAGCTGCTCTCTGTCCAGCCCTGGACCCACGGGGTCAGGGTGGTGGGTGCAGACAGCATCCACGCCAGTGGCTGCTCCATCTTTCTCAGGTCTGTGGAGGGAGGGATACAGGGGTAGAGACAATGAGGAGTCATCTGTGGAAGGTCCTTGAGAATGTTGTGGGGGGTACCGTAGGGAAAGTTGGAAAGTGCTGGGGCTCTTGTCAACAGACATTTGCTGAAATCCTTCCTTGGCTCCTTACTGGCTGTGGGTGAAGCCCAACGTCCCAACAAGCACAACACGGCATCCAGGCCTGCCCTGCTCACCTCTCCGCCTTCCCCTCGCTTTTGAGTATTTCTGTCCTGCATGCTCTCTCTACCTTAGCCACTGCTTTCTCCACCTGTGTTCCCTCTCCCTGAAACACTCCTCCTGGCATGGAGTGGTGTCTCCTGGCCATCGCCTACTGCTCTCCAGGTATGAGCTCCCATCTCAGTTCTTCCTAGATCCACTATACTTCCCTCACCTCTCAGCACTTCAAGTCTCTCTGGACCTTGGTTTCTCATCTATAAAATGGGTGTAATCATGGTACCCACGTGTATCTTGTGAGGATTAAATCTACGGATATAAGTAATGTGCTTAGAATAGTATCTGGTACATCCTAAGTGCTAAGTGAGCGTCTGCTGCTATTATTTTATTTTCCATTATTATTACTATTAATTATATGTTTGCCATTAGTTAATATGTATACATATGTTTGCATACATTTATAGATCATTAACATGATGCACTCTTTTTGAGTGCAGAGTCTATGCTTTGGCCCCCATCGAGTTTTCAGAGCTGAGCAGAGCTTGGACACAGGTGCTCAAGCAACATCTGTGGAAGGAAAGAAAATCTGTGGAACTCCAGGCCAGGGGAGTGGGGAGGCCCCTTTTGCTGTGGGTGCATCAGCATCCTAGGCTAGGCTCTAAGAAAGATGACTTCCTTCCATCTCTCTCTCTCCTAGCACTTCAGGGAAGAAATCCTTTCTCAAATTCTAATTTTGGAGGCATGGAGAAAATTCCAGGGAGATGCCCACTGAAGCTAAACCTTCTAGAGACCTCAGAATGGAGCTGGCTATTCATATTCTGGAACCCCCATCACTAGCTGAACTAGGGAGTTCCACAAGTCTGCACCAGAAGGGAGCAGAGAATTGCAGGCTGGGCTCATGGGGAAGGGATGTGAACCTATGGTTCTTCCAAAAGAAAAGAGGCAAAGCTTAGCAGAAAAAGCATGGGCTCTGAGGAGACAGGGTTGGAATCCTGGCTCTACCAATGGGCAACTACTGGCTTTGGGAAAGTTCCTTAACATCTCTGTGCCTTAACGCTTCACGGTAAAATGAGGATATTAATAGTGATGTTAAAAGAGTTCAGGGAGATGATGTATGGGAACCATATAGCTGTCCCCTTGGATTTGCACTCTCGGGGACAATTGGCAATGCCTGGAGACATTTTTGGTTGTCACAACTTTGAGCAACTGGAGTGCTGGAGGCATCTAGTGGGCAGAAGCCAAGATGCTGATGAATATCCTAGAGTGAAGAGGACAGCCATCCACAACTTTATTTATCTAACCCAGAATGTCAATAGTGACCGTGTGTCAAGAACCCCAAAGTCTGACACATACTAAGTGCTTGCTGTATGTTAGCCTTCAGAAATGTTTATATGCTGTGTGGGGTTGGAGGCACGGGAGTCTGTGGGTGTGTCCTTTATGAAGGAATTTGGTGCATACTTTTGGGGTGCTACATTTTGTCGTTTTGTTCCTAATCAATAATGCATGGGAGATTTGAGGCTCAAGAGGATGGGAAGGTCCAGAGCAGGGCCTGGGGGTCAGGAGCCTGAGGCACAGTAGCTGTCCCAGGTGGAGAGTTGCAAAGGACTGAGGCTAATGGGAGGCCCCAGCCCTAGAGGACTGTGGGTAAGAATCTCCACTATGTGTCACCGGGCCGTCTTCTTTGGAGGTCTTACCTGAGCGAAGTTAGTCTACAGCCAAAGTAGATGGGACCAACACTGGTATTCTTGAACAAGGGTCTGAGCTGTTGAAGGAGAGAGAGGTGAGTAGAAAGACTGCATAGGACAAGAGCAGGACCAGGATGAAGTGGGCAGGACCAGCATCAGTTGGGAGGCAGGGAGAGGTGGGAGGGGCAGGGGAGAGGCGGACTCTCACCAGGCGCTGCAAAACCTTCTCTATTTTGTTGAACTTCGCTGAGCCAGGAGGCTGCATGTCCTCCATGTAGCGCAGGTTGATGATGGTAAAGTTAAGGGTGAAGGGAACCAGGTCAGGTCCAGAGACTGCAGTGAGGTTAGGAGAGAAGTCACACCCTGAGTCACCACCTGAGCTAGATTCAGGGGTCATCAAGGAGAGTCTGGATCCACATCTCAGTAGCCCAGTGCAGTCACATCTGGTGCAAGAGCTCAGAATGTCTCCTCCCAGAATGGGAAGCTTTATTTTATTATTCTATTAATAGTAATGATAATAAAAATGACAATAAAAATAGGAGCAATAATAACAGCTGATGTTTGTTGAGAGTTTAGTTTATGCTACACTCTGTGTTATGTAGCACTTTCCATCCAGGATCTCATGTGTTCCTCACCCCTCACCCAACCCCTGGAGGTGAGTCCTGTTACTTATACCCAACTGACAGAGGATGACAATGAGTTTCAGAGAGGTTAAATCACTTCCCCAACATCACACAGCTATTTTAGGGCAGAAGCTCTGACTCTAGTGTTTGAATGACTTAGAGTTGAGTCCTGCCCATCTATTGGTTGTGTGACCTCTGAAAATCACTGAGCCTGCCAAGAACCACTCTATGCCTCTCTTCAATGGAGAAATAGCAGTGTCTACCTGCAGGGGTTGAAGGTCATACATGTAAAGAAGAGCCTCGGTTATGTGACAATGAAAGCTGCTGTTATTGCTTTGTTGTCATTGTTACCATTGTGTCTACTTTCTCTGCCGACCCCTTTAGTCTCTGCCCTTTGGGAATTAGTTCTGGGTTTACCCTTGACTACTCCCATTCAGTTGTTGCAGAAGGTGAAGCTTTGGGAATTGTTTTAGAATGCACTGCTGGGTCTGTTCTCACTAACTGACCCCTCCAGGTCCCTTAGGGCCAACATGGTCACAAGCTGGTCCCTGGTAGGTCACCTGGGATAGATTGTAAAAATAGCCACAAATTCTTCACCTCCCTGCATCTACACCCTTCAGTGTGGTGTTGCAGCCCCTTCCACCAAGACGTGGGAGTCTATTTCTTGGCCATGACTTGCTTTGGCCAGTGGGACAAGAGAAACGTGATGCAAGCAGAGGTGAGAAAAGGGCTTGTGCACTGAGGCTTGCCCTTTCTCGGTGTTGGGGGCTCCATGACCACCATGTGAACCAGCCAAAGCCAGTCTGTTGGATGATGAGAGGTTATGTGAAGGAGAACTGCGGCACCCTAACCATCAGTCAGGCATCCTCCAGAAGCAGAGTCACTAGCAATCTGCAGGTGATTGTAGATACATAAGGAAGCTTAGTTCAGACTAGAGGAGTGCCCAGCTGACCAATATACTAGCGAGCAGCAGCAAATGATTGTTTTAATCCATTAAATTTGGGGGTCATTGGTTATGTTGTTTGTAAGCAAGCTAACTGATACAAAACCTTAACAGAAAGCCAAGAGTAGATTACAAGGAGCCACTCCTTCAGTCTAGGATTGAACACCTGGAGTCACAGAGCTCTCCAAACCCAGGGATGGCCTTGGACTGGTCTGTGGTGAGGGTGTGGCCCCAAAGGGTCATCCTCCCTACCCTGTCCCCTTGCTTTGACCTGCCTGTGTGTACTTTCTTGTCTTTCTCATTGCTAAACATGGAGGCAAGTAGGTTGGAAGGAAGGAGACACGGAGAGAAGGTTCCCACCTGTAGAGCTGGAGAGGGAGATTGGTGCCGTGGATGTTCTCAAGGAGGGTGTGGACGCCACAGAAACTGAGGAGAGAGCACCAGAAATGAGAATGATGCCATCTCATCACCTTGGAAATGCCAGAGAGAGAGGGCTTGATGCCCAGCCTGAGTCACAAAAGGCAGAGGTGGGGGTAAGTGAGTAACCAGGACCCTTCCTCCATGAGGCCCAGGACTTTGGGAGGAGGGACTAGCTGCCCCCACAAGGTGTTGGAGGGGCATGGGGCCACTTAGGGTTTGAACACTTACCACTGTGGGTGGAGGTCAAAGCTGGTCTGGTGTAACCTGCAGAGAGTGGGTAAGAGTGAGAGTGAGGTGGGATGTTTGAAAGGCTGAAGGAAGGGGTGAAGGGGCTAGGCCATTGGCAGAAGAATGGATGCCATCAGGAGGTTGTGTCTCTTCTAGACAGTGAGTTGTGCCTCCTATAACCTTTCTCTGACTTTCCATCTCTCTATGTGTGTGATGTAGGCCTTGGTGGCGAAAGAGGACCTCACAAGGAAAAGACTGAGGAGAGAGAAATCTAGAAGCAGACATGGATGCCTCCTCTGGTCAGAGCTCAGAGCAGCAACAGAGGAAGCCACCTGGGGTACAGGTGGAGACCCCTGCCCCCACCGGACACTTACCGTTGACATAGAGACTGTCCCTGTCCAGGATGTAGGAACCGAGCTGGGTGACACCATGGGTCTGGTGGCTCAGCTCCCAGTAGAGCCGCTCCCTGTCCAGCCTGAGGCCTGCAGGGTCAGGACGGTGGGTGCAGATGGCATCAACTCCCGTGGCTGCTCCACCATTTTCAGGCCTGGGGAGAGAAGGACATGGGTATTGGGCTAGGAGAGAAGGGCACGTCTGGTAGGACATCCTTTCATCAGCCCACTTGTATGTGGACGCCTGCTTATCTGCTCTCCTGGTCCAGGCATGAGCCACTCACAAGAGAAGGAGCATCTTCAAGTCACAAAAGACCAGAGTGGAGTTTACAGTCAGGTGACCATTGGTTCAAACCTTAGTTCTGTCACCTGTTGACTAATCCACGTAAGCTTCTCTGACTCCGTTCTCCCATCTTTGCAGCATGGATTATGCTGTAACCACTTTGTTGGAATGTGATGGGATTCAGAAATGATTGATATAAAATACTCAGCCCTGGTGCCAGGTACATGATAAGTGCTCGTTAATTAATCATTTGCTTAATTAAACAAGTGTTTACAGAGCAGCCACAATGCCTGGCAAGACTGGACAGCAGCTCTCAAAAGAGATTCATCAGCTCAGAAAGATGATCCAACCCAGTTTTTGGATCTGAGCGTCTGAGCATGAAATACTGCATGGCAGAGCTCCCCACCCACTGCCCACCTGCCTCTTACAGAAACAGCTCTCTGGGGCAGCAGGAGAAATGAGGCCTGAAGGGATAACCTGGGAGATGTAGCAGGTGGCACTGCCAGAGAGCATTATAGTGGAGAAATGGAGTGTCTCTTGCACCTCAGCGGGATGGAAGCAGCCTTGAGCTACTTCCGCGCTAGTTCTGTCATCCTAGAGACTTGACGAGGGCACAGTGTCAGTTGTTATGCCTGGTGATGCTGCTTATGCTAAAAATGATCCTTGTTGAGGACCTACATCTTTTCTGGAAAGACTGTAAATAGACATCAATACCTGGCAGGAAGCTATAGCTTTGGGATTCCTTGCATGTGTGGTGACCCTGATAACTGGGCAGCTCTTTCATAAAGGACCGGTTCCTCTGTGGGACATGGGGCATTTAACCCAGGGTGGTTTCAGTACCTATCCATTGAGATTTAATTTCCTTGCACGTGAACTGTCACTCAGGAGGCCAAAGGTATAGCCCTTGGGCTTCCCAGAAGGCTCTTGCAAAAAATAAATGTCAGTGCTGTCCTGCTGGTATGCCGTTTTCTGTCCATATCCTTCTAGGTGAAACTGAAGTCATGGATGGCTTACTCAGGTCTGGAGAGTCTGACTAGCCCCAGAGCTGGGAACAGCGCGAGCGAGGTGAGCGAAGACCTAGATACAACCTCTAAGGAGTGCTCAGTCTCAGGGCTGTGCAAGTATAGAGTTAGCACCTCCTTAAATAAATTTTGTGCCCTGGGCACCTTGTTTGCGCACCCTAGTCTGGGCCCTGGCCAACCCAACAGACCCACACTTACTATACCACTAAAAGCAAGACAAAGAGCAAGACTCACCTTAGCGTGGTCAGTTTGCAGCCAGTATAGAGTGAACCGATGCTGCTGCTGGTGAACAAGGGCTTGAGCTGAGGGGAAAAGAGTGGGTGAATGGAAAATAAATGTAAAATTATTCATCACTTAAGACACAGTATTTTTGAATAAAACAATAGCTCCCTAGTCATCTCATCCCACATTTATCTCAAAAGGACCCTTTGGGATAAGCGCTTTTGTTATCTCAGTTTACAGACGAGGAAGCAGTAGCAAAAGGCGAGATCACTACTCTAAAGTCAAGTCACTTGTCTGTGGCAGCACCAAGTTTTGAATCTGGGCCTGTCTGCCTCCTGAGCCCTCTGTGTCCTCCAACAGCATAGCACGGAGACTCAAGAGGGTGGGGAGGAAGTTGGAAAGGAGGGATATGGAGGAGGGGCCTCTCACCAGGTGTTGTAGGACTGCCTCTGTGGAGTTGAACTTGGCAGAGCCCGGCTGCATGTCCTCTGTGTAGCCCAGGCTGGTGATGGTAAAGTTGAGGGTGAAGGGCATCAGAGCAGGGCCAGTAGCTGCAGGGGCGGAAGTGGAGGAGAGGCCATGTCGTGAGTCGGGCTTGGACCAGATGTGAGGCAAAGGACCACTAGGAAACAACCCCTGCCTGCTCAGAGGACCCCATCATCTTGGAGACGCCAGAGAGAGGCTATCACTCTCTGTTCACCTGAGGCTGGAGATGGAGTGGGGGTGGGGAGTAAAGGCCACAGTACATTCTGTTTTACACTGTCCCCAGCTTTGGCCACACACAAAAACTAAAGATGGTGGTGTCTTGGTGTTACATAAATGAGCCAAAGGTGGAGCCTGTAAATTAGCCCTAAGATTATTTATTTCTTTAGAGCAGGCTGGGATCCATTAGCTCAAAAGCCTGCAAGGACCAAACTCACTATTGCACATCCAGTTGTTTTAAACATAGCCCAAACAAGAGGATTTTAGAGCCTGCCTGATTTGCATACCCCATGAAACTGCACCCAACATCTGATGGCCATAAAAAGGACAAAGCTTGTGGCTATAAAGAGCCTAAGCCACTGGCACCCTTTAGAGCTTTCTAACTTAGAGACTCCCCACCAGGCTGTTGAGTGACATCAGCCTCCTCTCTGATCCCCTCCTCCCTTGGGAGCTCCCTTGCTCTTCTCCCTTTCTGAGTAGTGAGCCCCACGCCATAACCTCACCATAACCTCTTGAAGGTGTCAGGCTGTGAGGGACTTCCCCTGCATGTAAACCTGTGAAAGCCTTGCCCAATAAAGCTTGTGTGTGCTACTACCATTTAGTGGTCATGTCTTTTTCTTTGATCAACCCTGAAACCCCTTAAAACTCCTATGCTGGGTTGGGCTGGTGAGACTAGGTGAGAAATGGAGAGTTAAGGACCACAAACTTGTCTTGGCTTGAGTCAGTTTCTTCCTCACACCAGGTCACCTTTGAGGACCCTCCTGGACAGGTTTAATCCTTGTTTGAGAATTTGCATGAGGAGCAATTTGTCAAATAATAATTTTTTCCAATTTAATAAGACTCCTTTAATAAGACTTATTTTATGAATAATTCTTCTCAAGTAGATTCTGATCCAAGAGTATATACAAAGCAAGTAGACAAGGCCAGAATCTGTTCTGATGTCTTTAAAAGTTAATGTCATGATAAAAATCAGGATGGGGGAAGGGCCAGCCCCATGACCTATTGGTTAAGTTCGGCATGCTACACTTCAGCAGCCTGGGTTCCGTTCCTGGGTGCAGACCTACACCACTCATTGGCAGCCATGCTGTGGCAGTGGCCCACATATAAAATAAAGGAAGACTGGCACAGATATTAGCTCAGGGCGACTCTTCCTTAGGAGGAGAAAAAAACAGGATGGGAAATGGGGGTTCTGAGTAGGACTATTCTAAATCAAAAGACACTAAAAAGACAATAACATAATTAATATAGGTGGCTTGAGTGAATCCTGGTTTGGAAACAGCCACCTATAAAAGGAAGACATTTGGCTAAAATGGGAATATGGACTGCATATTAGATGATAGCAAAGTATCCTCGTTTTTAATTTTTTAAAATTTTTTTATGGGAGTGTTTCTGCACTCTCTGGGAAGGCAACCAACCATCCCAGAGAAACTGTGGGAAAACTGGTTGGTAGGGGTGGTTTGGGCTCAGCACCCAAGTCAGGGATCCATTGGTGGGGACCAGGTCTTTTTTTTAAATATTGGTGCCTGAGCTAACAACTGTTGCCCATCTTCTCTTTTGCTTTTTTGTCTTTCTCCCCAAAGTCCCCCAGTACATAGCTGTATATTCTAGTTGCAGGTCCTTCCAGTTGTGCTATGTGGGATGCCACGTCAGCAGGGTTTGATGAGCGGGGCTGGGTCCACACCTGGGATCCGAACCAGCAAAACCCTGGGCTGCCGAAGTGGAGCACTGAAACTTACCTACTCAGCCACAGGGCCAGCCCCCAAAGTATCCTTATTTTCTGAAGTGTGGTAATGGAATTACGGTTACATTGGCAAAGTCCTAATGTTTGGTGATTCTTGCTGAAATATTTAAAGGTGAAACATCATGATATGTGCAACTCTTAAATGGTTCAGAAAAAAATTATGTCTACTTCTACACACAGTCAGTTCTGTTACAATGCCTCTTTTGAAAACGTGATCTTTTCCAGGGGACATTGATACATTAGGGAACAATTTGAACATAACGTAAATTTCATATTGGCTTATGTGCAATATCTTTTGCAAGGCACACAAGAGAAACACTAGATAAATGCAGAAAACTGCACCCAGCTGAACCTAGCTACACAGGCATACACAAAACGCATGCGCACAGCTCAGATATCTCCCAGCTCCATCAGGGGCCCCTCAGGTGTTATGAGGGATACCCATATCCATGCTGGGTTCTAAATTTCTGTATGCTTTCAGGTAACCCTCCTTTCAAACCTCTTCACAATAACTCACAAGCTTCAATCCTTCCACAAGCAAATGTCAGGCCTCTGCCAGGGTAAAATGCTATATTTATTGTAGCATTTATGTATTTCCTAACCATTTAACATATGCAAAACTTTGTTGTTTTCTTAGATGCCTAATTTTTATGTCACTGACAAGGTTTTTGAGGGTTGACTCCAAATCTCACTTTTCTCATAAGCCCTGTGGTTTTCATTGTGGGATTTTTGCACAGCACATGTTAGGAACACCTGTGTCACGTTACAGCAGCACTACAACGTGCAGGAAGCAAATGAGACAAAGTGTCAATGACTGTGGTGGACAGATGGATGTTCCTTGCCCTATTCTTTCAACGTTTCTGCTATTTTTGACAATTTTCTTAATAAAAAGTGGGGGGAAAACACAGACACACAAAATATTCATGAAATGCTGAAATGAGCCCATGGTCTCTAGACTCTGAGAGATCAAACATTCCTTAAAATGCCACTAAAATAAAATGGCTGTATGCATTGACTGTAGTAAGACAGACTACATATATTCACAAGGAACATATTCATAAAGACATTAAAAGAAGGATAAAGTCATATCTATTCAGCATATTCACGAAGAATATTCCTTAAAGCAAGCTGTTGGTGGATTGGTTAATCGGGTAAACTGGGGAATTGATCATTTGCTGAGCTGGCTTTGGCACCCTGGCCACTGGACAAATCTATTCTCAGTGAATAGGTCTGCTTTGCATTCTACCAAGGGTTGCTGGATGATTTGGAAATTAGGGGCCACCTACAAGTTTTGGAAACATGGTTCCAGAGAATAGCTTAGGACTCTGAGTGCTGGGGCTGGGATCGGTATTCAAAAAATTCCCAGGGACTTGGGTAGGTCTCATAAGATCCTCAGAGTCAGGTTTAGGCTCTGAGAGATGCCACATACTCCACCCTTCCTCCTACATCCTGTGTTTAGAGATCAACTGGAGTCACTGGGAGCATCTTCAGAAAGAATGCCTACCTGCGGAACTGGAGAAGGCGGTTGACATCCCTGCAGAAACTGTGACCACCATAGAAGCTGGAGAGAGAAAAAACCCTGAGAGCCTGGGGTGGGGAACCATCACCTTGGAGACATCAAGGAGGGGTGGCCATGCCTGGGGATTTCTTGGGTGTGGGGTCCCTGTTCACCCAAGGCTAGGATGCAGTAGGGGTGCAAAGTGGAGGCAGTGGGCTCCTGGCCTCTTCCATTCCTAGGTGCTGGGACTTACAGGGTTAGAGACTTCTGAAGCCTCAGAATACTCACTGCTGGGGGTGGTAGCCTGAGTCTTGCGGGTGTAACCTGCAGGTAGAGGGAGATAAGGTGAGGGGGGTGCAAGAGGAGAGAAAGGGAAGATCGGAGGGGGAGGATGGGGGACGTGTTGAAATGCAAAAAAAAAGACGGCAATCCCTTACCATTGATGTAGAGACTGTCCTTGTCCAGGGTGTAGGGGCCCAGCTGAGTGACACCATGTGTCAGCTGGCTCAGCTCCCAGTACAGCTGCTCTCTGTCCAGCCCGGGGCCCAAAGGGTCAGGGCGGTGAGTGCAGACAGCATCCACTCCAGTGGCTTTCCCATTCTTCTCTGGCCTGGGAAGGGCGGGTGAGGGGGATAACAATAAATAAAGTCCCTAGGGAGGGGTCCAGAGATCCCTAGGGGCAAGACAGGAAGGGGCCAGAGGAAATGAGAAGGCTGCTAGAGAGGTGAGAAGCCAGCCTTAGATCCTCTGAGTGCCCTGACTTCCAGGCACCCTGAGACCATGAGCAGAGTAAGCAGGTGGGATAATTTTTATTAATTTGCAAGTTCGAAACCTGCTTCCTCAAGGCATGGGAGTAGGAGAGCTCATATTTAAGACAAGTGAAGAGCTGGAATTTGGGATTAAAGCCAGTGGAAAAGGCACGTTTTTCTTTAGGGAAATCCTGGGGACAGAACTGAAAACGTGAAGGAAATGTCCTCACTGGTCAAAGGGAGGGGAGGAGGGAATTTAGAAGGATGACCAGAGGAGAGGCCCAATCCTGCTGATGGGCTTTGCCGGATCCGGAGACACTTAGCGGGGCTATAATCAGAAGAGGCGTTGGTCTTGGAGTCAGCGCCTCCTGAATTCCACCTCTGCTTGAGGATTCGACAGAGAAATAAGGAAGGAAGCAGAAGAGCAGGAAGGAAGTGGAACAAACTTTCGGGTCTGGGAGCACTTGAAGGAGCCCTAGCAGGCTATTCCGATGTCTCACCTAAGCAGGGTTAGTCTGCAGCCGGAGTACAGGGTGCCCACACTGGTGTTCTTGAACAAAGATCGGAGCTGAGGTGGAGGGAAAAGAGGGAGAGTAAGAAGTCTGATGGATTGTGGGCAGGGCAGAAGTGAGATGGGTATGGCTGGGATCAATGGGCGGGGCTTGCATCTACGCGGACAAGGGTGGTAGGTGAGTTCTGCTTTGGTAGGCGTGGCAGAGAAGTGGGCGGGGCGTGCACCTGTGGGCGGGGCTCTCACCAAGTCCTGCAGGACTCTCTCCGTGGTGTTGAACTTCCAGGAACCGGGGCGACGCATGACCTCCTCAAAGTGCAAGTTAGTGATGGTGACGTTGAGAGTAAAGGGCACCAGAGGAGGACCAGTGCCTGCAGTAGGGGTGGGAGAGAGACGCCCACTGAACCTACCGTGTGCTGAGTGAGCCTAAGTGTGGGGAATCTCACATGCCTGTCTATGTGCATTGGGAGGGTCTTCCTCCAAGACTAGCAGTTTCCATAGGGAGATCCCAGACATCAGCATTAACTGAGGGGCACTGGGGCTAAGTATGGAAAATTGCACTATGGGCGTAAATGCATCATCGAGCAGGTAGCAAGCATATCTGACCCTCTGGTTGGCTAAAATCTATACATGCATGCTCTTTTCCTGAGGTTTTTCTTTTTTTTAAATCCAATGTTTCTCTGAGATCCACCTATTTATTGATTTTTAAAATTTTTGAAGAAATGCTTACATTGCATTTTTACGGGTCAGCCCCTGTTTTAAGTGCTTCATTTACATTTAAACCTTGGACCAAACTCTTCGGAAGGACATAATATTCTTATCCCCATTTTATAGATGTGAAAACTGAGCCCAGGGAAGGTTAAATAATTTACCCCAAGTCACATAATCTATAAATGGCATAGCGTAGTTTGAACCCAGGCATTGTGGTCCCAGAGTCTGTGCCACTAACCCTCCACCTGGGACCATGGGCAGGTCCCACCTACAGTGGCGGCTCATTTGGGCCTGAGTGGTCAGCGGTCAGAATGCCCTCAGGAGGCCCTAGAGGATGAGTGACTAGAGACTCCAGTTAGACAGCTGTAATGATGGCTCATCTAGGACCCTCAGCAGGGTCGATGGGTGGTATGGAAATCTACCATGGGCCAGTGGGAGGCCAGGAATGGGAAGCTGACCCTTAGTGCAATCAGAGTCTGCTCAAGTCTCTGACCAGGACCTGTAAGAGGGCATTTTCTAGGTACATATGTAGCTCATGCTGTTCCCTTCTTTCCTGGAAAGGAAAACTAAGTACCTGAGAGAGAGAAGCCCTCCATGCATATCTGCAAAACTTAGCCTAAGACCCTGCTGATGGTAATTCAATACCTATTTATACACTCAAGAGTTCATTCTCTGTCTTTCTTGATGGAAGCCCATCAAAGAGTAGGGCCCTTTCTATTCTGTTTACTGCTGCATGAGCAGGGCCTTTTATACAGTAAGTGATAAATAAATACTTATTGAATGAATGAATGAATGAGTGTGGCTCTCCACATGATACCTCCCACTGGTCAAGTGCAGCAGACCTTTCAGGGGGGAATCCCAGAAAGAAAGTTCCTACCTGTGGCTACGGGGACTGGGATCGCTGAAGATGCTGGGGAGATAGTAGAGGCCATAGCAACTGAGAAGAAAACAAAGCGAGACAAACATGGCAGAAGGGAGGGCTTCCTCAGCCAAACAGGACTCATCATGGGACCTTAAGACCATTTTCTTGTTCAGCCTCAGGTCTGTGCTGGGCTTGTCTTTTCTGAGCCAGGGTGTGAAGGTGGGGAAAGACCAGAGTGGGGACAGCAGAGAGGAGAAATGGGCCCCAAGGCAACGCAACACTAGGACCCAAATTACTACTCACTGCTGGGAGTGGAGGTCAGGGCTTGATGGGTGTAACCTGAAGAAAGAGATGGAGAGAGGGGATGAGAACTTGTAAGGATGCAGGATGGGAGGAAGTGGCAAAAATCTGGGGCTCTTTGGGTTTCTATGAATCTATTATTTAAGTAATATTTATACAGCACCCTCAAAGTGCAGACCCTATACACAAACCCCAAAGAATGTCACTGGAGCACAGGGAAGAATTTCTATATCAGGTCATCCGTGGTCTATCCCTCTGCCATCTGTCCCCTCCTCCTTCTCTGAGCGTCTGATCCCTCAATATATCTCCAGAAAAGCTGTGAATGTATGCCTTTTCCTGAGGGAAAGAACTAGAGGTGAAGGCCAGTTTGGGACAAGCTCAAATCCTCCCCACACCGGAGAGGACAGGAGATCCAGAATGTGAGTCATGAACCCAGAGCACACTGCCTGCAGTGAGACCCACGGGGAAGCAGGAAAAGACCGGGGCTGCGGCACTTTCACTCACCATTAACATAAAGGCTGTTCTTGTCCAGGGCGAAGGAGCCCAGCTGGGTGATGCTGTGGGTCTCACGGCTCAGCTCCCAGTACAGCTGCTCTCTGTGTAGCCCAGTGCTTGTGGGCGCAGAGCGGTAGGTGCAGATGGCATCCACTCTGGTGGCTGATCCATCCTTCTCGGGCCTGGAGAGGGAGGAACACAGGGATGGGGGCATATGCAGGACTGATGATGAGGGCAACTTGCAAGAATGATAATACCTGGAAAAGCCACAAAGTTGAAATCACCTTCTTTGGAAGGCAAAAAAAAAAGGAGACAAAATATCTAGAATTTATCCAATAGATGAAGAAGGTGAATTAGGACTCAGATTGGCACAATGTTTGTTCATCATCCACGTACCAGCCTCCTACCATCCCACTCAGATTGGTCCAAGGGGAAAAAAAGAAAAAAGTGGGCACAACCCCAAAATCTTGCATCTCTTTTGAACACCTTAAATGTGGGTTTAGAAATGTGCATGCCCCAAGGACTGTTCATTTTTGCCTTAAAAATTACAGAATAATTTTGGAAATTGCAAGGCACTAACTCCTGGGAGATGTTCTACACCTTGTTTGGGACTTTAAGGAAGTCTAAGAAGACAGGAACTGGCAGAGGGCTCAGTATATGCAGCATCACAGGTGCCCAGAGCCTGCTACACTGGGCAGGTGGGGAACATGTATGCGGTGGAGGAGAGGAAGTGAATCTGGGAGGTGTGAAATGAGTAAGGGAAACCTCAACTAAATTGGAGTGGGGAAGGCCTCTAGGGGGAGCCCTCACACTCAACACACCTTGTCAATTACTCTAACCAGAAAAAGACAAACACTTGCACCTCTGGCGGCAAGTGCAACTATTTTGCTGCTGTAGAAAGATTTCTCTCCTTACCCGGCAACAGCCCAGCTAATGAGAAACACAGCTCAGCCAATGAGAAACCACCATGAACTGATACTTTTCCCCGGACGGACTTTCTATTAGAACAGCCCCTTTCTATTCTCTGTTATTCTCTATAAAGGCAGCATCCCTCCTTTGTTCTCTGGATTTGCCTATGGTTCACCACACCATGCACATCCTTAGTTGCAATCCCTTTGGCTATTCCTGAATAAACTTATTTGAGGGTAAAATAACAGGAGAATTAGATTTTTAATTGACAGAGGCATAGGATGTGAGCATCCACTCCTGGGTGTCTCACCTGAGTGACGTCAGCCTGCAGCTGGAATACAATGGGCCGATACTGGTGCTCCTGAACAAAGAACCAAGCTGGGGAGGAAGGAGAGGGCGGTAAGGAGGAGAAGGAGACGGGGCCTTGAAGGGATGAGGAGGAGTGGGCATCAGGCATCTCGGGGCTCTTACAAGGTGCTGCAGGACCTTCTCTGTCATGTTGAACTTTGCAGATCCTGGATGTCCCATGTCTGGCATGTACTGCACGTTCATCACGGTAAAGTTGAGGGTAAATGGCACCAGGGTAGGGCTTGTAGCTGCAGCAGGGGAGGCAGATAAGAGAACCTGTCCTGAGCCTGCTATGGCTCTCTGTCCAGTCCCTCTTCCAGCCTCCCTGGGCCCTCACACCCATGAGCTCTCATTCTCTCCACCAGAGGGCTCCATCCAGCTTGGTTCTTAATCCAAAGCAGCCAGGGACCACTATTTCAGTCATGCCCAACAGCTCTTAGTATACGGAGTTGGTTTTTCTCCCAGGAGCTCTGATTTTGGGGTACCTAATGTGACCCCCAGGCTTCCTCTATATGGGCCCAGTCATGTGACCAGACTCAGGCCTCAGGTTCCTAGTTACAATTTGAGTTCATTCATTCATTTGTTGCATAAATATTTATTGAGCACCAGCTATGTGTTAGGCATCACCATGGCACTGGGCACATATATTTCTAGTTAGGGAAATAGAACTTATGTCAGGTATTTCAATAAGAATAATGTAATACAAAAAAAAAAAAAAAAAAAAACCCTGAAAAGGTAACACAGAGATTAGCAAAATCAAGAAGCCTCTAGCCCTGTGGGGCTGATGGATGAGAGAGTGGCATACTGAGATTGCTGAGACCATGGAGGACACACAGCCCCTGCTGGAGATACTGTACGAAGCTCACAGAGGTGAAGAAATATCCTGGCTCTTCTCCTGCCCCACCCACCACTGTCCTACCAATGCCTCCTATTGGCTGAACCTAATAGGAAGCTAGTTAGCTAGTGTGATCAAGCTTGGCTCAAACTGGTGTTCTCAGTCATGACCCAGCTGAGCCTGAGCTGAGCCTTCCAACTCACAGATGCCTTCCAGGAAAACCAAAGAGCCTTTTGCTCATCATCAAGGGACCGAATTTCCTTGAATTCTGTCCCAGAATCCTGTGACAACTTCAGTTGAATTGGTAGCGACTGCCTGGTGTGTTTTATTGGTAAGGATTCTGGAGATGTTTTGAGCTCAGAAGGCATGGATGCCATTATCATTAGTGACGTCTGCCATAGATGAGAGGAGTGGTGGCACAGATGCCATACATTTGTCCTGGTTAGAATCTAACAGAGTCATTAAAGATTTGAACCAGGGCAGGAATGGACTGTTACCACACATTACAAGAAAGCATATTCATTCCTTCCTTTCCTGGGAGAATCTACACATTTCTTGTAGACCTACCATGCACAGGGCACTGTGGTAGACACTAAGGAAGCACAGAGGAGTAAGACACAGTTGCTCCATGTGGCAGGTTTACTTAACATTGGGATCAACAGAAAACAAAATGTTCAAAAGCAGAAAAAAATCTAAGAGTCTGCACTTATTAATAAATGTAAGAATTGTTTTTAAAAATAAGTAACAGGATTTAAAGTGAGTGATAAACAAAAGGTTTCCACGGCTTCCTTGTCTATAATGATAGAAAGTTTTTAAAAAGCATATTTAATAATACTAGTTAGATGCTGAGCATAGCATTTGGTTTGTATCCAGTATTCAATAATGTGAGATATTGCCTGTTTTCTTTCTGATCACCATCATCATCACTGTCACTACCACTATCATCACCTTCACAATCACCATCATCATCATCGTCACCATTACCATGATTATTGTCATCACCATCACCACTACCACCATCATCATTAACATTAATGTCATCAACACAACTATCATTATCATCACTGATGTGGGGTCGGTGAGCCGAGGAGTCAAAAGAAAGATTTCTTAGACTCTCAAGATCTGGCAGTAGTGCTCTTTTATTTAGAGAATAGTATAGAATAGCATGGGGACAGGACCCATGGGCAGTCAGAGATGCTGCTGGCATGGGGAGCTGCTTGCTGCCACCGCTGGCATGGGGACAGGACCCATGGGCAGGCAGAGCTGCTGCCAGCATGTTGCTGCTGCCGCTTCTGCTGCCCCAAATTGAGGATTAGAGCTAAATTTAAGGCATAGGTATGTGAGTTGTCTCTTTACAAGACAAAGAATATGTAAAAACGTTAAAATGGTATCAGTGCCCATATGGTCTGGCCATTGGGCGGTCCCACAACTTTTAGATAAGAATCAAACCGGAATGAGTAAATGGCAGAAGTCACCGCTTGAATATTATCCTCAGCTAAAGACAAAGGAGGATTTGGGGGGGGGGGGGGTCAGTTACATGAGGTTGCCAGATAGTAAACAACTTAAGTTCTTGCCTCTGGCATTGATTAAGAGTTTCTAGAGATAAGGCCATCCCTCTTCTTCCTGGCACAGAGAGGAAGGCATCTTTACAGATGGAAGTTTCCCTTAGAAATGTAAACGTTTCCCAACAAAGGGGCAAGCAAATTCCACTCCTCAGAGCCTGCTTCTCATCTGCAGTTTTAAAATTAACCAGGCTAAAAATCCTCATCAGTCACCAGCACCACCACCAGCATCATCGTCCTCATCATCAACCCCACCATCATTATTATCATCATCACGATAATATAAGCTCAATGAGGACAGCGATGTTTTTCGGTTCTATGTTCCCTGCCATATCCCCAGGGCCTGGCACAGAGTAGGTGCTCAATAAAGGTTGTTGGTTCACTCATTATCACTAGATTTACTATGGCTTTTCATCTTTATTTGAGAGATTAATGTCAGAGATGTTCACACTCCTCAGGCACTCTCTAACAGATGTGCCATCGACTGTACTCACCTGTGGGGCTGGAGAAGGGGGCTAGAGTCCCAGAGGTTCCCAGGTCCACTGTGGAGGTCCCAGGAGCTGAGGAAAAGCCCTCATCAGCGAAAACAGAAAGGCATCACATGGCAGAAATGCCAGAAGGACAGACTATGTATTGGGCTTGCTGTATGTGGGGATTGAGCTGGAATTCTCTCTGGAACTGGGGAAGAGGGGAGGGTAAATAACTTGCACCCTCCCAGGAACTCTTTCTCTCCTGGAGAGGACATAATTGTGCCTGAGGAGGGGTCTGCTCCTTCCCCGCCTGAGGTGGAGGGCACTAGGCATCAGTGGGATACTCACTGCTGATGATGAGTTCAGAACTCTGATGGGTGAAACCTGTAGCAAGAAGAAGGGATGATAGTGGATGAGAGTTAAGGGAGAGGTGGGGGATCAAATAGGGATCAGGGCTACCCTGGTGCAATGGAGGGGGTTTCACGAGACAGAGGCTATGGGGGAGTCTCCATCAGCACCCTCACGTCATGAAACAAGGCCCTGAGGATGAAGTAAGCCCAAGATGAAGAAGAAACCACAAGGTCCACACCTGAATCAGCACATCCAGAGTGCACAGCCGAGCCGCTAGGAGCCAGATGGAGTCTGATCTCAAGTTAGAGAGCAAAGGCTACTCAGCGAGGAGGAAAAGACTCTGACCAAATCACAGCTGCTCACCGTTAACATAGAGACTGTTCCTGTCCAGGGTGTAGGGGCCCATCATGGTGACACCATGAGTCATCTGGCTTAGCTCCCAGTACAGCCGCTCTCTGTCCAGTTCAGGGCCTTCAGGGTCATGGCGATATGTGCAGATGGCATCCATTCTAGTGGCTGTCTCGTGCTTTTCAGGCCTGGGTAAAAACCTCCACATGGTTGGTCCAACTATCTCTCCTTCTATTCATCCTTCCCTCCCTCTCTCTGCCAGTCCCTAAGGCAGAATCTTAGGAAGGCCTGGTTTTCAAAGGAGCTGCTTCAGGGAGATTCCCTTCATAAATAACTAGGACACCACAGAACTCCAAGCCTCCTGCATGCTGGGAGAGAAGCCTCTGAAAGCACTGGGTGTATGAAAGTTACAGAGAGGTACTATTGAGGGGGCTGAACAATCCTGGAAGATGCCAAATGGAACCACAACATCCAAATCCTGTCACAGGTTTTGATGGACACAACAAAGTGCCTAGGGTCATGCTGTAATGGGTGACAGTGGCCCCATGACATGTGACCAGGGCATGGCTGGTGACGTTTTTCTGCAGAGAGTTGGGGCTTTCAAACGGTGGGATCAGAACGCTAGTCATCCTCTCTAGATCCTGTGTACCAGCAGGGCTGGGACATTTTGAAAGAGACTTCAAGAGACTAAATGGCTTGAGAGAGATGCCTTTTTGGTGGGTGTCTGAAAGCATGACTTGTCCAAAGGAAAGTCTCCATGTCTCATCTTCCGTCTCCAGCTACAGGACATCGATCCACCTACCCATCCACCTAGTCACACACTATTATTTGGAGAGAAAGGGCTCCCATGCCCTGGGGCCATGGATGAAACACCTCCCATAATAACAACTACCAATATCAAATACTTACTATGTGACATGCCCAGCACTTTGTATTCACGATCAGGTCATTTAAGCTTCAAAGCACCCCTATGGGCTGTATTCCTCAAAGCATCCTCAAAGCAAAGCATGTAATCCTCAAAGCTTCCCTATGGCCTCGCCCACTGATGCAAGCCCCGCCCACTAGCCCCAGCCCGCCCATATCACCCATGCTCCACCCATACCAGCTCCTCCCCATTCATCTCACCTAAACTTGCTTTTCCTCCCCTCTTAGATTCTCTGGCAAGTTCTTTTAGAGAAGTTGTCAGATTGGTATTTTCCACACCCTGCAAGGTCATGATGGGGGCAGAGCAGCAGCGCTGCTTGAGGGCTAGGAGTTTGGATCTAGAACCCAAAATGCTGGAGTTGTTCTGTGTGACCTGAACAAGCTACTTAATCCCTCTGAGCCTTAATTTCACCTTCTTTTCCTGTATCATGAGGCTGTTGTGAGGACTGATGAGATTAAATATAAAGTAATAGCACAGTGCTTTGAGTCTCCGTAATTGTTCACTGCTGGTATTATTGTTGCTGTTGATGCTTGGTATCCATGGGGAGTAGTTGTTCTAAGTATGGACAAAGGCAGGGAGCCCATAGGTTAGGATCCACCCACCTGTTAGCTGTGTTCTTGGGGAGGGTCTCACCTGAGCGAGGTTAGTCTGCAGCCTGAATAGAGGAATCTCAGACTGCTATTCTTGAACAAGCGTTTGAGCTATTAGAAAGGAGAAGCGAGGTGAGAAGGAACCCTCGAGGGAGGCCAGGAGAAGCTGGGGAATTGGTGAGGTGAATGAGGAGGAGATGGTATGGGCGGGGTACAGCTGGGGGTGGGGCTTGCGCTAGTGGGCGGGTCATGAGTGAAGTGGGTGGGGCTGACACCGGTGGGTGGGACTCTCACCAGACCCTGCAGGATCCTATCTGTGGTGTTGAATTTCCAGGAGCCTGGGCGCTGCATGTCCTTCTCGTAGTGCAGGTTGGTGATGGTGACATTGAGGGTGAACGGCACCAAGAAAGGGATTGCAACTGCGGGGGGGAAAGGAAAAAGGAGGCCACGCCTGAGTCAGACCTGGGCTGGGCTCTAAGGCAACTTCTGGGGGCAGAGATGGAGGGTCGAGATCTGAGGAAGCAGGGGTTCAAAGTAGGCAGGTGGGCTACCTTAGGACCAAAGACAGAAGGCGAGATAAGGAGCAAAGTGAGATGCTATTAAGTGCGGTAGCGGGCATGTCCATTAGGATAGGTATTATTGAAAAAAAAAAGGGAAATAAACAGTGTTGGCAAAGGTGTAGAGAAATTGGAACCCTTATGCATTGTTGGTGGGAAGGCTGGTGGAGTTGCAATGGAAAACAGTTTAGTGATTCCTCAAAAGGTTAAATATAAGATTACCATATGATCCAGCAATTTTGCTCCTAGGTAAATACCCCAAAGAATTGAAAACAAGGACTCAGATGCTTGAAGACAAATGTTCATAGCAGCAGCATTCACACTAACCAAAAGGTGGAAATAACCTAAGTGTTCATCAACAGATAAATGAATAAACAAAAGTTGGTATATACAATGAAATAGTATTCGGCCATAAAAAGGAATGCACTCTTGATACGTGATATGACGTGGATAAACCTTGAAAACATTATACTAAGTGAAATAAACCAGACACAAAAGGACAAATATTGTATGAGTCCCCTTATGTGAGGTACCTAGAATAGACAAATTCATAGAGACAGAAAGTAGATTAGAAGTTACCAGGGGATGGGGGAGGGAGCTAAGGTGAATTAGTGTTTAATGGCTACAGAGTCTCTGCTTAGGATGATAAAGAAGCCCTGGAAATGGATAGTGGTGATGGTCGCACAGCATTGTGAATGTACATTTAATAATGGTTACAATGGTAAATTCCATGGTGGTTTCAAATCCCCTCTCAGCCCCTCCCCAGCCATGTGACCAGGGATATGTTCCTCAATCTGTCTCTACCTCCATTTCTTCAACTGCAAAATGGGGAGAATCATACTCTGTAGGGAAATTACGAGGGTTAAAGGACTATTTATTAAAGGCATTGTGCTGAGTGAAAAAACCCAAGCCCCAAAGGTCACATGTTGTGTGATTCCATTGATAGCCTCAAAATAACAAAATTATAGAGATGGAGAACAGATGAACGGTTGCCAGGGGTTGGGCTGGGCGAGTGTGATTTATAAAAGAGCGGCATGAGGGAGATGTTTATGGCGATGGAACAGTTCTGTATCTGGAATGCAGTAGTGGTTACAAAAAAATTTGCCTATATGATAAAATGGCATAAAACTACACACACGCACATACACAAATACATGTAAAACTGATGAAATCTGAGGTCTGAAGTCTTTGATTTTAACAATGTCGATTAATTTCCTGGTTTTGATATTGTACTACAGTTAGGCAAGATGTTAACCATTGAGGAGAAACTGGGTGAAGGATACAGGGAATGCTGTACTATTTTTTGCAAATTCCTGTGAGTCTATATTTATTTCAAAATAAAAAGTTAAAAAAGAAAGAATGGCACACAGCCTGGCACATAGTAAGTGCCAAACGACATGGGTATCTTTTTAAATTATTATCCATTGTAATTGCACTTTCAATTTCAGTCTCCCTCAATACATTGTAAACTTCATGCGGGGAAGGACACACCGGACTTAACATCTTGTCCCCTCTGCCTAGCACAGAACATGTGCCCAATAAATATCTGTCAAGCTAAATTCCCTGGCAGTCCCTGTGCTGGGTTCCTACATACGTTTTCATTTAACTTTCACAATGACTTTATGGAGTATTATTATTCCCACTTGGCAGGTGAGGAAACTGAGGCACTGAGAGGGTGAGTAAATTGCCCAAGGTCAACAGAGCTGGACAGATGAGGAGGTCCTGTCCCCTGTTCTTGAGGAGTTTAGAGCAGAGCAGAGGGTGCCCGTGGCCGCTCCAGGTTCCCTCGTGCCAGCCTCTCTCTGCAACTCCCAGGTCTTAGTTTTGAGGCTGAGCACCTTGACTTCCTAGATTGTGTTGGAGAGAGAAGTCACCTACCTGTGGAGCTGGAGAAGTGCGCTGGCACCACTGAGGTCCGTGGGAAAAGCACGGAGGTCACAGTAGCTGAAGAGAAATGATCTGAAGTGAGAATAGGGATTCCGAGTGGGGTATGGATGCCGCTGTGTGCATCTTTTCTGTCCAGCCTGAGCCATTGAATGTAGAGGGGTTGAATAAGACAGACAGGTCCTCCGGCTTCTTCTCCCACGGAGGCCCTGGAGTCGGGGGATAGGTTGCTGTCCACAAGAGGGCCCAGAGTGCATGGTCATCAGGGCCCTGAATACTCACCACTGGGAGTGGGCGCTGAGGTCCGATGGGTGTAACCTACAATGAGAAAAGGGGACAGAATTGGGATGCAAGCAGGGGAGGCATGTCCAAGACACATCCCAAGACCCACTAGCCCCCACCCCCAACTGAGACTTTGAGTCTAGATAGTTCAATCATTATGATTTAGGAGCAACTATATTTTGATCCTAAAGATCTGAGAAATCAAAGATCCAGTCCCTGTTTTCATGGGCTTGCAATTTACTTGAGAAGATAACTATGCCAACATTTCCAGAACATGGGTTTGCTAACTGTGTTTCTCAGGATCTAAGGGGGATTTTGAAATGTTGGCAGGGAGAAAGATGAATAGTCAGATTCTTGAATTGCCTTTGGCTTCAGACGGAGGGATATTCTCTTTTATCTGTCTCGAGAAAGGCTTTAGTTCCTCAGACAAGTGCACAAATCATGTCCCTGGATGCAGAGATGCAAAGGGAAGAGGGGGATTTGCAAATTGGAGAGCCTTGGGGGCCCTTGAGTCATCAGGGAGATTGCTCAGGTGGAACATGCTACATAGGATGGGTCCTGGGGAAAACTGGAGAGTCCACATCCTTTCTGTGGGCAGATTCTGAGCTTCAACTTGTACCTACTAAAAGGATTCTCACCATTGACATAGAGGCTGTCCTTGTCCAGCGTGAAGGAGCCCAGCTGGGTGACATCATGAGTCTCGTGGCTGAGCTCCCAGTATAGCCTCTCTCTGTCCAGCTTAGAGCCCATAGGCTCAGGACGGTAAGTGCAGACAGCATCAACTCCAGTGGCTGTTCCATTTTTCTCTGGCCTGGGCAGGGAGGAGCACAGGGATGGGGAGGTGGGGACTTCTGGAAGGAGCCCTGAAAGGCCTCACTGAGGGAAGAGACACAGAAAGTAGGAGGCCTGCTGGGCAGCCTAGAATGGCCTTGGTGCTGGGGAAAGTTGGAAATGAACAGGACAGTCAAGGTCCCTGAACATAGAGGATGTAGCACCTCCAAATGTTGACATTTGTGCCAAGTTTTAAAATGTCAATCGCCACAAGGCTACACACATCCTAACAACAGAAGCATGACAGACAGGTGGAAGGAAGGAATCTGGGAATTTGACAAGGTGAAAGAAGACAACGTCAAATTACTTAAAGCCCAGCTCTGCTACTCAAGTGCTGGGTGACTCTGGGTAAGTCTCTCAATCTCGCTGTGGCTCATCTTTTCATCTCTCAAATGAGGTAACAGTATAGATCTTACAGCACTCAGCACTAGTAAGGCTCAATAAAACGGAGTCATATTTATCAGGTATTAAGAAGACCGATATTCTTGGTGTGAATAGACCTTGCAATGAGAGAGATCAGCTTTTTGAAGGCAACACTGAGGCCAGCAGGCAGCCTAGGGTGGAGGTGGGGATGGGGCTGTGTGGTATTCCAGAGCCAGAAACATCTCAGGGCCAGTGGAAAGGGGAAGACATAGCAACATGGCTAGAGGACACTGGTGAGTATCTTTGGCTCTGGGGGCATTCCATCCTCAGACAAAAGGTCCATAACTGGGAGAGATCACACAGGGGTAAGGTGACCCAAGTGCACGTGTGGGGGTTCCCACATGCTGGAGTCATTCTCAGTACCTGGCTCTAAGAAGGGTTGTGAATAATTCACTGCATGTTCTCTATATGTTAGGTCATTGCTAAGCATATTTAATTTTAATCCTTACTGTGTTCACAAAAAGACTACAAATTCTTTGTGCCAATCAGAAGTGAAGTCTATTTTCCCATCTCTTGAATCTGGGCTTGACCAGGTGACTGGCATTGACCAAGGGACATTAGCAAACATGATGCAAGCAGAGGCTTGGAAAGCACATGTGCCCTAGGGCTTGCCAATACTTGCTGCCCTTGGAACTCTGAGCATGTGAAAGAGCTGAAGCTAGCCTGCTGGAGGATGAGAGACTGTGGAGGAGAACCAAGGTCCCCCAGCCAGCAGCTGACTGCAGACACATGAAGGAGCCTCATCTGAGATCAGCAGAGCCAGCCCAGGCAGGAGAACCTCTCAGTAGAATGTGGCCCAAATCACCATCCAGCAGAATTGTGGGCTGAATTTGTTATGCAGAAAAGCAAACTGAGCCCCTCCAATTGATAGGTGGGGAGGCTGAGGTGCAGAGATGTTCAGTAACCTGTCAGAGTCACACAGCCTTGAAGCAGGGGAGCTATGATTTGAACATAGGCATGTCAGACTCCAAATAAAATCGTATAACCACCATGCTTTACGGCTCAGTAATCCTTCTAGGGGTGGGCAGACATCCCAAGTCCACCTCTGCTTGATCAGAAAGCAAGATTTGGTCATTATTGGAGGATAGTAGGAGAAGGGAGGGCTTTCTGGGTATAACAGACAGGCCAATCATTAGTCAAAATTTAGGAAAAGCTGGAGAGAGAATTATGAATCCTCTAGAGGAAGGTTTCTCAGGCTTGGCACCACGGACATTTCAGGTCACGTAATTCTTGGCCCTGGGAGACCATCCTGTGCATTTTAGGATATTTAGTAGCGTCCCTGGCATCAGTCACTAGATACTGCCAGCAACACCCACCTTTGAGTTGTGACAACAAAAAATGTCTCCAGATATTATTGCCAAATATCCCCTGGGGAGCGAAATCACTCCTGATCGAAAACTACTGCTCTCTTGTGATGAAGCAGACATGGCTGACTAATTATTTTCTTGATGAGTTCCAGAAAAAAGATCTCTCTGAAAAGTTCAACTTTATCTCCTAGGATGGAGAGACTAACAGGATTCTGCATCTTCTGGTCCAGAACACAATGTGAGGCAGAGTGGGAGCTGGTGGTCAGCTGTCCCTGGGATAGTGGGTGCAGGATGTTAGGGCCCAGTTTGTGGTAACCTCCCCCATACATTGCCTTCGTGTCTACTCTGAAAGTCTAGTCTCACCTGAGCAAGGTCAATCTGCAGCCAGAATAGAGGGGACCGATACTGCTGTTCTGGAACAAGGGTTTGAGCTGGGGATGAAAGAGATGGAGGTGAGTAGATGGGCCAAGGTGCTGGGCAGGACAAGAGCAGACACTGGAGGGGCTCTCACCAGGCGATTCAAGATCCTTTCCATGGTCTTGAATAGCTCGGATCCCAGGGGCCCCATGTCCTCTGTGTAGTGCAGGCTGGTGATGGTGAAGTTCAGGGTGAAGGGCACCAGAGAAGGGCTCATGCCTGCAGCTGGAAAGGGAGAGAGGGAGTTCTTTATGATCTCTGGCTGGAATGGCTGTAAGCAATGGGTTTGAGGCTGTCCTTAGACTTAGTGTCCAGCGAATCAGGTTTGAGATGTCCCACCTGTGTCCCCCTTGCATCCAGCCAAACTTAAAGAGGGAGAGGGACCTCCACACTGGATGGATAATTTTAGCTGGAAAAAGAACCTCAACTCTTTTCAGCTGAATATATCTGAAGACAAACAACTGGCAGACATTTTGGTGGGAGGAATGGAAGCAAAGTCACTCTGCTGCCCCCGGGGCAGAGTTCTCCCTTAGCCTTCTGGCTTCTCCTTGAGAAAACGTGCAACTGCTGAGTGGTCAAGCCTGTTCCTCTCATAAGAATGGCCCCTGCCTCAGCTTTATTAACCATCTTTGAAGGTGGATTTTAGATAGAGTGATCACATCTCTTGATTTTCCCTGGACTGTCACATTGCACTCATGCAAATATTCATTGCAATCCCCCTTCTTTTCTCAAAAGTGCCCCAAGATGGAAAAAAAAAAAAAAACCAAACCTGAATGGTCATCCTGGGGTTAGAATATGAAGAATTAATAGGCCAAATGTCTGAGCTGGGTGATTGCACCCTCCGTATATTTCATCTGTGAGCGCTAACTATGTGCTAGCCTTTGTACTGGGCACTTCATCCACAGGATGCCAGCTCACCCTCACCACAGTCATGAGAGGTAAGTCTTACCAGTTCTGTTTTACAAATAGGGAAACTGAAGATTAGAGAGAATAAATTTTCCGAAGTCCCGAAGACAAAGAAATGGCCCAGCTACAATATCTTTTTGGCTCAAAAATAGGTATCTTTCTATTTGTGCACGTATGTTCGTAGAAGCACTGTTTACAACAGCCAAAAAGTGGAAGCAAACCCTGTGTCCATCAACAGATGAATGGATAAACAAAATATGATGCATCTATAAAGTGGAATATTATTCAGCCCTAAAAAGGAGGAAAATTCTGACATGCTACATCATGGATGAACTTTGAAGACATTATGCCAGGTGAAATGAGCCAGTTACAAAAAGACAAACGCTGTATGATTCCACATACAGTATTATATGAAGTATCTAGAATAGCCAAATTCACAGAGACAGAAAGTAGAATGGTGGGTACCAGGGGCTTGGAAAGAGGAATAGCGGTTGCTGTTTAATGGGTATAGAGTTTCATTTTTGCAAGATGAAAAGGCTCTACAGATTGGTTTCACAGTGTAAATATACTTAACATTATTCAACTATACACTGAAAAGTGGTTAAGATGGTAAATTTTATGTTATGTGTGTTTTATCACAATTAAAAATTTTAAGAAACAACAATATACATAAAAAATCAATATATTTTCCCCAGAAAATCCACATCTCCCCTATGACGTAAAGGTTGGGAGTTTGGCCTTGGATCCTGACTGTCTGCATTTGAATGCCAGCTCTGCTACTCACTAGATGGTTTACTGGACAAATACTTAATAACACAGTACCTCAATTTCATCCTCTGTAAAATGGTGGTAATGGTAGTAGCTTCCTGCTAGGGTTTGGGCAAAGACTAAATGAATTAAAATTCTGGTCAAGGTGGAATAAGCTCATTACAGCCCATCACCCACAGTTATCACAATCAAAACATTTAGACAAAATACAAAAATCAATTACCCCGGATGCTGAAAAGTAAATAAAAACAGGCAAATTGTGGAGGGCAGTCAAAACTTGAAGTGACTTGAACAAGGGTGAGTTTTACTCTTTTCATCCTTATTTTCTCTCACAAGTTTATTCGGAAGGCAGATCTTAGCATAGAACTGTGTATGAGGGAATGAGGGAATAGATAGATAAAGTTATCCTAAAAACCCTGTATTTCTGACCAGATGGAACTAGAAAATGGGGTTCCTGTGGGCCACAGAGGAGATATGATTACTTGTTAAAACAAACAAACAAGAACAAGAAAAGCATTCCTGCTAATAGAAACTGGAGTATACACAAACATAACGTTCACAATATATATTCACAATATATTGTGACATAATTACATGACATACTAAGAACCAGAAAAAAATGTATCCAGTCTTCAAGGGAAAGACAACTGACAGATGCAAACTCCAGGGTGACCAGATGTTGGTATGGTCAGGTACAGACTTTAAAGCAGCTGTTATAACCATGATTCATGAGCTAAAGGTAAACGCACTTGAAATAAATGTAAAGATAGAAGTTCTCAGAAGAGGAATGGAAACTATAAAAGAGGAATGAAACGGTTACCAGAGGAAATGGGGGTTGAGGGGTTGGCACAAAGGGTGAAGGGGCATGTTTATATGGTGACTGACAAATAATAGTGCACAACTGAAATTTCACAATGTTATAAACTATTATGACCTCAATAAAAAAAACAAATGGAAGTTTTAGAACTGAAACATACAGTATCTGAGATAAAAAAATTCACTTGATGGGCAGAATAGAGATGATAGAGAAAAGGGTCAGTGATTTTAGAGATATATCAATAGAAATTATTAAATCTGAAGGACAGAGAAAAGAAGATTGATAAAAAAATAAACAGAGCCTCAGGGACTCATGTGACAATATCATTTCATTGGAGGACCAGAACAAGAGAAATAAATTGGTGTAGAAAAATAAGTTGAAGAAATACTGGCTGGAACTTTCCCAAATTTCTTGAAAACATGCATTTTCAGATTCAAGAAGCTTAGAAAAATCCCAAACAGGATAAACTCAAAGAAAGCAACACCAAGACACATTATAATCAAGCTGCTGAAAACCAAAGATGAAAAACAAGTCGTGAAAGTATCTAGAGAAAAAAGACATCATCAGTCATGGAATGATTTGGTTTATAGCACATGTCACATATTTAAAAGCCTACAGGGGCCAGTCATGTTACATAAATGGTTGAATTGATCAGGGTGGAGTAGTCAGAAGGGGGAGTGTGCATCCTGTCTAAAGCATATAGATAGTGTGCAGTGTCTTGACTTACAAAACACAGAATGTTTGAAAGCAGAATTCTAATTACAGAACACCAGTTTGTATCTCATAACTCCAGACTCACAAGGCAGGGTTAAGGGCCAGAGATGCCCAGTCTGGGTCATGATATTAGCATGAAAAAGAGCCATAGACTCAGCTTTTACAATAAATCTTAATGGCATGGGCAAGACAGCTTTGTTGTTATTGTTGAGGAATATTCGCCCTGAGCTAACACCTGTGCCAATCTTCCTCTATTTTGTATACAGGATGCCACCACAGCATGGCTGATGAGTGGTGTATGTCCACACCTGGGATCTGAACCCACGAACCTGGGCCGCTGAAGCAAAGTGCCCCAAAATTAACCACTACACCACGGGGCTAGCCACAAGCCAGCTTTTATGGCATAAATCAAGCTTCTGCATGATGTTCCCAGAGACTCAGGAGCCCTCAGATCCACATCTGGACAAGTTGAGGAGACAAGGCAAGAATCAAACTCATGACTAAGACCCTCAATGATTTTCTGGGTGTTCAAATAGAATCTGCAAATGTGGACAAAAACAGAGATTGCTACATCCATCCATTCATTCAAGCAATAAATATAAAGTGAATGTGGACTAGGTGCTCAGCTCCAAAAAGACAAATACATAAAGACTGAATAAAGCAAATAGTAGTAAATTCCATGAAAGAAATACTCATGGTGATACGATAGAGAAAATCTGTGGGCCAGGTGCGTATTCAGAAGTGCTACTTCATACAAGGTGGTCAGGAAGGGCTTTCAGAGAAGGTGATGGTTGAGCCGAGATTTGAAAGGCAATAAGGCGTCAGGCATAGCTGACCTCCAGGAAGAGCTAGTATAAAGGCCAGATAGAGGTTAGGACACTAGAAGAACAAACCAGTATCTGATGTGACCGAAGTTTGGTGAGTAAGGGAGAGAGTGAGTAGGACAGGCTGAGGCGGGGGGTTAGTAGAGACCAGAGTATACAGTGTTGAAGTTGCATAGGTCCCAGAGAGCAGGTTCCTACCTGTAGAGCTGAGGATGGGTGAGAGAGATGTGGAAGATTCTGGAGAGAATGTAGAAGTCACTGGAGCTGAGAAAGAAGAAACAGAGGAAACATGATTGAGTCCCATCCTGAAGGAATGTGGGGCGGAAGCTGTTCATTGGAACTTGGGCTTCTCTCTTGACTCAGAGGAAGACCTTGGGTTGATTAGGAGCTGCTCTGAGGCTGCGGCCCGGCACTTGGGGAGGGGGCACTGGTAGCTTCTCTCCTGAAGAAGGCACTCTGGGGAATAAAGGTCCAGTGGGCATTGAAGTTTCACAGTTTTAAATACTCACTGCTGGTGGTAGGGGTCCGGTACCGACGATTATAACCTGTAAATAGGAAGAAAAGAGTAAAGAAGGATTGTTATGATGGGTAAGAGTCAAGGAAGTGGTGGATGGTAGACCTAGAAATGAGCGTCATTAACAAACTTTCTGAGATTCAAAACAATTTCAATAATGAATAATATCTATAATGAATACTATCAATCAATAATATGAAGGAACCATAACAGCTACATTTTATGTGGTGCCTCTTATGTCCCTTGTCCTTTGAAAATAGTGTTGAACATCATCGCTAACATTGCCAAATTAAAAATATGATAATAATAGCTTCCCTTATTTATTGGGAATGTACCATGCAGAAATAATGCTGAACACGTTATAAGGGTAATGGGGAAAATTTAGGAATTACTTTGTGTTCCATCTTTATCCACGTTCTCTCAATCCATAAAGATAATTTTATCCTTACTCGCTCAGCTCCTCTCCCTTTACAAAATTTTATTGTGTGATTTTATTTTTCTAGTTTAGTTTCTGTTTCTTTGTGATATAGAATTGACAAAATTATGGCAGGTTGAGAGATGAGGTATGTGGAAATGAAAATATAGTGAGATGGAGAGAGGGAAATGTACATGTGGTTTGGAATCTCAGAGAAAATCTGGAGATGAGGTTGGATAGTAATAAAGAGATGAGACTTAGAGGTCAGGTGATGATATAAAAATTTCAGCCTTAAAGGAATTAGGGAAAAGATAATTTTCCATGACTGTTTCTCTGGGTCCTAGATTGCATCTCCTTTGATGCTCTGTGAAAGATGTGAGTAAAGACTAGACCCAAGGAGCCCTGTGATTTACTTGGGTTATTGTTGAATTATCTCCTTTGATTATTAGGACAATCCTGCCTGGTATATATGTTTATTCCATTCTACAAATGGAATATTAAAACCTAGAGAGATGACATGGCTTGTCCAGCATCACACAGAACAGCTCATTAATCCCCATACATTAACTACTGCTGTAAGTTAGTCCCAATCCTTGAATTAAACTTTCTATGGACACAAAATAGGATGTGATATTGTTAACACAAAGCAATGTATATATTTCAAACCATGTATAAAGGAAGTTTCTAAGTTGATATGGAGGGGAAATAACTAATCAAGCATTAGGTTAGATTGCTTGGCTAGAGGTCGTCAATGCCCCTTCCTGTCTTGAGATTTGAGGCTTTCTCTATCTGAATGGTCTTCAGTGTTGCCTTGTGGTTAGGATTTTGGAGTTTAGATTCAATCTTGGGTTTGAGTCTTGACTCTGCCGTGCATAATGGCTGTATTATCTTGGGCAAATGATTTCCCGCCTGAATGAATAATAGCTTTCTGTAAAAATGAGGATGATAACTTCACAGGGTTTTGGGTAACATTAATATGAAATAATACAAACAAAGACCTTATCACAATTCCTGGCATATAAAAACCTTTTGATAAGAATTAGCCACTATTATAGTTATTAGTCACAGTGTTAGCATTCCTGTTAGGGGCACTGTCACCAACAGTGTTGTGTAAACAGCTATTATTCATGGAGTGTTTGCTAAGTGTGGTGGTGTTTCAGGAAGTCAGTGTCATTCCAGCTTGCCTGTGGAAACTTCGAAAATTGCCCTAAGTTGTCATGACGGAGAGAATGAAGTGGAGTGAGGGCTGAACTTGGCACCCACTGCCCATCAGGAAGACAAACACAGGGCCCTGCATCGTCTTTCCCCAGAGTCTGCACACTCCAGTTGGACTCCTACGGGAAGCAGTGGGAATATGGAAGAGGAAACATTTCATCTGAAGAGGTGAAAAGAGAAAGGAAATGGGCCTCCCATGGTGTGTTAAGCATTCAAAAATGAGTCCTCAAGGAAATTCTAGATTTGTACCAGAACTATGAATCTGTATACAGCAATTTCTCAAACTCGGCATTATTGATATTTTAGTCTAGACAATTCTTCATGGTAGGGGGCTGCCTTGTGCATTGTGGGATGTTTAGCAGCATTCCTGGCCTCTACTCACTAGATGTCGTTAGCACCCCTCCAGTAATGACATGAAAATGTCTCTAGACATTGTCAAATGTCCCCTGGGGTGCAGAATCTCCCACAGTTGAGAACTACTGGTAAAGGGAGACATGGGACTGTAGGAGACCCCAGCTGCAGCACAGACACTCACCATTGACGTAGAGACTGTCTCTGTCCAGAGTATAGGTGCCCAGGCGGGTGACACCATGAGTCAGCTGACTCAGCTCTTCGTACAATTCTTCTCTGTCCAGCCCAGGACCCGCGGGATCAGGATGGTAGGTGCAGATGGCATCCACTCCAGTTGCTGCCCCATTCTTCTCAGTCCTAGGGTGGCAGGGACATAGGAATAGGGGCATCCAGAGATGTGGGAGAGTTATATACTTTGTTCAACTCTCTCCTTCAAATTGACCCTCAGCCTTGGTTTTATGACATTTCTCTTTACTGGACCTTGTCTGATTTCTCAGGCACATTCTTTTCTGGGTCCTCTTTATCTAGGTAGCTTCCTACTCCATAAAGTGGTTTATCTCCATTCCTTCATCCTCAGCCAACTTCTATCCTTTTGCCCTTCATTATTCTTGGGTCCTGTGTTCATACTCATTGTTTCAGCTGCCACCTTTATTATCATGAGATCCAGTCTTGCTCTCTCTATCCAAGACTTCTCTCCTGAGCTCTGTGCCATGTAACCGACAGCCTCAGGGATTCTGGCAGATCTATCACATTCTGTATATCCCAAATTAAGCTCATCACCTTCCCCCCTAAAAACACAGAACCTGCTCCTCCTCCCATGTTTCCACATCAGTGCCAGAGCCAGAGATGTAGTAGGCTTCCTGGACCTTTCTCCAACCATTATACCCGAACCTAAGCAATATCCAGGTCCAGTCCATCATCTCACAGGTCTCCCCATATCCTGTCCCATCATCATGTTAATTTTTTCCATCCCCATACCTACCAGCACTCTACCTAAAATGATATCATATCAGGGTTCTGCTTACAACAGCTCCATGATTTCCTGCAGCTCTGAATAAGTATAACTAATATTTATGGAACATCTACTGGTTGATAATATTCATGGGACATGTACAAGATGTCCTACTCTTCCATTTGCTATCTCTTTTTATCTTTTCAGCAACTCTATGAGATAGATGCTGATACAATTCCCACTTTATAGTTGAGGAAACAAAGTCATATAGAACTTACCAAATATCACATGGCTAGTGACAGAAACGGGATGTGACTTCACGCATGTGGACCTTGTAACCATTAATGCTTAACATTTTGCTGTGCAAAATACTATGAAAACTCCTTAGCATGGCCTTTGACCTCAGCTCCAACTGAACTCTTGGCGATATCTACTACTCCAAAGTCATCCCACAATTTATCCACCTTTCTTGCAACTACACGCCCATGCACCCATCCATCACTCAGTCAGTCCCCCAGCCAACCAACTTCCTTCCCTCCCTCTCTCCCTTCCTTTATATCTCTCTTTCCTTCCTCCGTCCCTTCCTTCCTTCCCTCCTTCCTTTCTCCTTTCCTTCCTGCCTTCCCTCTCTCCCTGCCTACTTTCCTCCCTCTCTCCCTCCCTCCCTTCTCTCTCTCTTTCTCTCTCCCTCTTTCTTTCTTTCATTCAATTGCTGTTTGCCCCACACTCCAATTTCATAGAACTTTTCTCATGTATTGGGATATTTCTCACATTTGTCCCATTACTTAAGATATGCCACCCCTTAAAATATCTTTGGCAGCATTTCTTCTGGCTAATGCACACCTCATTGTCAAAACTTGGTTCAGGCATCACTTTCTCCAGACAGCCTCCACTCCACTCCCCCAGGTTGAGCTCAAAGTCCATTCTCTAGGCTCCTATGGCCCCTGTGTAGTGCTGTATTATTGTACTAACCCTCTTCATATTACGGCTTTAAGTCCATATGGCTGTTGTTCTCTCTACATTGTGGGCACTTTGAGAGAAGGGCCCATGACTGATTCTCTCAGTGCCCTTATCAGCTGTCACAGAACATGGCCTAAAGTGCCTCATTTAATGTTTTCTGAATGAGTCATTGCTGCCCTTTCTCACCAATGAGTATGAATGCTCTGCAAATCTGCTTATCCAAATAATTTAAGACCTTTGACAGCCACATCTTTCAGGAAGCCCTCTCTGATGCACTCAGCCAGAGGGGAAACCTTCCACATCTGAATTCCTGGAAGGCTCCAATCATTTATGATTCTTGCCTTCTAGTTGTCATCTTCAAATCCTCACCTCCAAGTGAGCTTGCCTGTGACAGTACAGCCCTTCATATTGTGAAGGAGGGAGGTCTTACCTGAGCAAGGTCAGTCTGCAACCAGAGTACAGTGAGCCAACACTGGTGTTCTTGAACAAAGGATCAAGCTGGGGAAGAGGGAGAGGGAGGTGAGCTGAGGGGACTGGGTGGCACAGGGGTAAGGCAGGCCAGCATAGGCACTGACAGACTCTTACCAGGTGATTCAGGTCCTTCTCGGTGGAATTGAACTTTGCAGAGCCTGGGTGCCCCATGTCTGATGTATAGAACAGGTTGATGATGGTGAAATTGAGGGTAAACAGCACCAAGGCTGGACCAACATCTGCTGCTGGAGGGAGAGAGAGAAGAGACCCATCACAGTGTTAGGCCTGATCTGAATATTGGGGAAAGGGACTAATGCCATCTCTTGGTCCATAGTCTCCAGTAAGTGAGGCCTGGGATATCCGACTGAGGATATCCCTCCCTCCCCAGCCGCTTGTGGGAGGACAAGGGACCTCGCTTTTAGATGTGTGATGTCAGCTTAAAAGGGAACCTCAACCGTCTCACCCAAGAGTGTCCAAAGGCTGACAAGTCACGGACGTTTTGGTGGGAAGAGAGGGACCAAGACCTTTTGGGCTCAGGTCGTGGACCACAAATGCTTGAGCAATCAAGAAATCCAAAGGGTAGTAATTTCCATGGGGGAAATGGTCATAGAGATTAGTTCTGTGTGAGACATGAGGAAATGCTACTTTATAGGAGGTTTTCTGAGCAAGAGCATGCTGAGCTGAGATTTGGAGGACAAGGAGGAAGCAGGCACAGCTGAGTTTCAAGAACAGTAAGTGCAAAGGCCCTGAGGATGGAGAGATGTTTGAGCCCTGAAGGAACAGAGATGAGGCTGGTGTGGCCAGAGATTAGGGAGCAAGGTAGACAGTGTGACAGACTGAGGCTGGGTTGGCATCAGGGTCCAGACCATGTAGGAATTCATCAGCCACTGAATGGCAGTTGATGGGACTCACAGATTAGATTCCTACCTGTAGAGCTGGGGGTGGATGTCAAAGATGCTGGGGGCCCTGGAGAGAATGTGGAGGTCACCAGAGCTGAAAGAAAATTCAACATGTATAAAAATTGTTGAACCCTATCATGAAACAATGAGATGGCAGAGCCGTTCATGGGAACTTGCATCTCTAGCTTGGCTTAGCCTGAGACTTTGGGCATCTGGGACTGCGAACCTGGGGCATGTGGGATACTTCCTCCCGGGGGGGCAAGCTTAGGGAACAAGGGCCCCAGGGGCGAAGAGACATTCGCCCTCATTACTTACTGCTAGTGGTGGGAATCCAGTATCGATGGTTATAACCTGCAGAGAGAGGCAGAGAGGAAGAGTAAGATGATAGGAGAAGGTTGAGAAAAGAGTGATGAGGTAGGACTAGAAGCACAACTGCATAGACCTTCCTGAGTGTTTCTCTGAGATTCATCAATAAATAATGATGGCTATTCCATATGAGTTAACTGCCTCATTCTCTGATGCTCACAGTATTTCATCCTCATTACCATTAACCACAAAGACAATAATGATCATAGCACTCTCAATCACGTGGGGTTTACTAGGTGCTTGGAATGGTATCAACCTCATCAAATGAATAATAGGACAACAATTTTACGTGAGTCTTTCCAGCCTTATTTTTGTTTTATTTTTCTTCCATTGACTATAATTTTGTCCTTGCTCTCTGAGTTTCTCCCCACACCCAACTCTCCAAAGACAGCTTGATCTGCGACAGTGTAGTTCTTGGACTTCTGTAATGTTGAATTGGATGAGAGAGAGAGAGAGAAAGAGAGAGAGAGAGGGAGAGGGAGGGAATGATTTACGGAGAGGGGAAAGACTCAGAGGTCAGCCAGAGATTATAAAGTTGGAGAATAAGAGAAAATGGGGAAAGGAGGATTTGAATAAATATGGTTCTGGATCATGGACTGGATCGTCTTTGATGCTATGTAAGTAATGCTAATAAAACTTAGACTTGCTTTATATTTGATGGTCTGACTGGGTTTCTTGAAATGAAAGTCTTATCTGAGGCTGGACCAAGTAGAACTCTGTGATCTATTGAGTTATTTGGGTTTTGTCTCATCTGACTCTCACACTAGTCTCAGGTGATTTTTTAAAAAATTCCATTCTGAAAATGGACACTAAACCATAGAGAGGATGCAAGGCTTGTTCAGGGCCACATAGGATCAAAAGGCAAGACTAGGGCTTAATTAAAGAAGACCTGTAATTCACCAAAACCCACAGTGGTAACTACTGCTTTAAAGTAATTGCCAAGGACTGTTGAAATACAGAACAAGTTTTAATCCAGGTAGAAAGAAAATGTCCCATGTGATATAGTGGAGATAATTAATTGAGCTTTAGTTGAAATTGTACATTATAGGCCCCTTGATATGACTTCCCATCCTGAGATTTGAGGCTCGCTCTAGCTGCGTTAGCCTGCAGTATAGCCTAGCAGTTAGAGGGCCTAGATTTTAGAGTCAATTGAGGGTTCGAGTCACAACTCTACCACATGTATTAGCTGCCTAATCTTGGGGAAATGGATTTTCCTCCCTAAGCCTTGTTTGCTCCTCTGGAAAATATACATAATACCTCAGAGTGTTGGGCAGGGTTAGTCAGGCATAATATACATAATGTTATGGACTATAGGAATCCCTCAAAAAATATTAGTCTTCAGTATAGGTATTACTGTGGGTGCTGTTGCTAAGAGCATTGTTGCAAAGGAATTTATTGCTAAAAAAAATTACTAACAGCTTTGTTTGTTTCTCAGGTGGGATGTGGTTCCAGCTGGCCCTTGGAGAATGGGTAAAGGACCACATGCTGCCATAAAGAAGATAAAGAAATGGAACAGTCACTGCATTGGGAACCCATTGCCTCTTGTGGGAGAGTTAACCCCAATGGCCATCATGGGCATGCATTACCCTCTTCCTTCTCTCACATCTGCATGCTTTACTGGGGATTCTGTGAATGGCCATTGAAATGAAGAAGACTATGGGGGAAACCTTCATTTCCAGAACTTGAAAGGTGCTTTTTAGATGTTACGAAGAGAGAGAACTGATCCCCCATGGAAATTTTAGGTTGGTCTAGAGCTATGAACATGAGTGAAGAGGAGTTGTACTGCAAGAAGACCCCATCTGGGAATCAGGAGGAGACCCAAGCTGCAGAATAACTACTCACCATTGACATAGAGACTGTTCCTGTCCAAGGTATAGGGGCCCAGCTGAGTGACACCATGAGTCTGCTCGCTTAGATCCCAGTACAGCCGTTCTCTGTCCAGCCTGAAGCCTGTGGGATCTGAGCGGTAAGTGCAAACCATGTCCATTTTGGTGCTTGTTTCATCCTTTTCAGCCCTGAGGAAGGAGAGACATGAGAATAGGGACATGCAGAGACATCAGAAAGTTGGATACTCTTGACAACTCCTTCCTCTATTGTAGCCCTTGGTTTCGATGTCAGAGCTGTTCCCTGGGTCTCATCTGCTTTGTTGAACACATCTTTTCTGTCTCATGTGGGTATTCAGACCCCTCATCTTCTTAAATGCAGTGTTCACCAGGGCTATTCCTTAGCTAGCTTTCTTTTGCTGCTCCCCATTCTTTTTACTAATTGTTTCAAGCTCATTCTTCCCACTACCAGCCCCTAGAATGCTCCTTGTCCACTCATGAAAGTAAATATACATGGTGTCCACTCCAGTAACAGCTGAGTCCTGCTTGGGCCATGGGGTTGGGCATATGGAGCTCCCAGTGAAGAAAATCCTGAGAATCCTGGGGCCAGGAAGCATGTGGAAGGGAAAAAACAGGAAGGTTGGAGACCTTGGGGAAGGTGAGTGAATCACCCCCACAACTGGCTGTGATGCTGTCAACAACCATCATGGGCCCTGAAACAGGGACTTTATTTCAAGTTGGTGGATCTCAAGGCTAAGGTCAACACTTTGGGAACACCTTATGGGCAGGCAACCAAGTTTGGGGAAAAACAGAGAAAATGAGTTAAGAAGTAACAAGGGGACAGTGTGGTTCAAAAATATCTTCACCCTGAATTTGAGCTGATCCTACAGTGATTCACCCAAAGCGAGGGCTTTACAGGTATGGAGAAATATCCCCTTCTTCTCTTGCCTGGGAATTCTTCTTGCTATTATCCATGCTATTCAAAGAATTCCCATTTTACGCCCATATAGTGTAGGGCAGAGGTTCTCAAAGTGTGGTCCAGGGACCCTGTTCACAAAACTTTTACAGGGCATCCACCAAGTAAAATATATTTTCAAAATAATACTAAAACGTTATTTTCACTTTCATTCTCTCAGGAATATACAGTGAAATTTTTTCCAGAGGCCACGAGGTGGAATATTGTAAAATACTGAATGCAAAAGTAGATATCCTGTTGTCTTCTACTAAGCCAGACATTAAAAAGATCTGCAAAAATATAAACAATGGCCTTCTTCTCATTATGCTTTTTTGGGGGGGGGGGTGGGTAATATAGCTATTGCTCATAAAAATATGTTCTTTCTGTTAACATGCAATGGGTTTATTATTTTTAATCATTAATGAATAAATATTTATAAAATTTCTCAGTTTTAATTTCTAATACAGTAAATTTGGACAGATATAACCTCCAAGTCCAAAGGCTCTTTGGAGTTCTGAGTACTTTTCTAAGAATGTAAAGGTTGTTGAGCACAGAAAGCTTGATTTCTGCTACTATTCCAGCTAAAAGCAGGGACTCTGGAGCCAGAACACCTCGGTTCAAATCCTGGCTCCTCTCAAGCAAGCAACTTGACTACTCTGAACCTCAGTGTTCTCATCTGCCAGGTGGGATAATAATCGTGTTGTTCTGAGGCTGAAATGAATAAAAACATGTAAACCACTTAGATTATCGGGCAGCATGTAGTGTGGGCAATATTATTACTGATTCCCCCAGCTTCCCCATCTTATGGAGCGATAAGGGCCGGTGTGGTGGTGCATCTCCTTTGAGGACAATTTTTATATACAGTACTCCAAAAATCTCTCCTCCTGGAACCATGTGGGTAGAGGACCCCCCTCTCTGGCAGGACAACTTGAGTTGGCTGGATGGAAGACCCCAAATAGAGGCTGCAGGGTCCATGAAGTGTAAGGAAAGGGTCCTGAGCTCCCTGACCTCAGAGGACACTGGATGGACAGAGGCAGAGACGAGAAGACAGGCCATTTCTGCAGAGTTAAGGTCCATTTGAGTTTTTAAATTGCAATATATACTGCCTGTACTGAATATTTGGTTTGCTTTTCTCTTTGGTTCAGTAAGACTTCTTTGGGAAAGGAAGTCCCTGCCTATTTTTAGGGAATAAAGGGCAGAGCTGCAGTGTGTAGAGTTTGTCCTCAATAGGGTAGAGATGAGCTGGAGCAGGGAGAGTGTCAGGGACTCTGGGGACACAGTTGTTAAAGATGCTACACCAGCTGGTAATACAAGATCTCATTATTTGAGCACTCACAATGTACCAGGCATTGTGATGAACGGTTAACAACCCCAAGAGTAAGGTGCGGTTGTTATCATCATTTTATAGATAATGTGATTGAAGAACAGAGTGGTTATGTGACTCGCCCAAGGTCACACAGCTAGCAAATGGGATAACTGGGGTTCAAACATAGGCACTTTGGATCCACTTATATACCGTCTCTCAGCAAAGGCCCAAGTAGCCGTGGTTGACCAGGGTGTGGGGGATCAAGAAAGAAGAGAACTGGGGTTTCTGCAGATGCTTTGGAGGAGGTCTCACCTGAGCAGAGCCAGTCTGCAGCCAGTGTAGAGGAAACCAATGCTGCTGTTCTTGAACAAGGGCTCGAGCTGGAAGAGAATGAAAAGGAGATGAGCAGGAGGGACCAAGACAGTAGGGTGTGGTGGGATTGGGGAGAGATGGGCATTGGTGGGGGACTCTCTCACCAGGTGCTGCAGGTGTCTCTCAGTGGCATTGAATATCTCAGAGCCCGAGTTTCCCATGTCCTCTGTGTAGTGCAGGTTGGTGATGGTGAAGTTGACGGTAAAAGGCATCAAGAAAGGAATTGCAGCTGCAGGGTGTGGGGAAGAGTAAAATGAAGCCAGTCTTGAGTCAGGCCTGGGGTCAGGGGGGTAATAAGGCTCTGAGGACACACTCTAATTCCAGTGCTGAGTTGGGGTCTGGCCTAGGCTGTCCTACTTGAGACACCTTGTGGAGTAGTCACTGTCCAAGACCCTCCCACATAGGTTGACCAACCATCCCAGTTTGCCCAACACTATGTGGGTTCCTGGTATGCAGATTTTCAGTTTTAAAAGTGTGGCAGTCCTGGGCAAAGTGGGATGAGTTGATCACCCTACTTCCACATCCCTTTGGCTCATAAGGGTAACATTTCAGCTCATGCCAGCACCTGAATCTCTTTGTCATGGAGGAATTAACAGGCCCAGGGAGCATGCTGGGCAATGACTGATGGGAGTTGGTGTATAAATACTCTAGCTCCCTCATCTCCCAGAAGGAATGACTCCAAGGTGCACGTTCTATGCATTCTCCTAGGACTTCCATCCAGCCTCCAGAACTGTGAGACAATAAATTTCTGTTGCTTCAGCCACTCAGTCTGTGATACTTTGTTATGGCAGTCCTAAGAAACTAATTCACCAAACAACCCAACAATGCCTTTTCTAGGTATTCCAAAAGAATTGGAAACAGGGACTCAAACAGACTTGTGCACCCATGTTCATAGCAGCATTATTCACAGTAGTAAAAAGGTGGAAATGGCCCAAGTGTCCATAAATAGATGAATGGACAGATAAAATGTGGTATGTCCATAAGATGGAATATTATTTATCCATAAACAAGAATGAAGTTTTGATATATACCACCATATGGATGAACCTTGAAGACATTATGCTAAATGAAATAAGCCAGACACAAAAGGACAAATATATTATATGATTCCACTTACGTGAGATATCTATAATAGGTGCATTCATGGAGATAGTAAACAGATTACTAGGGGCTGAATGGGGAGGTGAAAGGGGAGTCATTGTCTAATGGGTACACAGATCCTGTTACCCATTAGATAAAAAATGTTTTGGAAATGGTGATGGTTGCACAAAGTGTGACTGTAATTAATGCTGCTGAATTGTACATTTAAAATGGCAAATATTATTATCTAAATATATACACAACCACAATTTACAAAAAGTTATTCTTACTTGTTCCTGAAGTCACACTCACAGGGGCCAAGGTGGACGTCCCAGTTGTGGTCACAGGGACAAAGGGGATTCCAGCCAGTGTATTGAAGGTGGTTGCGGTCTTGGCCACTGTGGGGCCTGAACCTGTGGAAGCTAAGTTAGTGGTCTCAACAGTTGTACTTTTAAGGATAGTAGTAGAACCTGATCCCTCTCCATGACTGGTCTTAGGTGGTGTTGGGGTCTGTGATGCTATCAAGGTCACAGTGTCCCCTGTCACAGTCTCGGTAAATTCTTCGAGTCCCACTGAGGTTGCAGGTGGTGAGGTGTCTGTGCTCCATGATGTTACAGTGTGAGGCTCACCAGCTGTTGCAGGGGTACTGGCAGGCCTGAGAACAGCAGGGGAAACAGTCAGAGTTGGGATACTTGTACTGGCCTCTGCTGCAGGAATGGTGACCAATAAGTCTGTGGTCTCTGGTAAATCAGGGGAGAGAGTTGAAGTTGAAATAGTTGTGCTGATGTCTGTCCCAGGATGGGTGGAGAGTGAGGCTGTTTCCGTAGGAACAGCAAGTGAGACAGTTGAACCTAGGTCAATTATGCTGGTCTCGGTCACAGGTGTGGTGAAGGATGTTGTTTCTGGTGGACTGAGGGAAACAGTCTGAGTGGGAAGAGCTACACTGATCTCCAACCCAGGTTGGATGGATGGTGAGGGGGTGGTCTCTGGTGAATGAGGAAGAACAGTTGAAGCAGGAATATTTGTGCTTGTCTCTACACTGGGGTGGGTGACCAAGAAGGCTGTGGTCACTTGTTCACCAGGAGGAAGAGTCAGAGTTGGAATAGCCATACTGGCATCTGCCTCAGAACTAGTGACCTGTGAGGTCACCATATCTGATACACCGGGGGAGATGGTGGGAGTTGCAACAGCTGAACTGACTTCAGCACCAAGGCTAGCGGCCATTGAGGGTGTCGAGTTTGATTCACTATGAGAAACACTGGGGATTGTTTGTGGAACAGTTGGGCTGGTCTCTGCAGCATAGGTGACCAATGAGACTGTTGTTTCTGGCTCCCCAGGGGAAACAGTCAGAGTTGTCACAGCTGAACTGACTTCTGTCCCAGAATGGGTGACCCAAGAGGCCGTGGTCTTTAGTTCATGTGAGTAATCAGTCAGAGTTGGAAAAGTTGTACTGGTCTCTGCCCCAGAACTAGTGGCCTGTGAGGTCACCACCCCTAGTACACCAAGTGAGACACTTGTAGCTCGAACAGCTGAACTGGATTCTGCCTCAGAACTTGTGGCAGCTGAGGGCATGGTGTCTGATTCACTATGGGAAACATTGGGAGTTGTTTTGGGAACAGTTGGGCTGGTCTTTTCAGGATGAGTGACCAATGAGACTGTTGTATCTGGCTCCCCAGAAGAAACAGTCAGAGTTGGAACAGATGAACTGGCTTCTGTCTCAGAAGGAGTCACCCATGAGGCTGTGGTCTCTAGTTCATGTGGGAAATCAGTCATAGTTGTAAAAGTTATACTGGTCTCTGCTCCAGAACTGGTGACCAGTGAGGTCATCATATCTGGTAAACCAGAAGAAACAGTTGTAGTTGGAATAGGTGAACTTGCTTCTGCTCCAGGACTGATGGCCATTGAGGGTGTGGTATCTGATTCACCATAGGAAAAATTTGGAGTTGTTCTGGAAACAGGTATGCTGGTCTCTGTGGAATGAGTGACCCATGAAGCTATTGTATCTGTCTCACCAGAGGAAACAGTCAGAGTTGGAACAGCTGAACTGGCTTCTGTACCAGAATGGGTGACCGATGAGGCTGTTGTCTCTGGTTTGTGTGGGGAATCAGTCAGAGGTGAAAAAGTTGTACTGGTCTCTGCCCCATGACTGGTGACCAGTGATACTTCCCCCCCTGATACTCCAGGGGAAACAGACAAAGTTGGAATTGCTGAACTTGTCTGTGACACAGGATGGGTAACTGATGACGCTGTTGCATCTGGCTCACCAGTGGAAACAGTCAGCATTGTAACAGCTTTCCCGACTTTTGTCCCAGAATGGGTGACCCACGAGGCTGTGGTCTCTGGTTTGTGTGAGGAATCAGTCAGAGTTGGAAAAGTTGTACTGGCCTCTGCCCCAGAACTGGTGACCAGCGAGGTCACCATCCCTGAGACAGTCGGAGTTGGGATGGCTGAACTGGTCTGTGCTCCAGAATGGGTAACCCATGATACTGTGTTTGCTGATTCATCAGGAGAAAGAGTCAGAGGTGGAATAACTATACTGGCATCTGTTCCAGAACTAGTGGCTTTTGAGGTCACCATATCTGATACATCAGGGGGGAGAGTGGGAGTTACAACGGCTGAATTGGCTGCCATCCCAAGGCTGGTGGCCATCGAGGGTGTGCTGTCTGATTCACTATGGGAAACATTGGGGATTGTCCTGGGAACAATTGGGCTGGACTCTTCAGGATGGGTGACCAAGGAGATTGTTGTATCTGGTTCTTTCAGGGACTCAACCAGAGTTGAAAAAGTTGTACTGGTGTCTGTCACAGAACTAGTGACCATTAAGGTTACTGAAGCTGGTACATCAGGTGAGACTGTCATCGTCGGAATGGCTGAACTGGCTTCCACTCCCAGGCTGGTGGCTGTTGAAGATGTAGTGTCTAATTCGGTATGGGGAAAACTCCAAGTTGTTCTGGAAACAGGTGTCCTTGTCTCTGAGGAATGCTCCCATGAGGCTGTTGTATCTGGCTCACCAGGGGAGGCAGCCAAAGTTGGAACAATGGAACTGGCTTCTGTCCCAGGATGGGTGACCCACGAGGCTGCTGTGTCTAGTTCGTGTGGAGAATCAGTCACAGTTGAAAAGGTTCTATTAGTCTCTTCCCCAGGACTGGTGACTACTGAGATTTCTACCCTTGATACACCAGGGGAGAGAGCCAGCGTTGGAATGTCTGAACTGGTCTGTGCTCCAGGATGGGTAACCCATGAGACTACTGTATCTAACTCACCAGGAGAAACAGTTAGAGTTTGATCAGTTGGGCTGGTCTCAGCCCCAGAGCTGGTATCCAGTGAAGTCACCAGCTCTGGCACACTAGAGAAGACAGTTGGAGCTGGAATGGATGAGCTGTTCTGTGCTTCAGGATGGGTGACCCATGAGGCTTCTGTCTCTTGTTGATCTTGGGAATCAGTCAGAGTTGGAATAACCATACTCGTCTCTGCCTGAGGACTAGTAACCAGTGAGGTCACCATCCCCGGTACATCAGGGGAGACAGTCGGAGTTGCAACAGTTGAACTCACTTTTTCCCCAGAACTGGTAGCTGCTGAGGGTGTGCTGTCTGAGTCACTATGGAAAACATTCAGAGTTGTGCTGGAAACAGTTGAGCTGGTCTCTGCAGGATAGATGGCCCATGAGGTTGTGGCCTCTGGCTCAGCAAGGGAAACAATCAGAGTTGGAACAGCTGAACTCATTTCTTCCCCAGAACTAGGGGCCAGTGAGGACATGGTCTCTGATCCTTTATTGAAAATAGGTGGCATTGTCCTGGGAGCTGCTGTGCTGGTCTCTGCTCTAGGTCTGGTGACCAACAAGGTTGTCATCTCAGGAACATCAGGGGTAACATCTGGGGTTGTGATGGTCACTCCAGTTGTGCTTGTGCTGGCCATTTTACTGGAAGTCATGAGACGAGTCAGCATTCTTGAAGTGGGAGTAGAGACTCTGGCGGTCAAAGGCGCTGTAGCAGTTGTCTCTGCCCTCTCCGTCCCTCCTGTTGGTAGTCCTGTGAATTGTGGGATGGACACACAATTTAGACAAAATTATTACCACTTACTGGACTGGCAGTAGTTTATTTTTTCTCCACATGAGGAAAGAGAGAGAAATGTCTCCGCCCAGGATGTGCCTGCGATGCTTCTGGAATGGGAAAAGGAATTGTGATTGCCATTCCCCTGCCCTACCTGCCTCATCTTAGGCTGTAACTCCTCCATGAATTCTTGAGCACTCTCTGGTCCCCTCCAGCCTCTGAGCCTTTGTTCAAGCTGTTTTCTCTGCCTGACATGCCTATTTCTCCTCAGACTTCTTATGTTCAGCCCCTTTTCAAATGCCAGCTGAAATTTACCTTTACAAATTCATGTAAGAATTCATATGTCTCTCCTCAATATTTCCTTTTCATACTGTCTGAACCAGTACTGTACCACCCCTCACAGTCTTCTTGGTAATAGCTATTAATGTCTGACTGCTTGGCATACACTACGTTCTCAACAACTATTTTTTGAATGAATGAATGAGTGAATGAATTAATGAAAGAATACATGGATGGATGTATACACAGGCAGGTCTCCTCTGACTTAAGAGTGATCATGTATCATTGTGCTTAAGAATGGGGAGGTCTGGAATAAGGCAGTCTTGCACTAAGATTCAGGCTCCACCACTAAATAGATGTTACCAAATCCTGCTCGACATCCATTTTCTCATTTATAAAGTAGGGATAGGTACAGTGGCCGTCTCAGTGTGCTGATAACAATGCACCAAGCAAAGTGCCTCGTGGCTCACAATAAGACAGTGCTGCTACTACTGCTGCTGTCTGCTATTGCTACTGTTGTTACCACCACTGCTACTACTACTACTATTACTACTATCACTTCTGCCACCTACCGTTACTGGTGTTACTACTACTCTTACCACCTATCACTGTTGTTATTACTACTCTTACTACCACTACTCTTACCGACTGTTACTGGAGTTATTGCTACTGCTACTACTGCTGCTGTCTGCTATTGCTACTGTTATTACCACCACTGCTACTAACTACTACCACTATTACTACTATCACTGCTGCCACCTACCGTTACTGGTGTTACTACTACTCTTACCACCTATCACTGTTGTTATTACTCCTGTTACTACCGCTACCCTTACCGACTGTTACTGGAGTTATTGCTACCACTACTACTGCTGCTGCATATTATTACTACTGTTACTATTGCTTCTACTTTTTGTGTTTCTACTACAAAATAAACCTATACTGCATTGAATTTGCCAGGAAATACAAAAGCTGACTGGAATTCAGCCTTGAAGAAGAGTCAAGTGGCATTGGCTGAGACAGAAAGCACTGACCAGGGCTTCAGAAAATGGTTCCCAGGAGGAAGGAAGAAGTACGTGGAGCTTCTCTATAAAGACCACAGAGTCTTCGGGAGCTTGGCATAGGGGGAGGGACAAAATGAAGGAGATTTTGACTCTGATGATAAAGCAGTGTCCCTTTGCTGCTCAGAATATCCTAAAAACCATATTTCTGAGAGCAGATATCCTAAAGAGCTTCATATGTATTTGATGATGATGATGAGCAATGGCAAAGCACTTCACAAGATTTTTCTCTTTGAACACACAGAAAGCTATTAATAACTATTTTCAGTAAGTTAAACTGGGTCAAATCTAACCTTGAACTAAACTTACTCAGCATGCTATGAGAAAAGGAAAATTGGTAATATCCACCTAGTAAACATTAGACAAAGATCCAGCTAAGACAGGGAAGCCCATGGCAACTGCACACAATTCTTTCTTTAAATAAACAAACCTTTCGTCTCTCTAACATAGGAAATAGGCCACAAGTGGGATTACTGGGAAGTAAGTGAACTTGAACCTATCTCTAAGACTAGCAGATGATGCGATGATGGAGGGACACAAACTGGTCCTGTGGTGCCTCCATGTGCTGCTTCATTGTGTATCTTTGTGATGTGCTCTATGATGCCATCAGTCCCTGCAGGTGAGGGCAGGGAAGAAACCTACGGTAACTCATCTCATCCAGAAGGACAGCACTGTCTAAATGGATCCACTTAATTCACTGTACAACTCAATTCATCTCAAGTCCATCTGTATGGACTTGAGCCAGTGCTATACGCCATAAGTGGCCACATTTGTCCATGGATCCATTCATCCACCCATAGATTCATCCATCTATCCCTGTATCTACCCATCTATTCTTCCTTCGTTCCATCTTTCTTTTCATCCTGTCTTCCTACCATGCATCTGTCCTTTTATGTGTCCTTTCTCCTTTCTTTTCACCTTTTCATCACTCTTTTCCTCAATCTTTACTTCTTTGAATCCTCCTTTCCACCCATTCCTCCTCCTTTTCATCCTTTCCTCCTTCTATACATCCATCTCTTCTTCCTTCCATATACCCAGCCTTTCTTCTTTCATTTATCCATCTCTCCATTCTTCCTTTCATCCTTCCACCCATCCAACCACACTTTTACCTTCTTACCATCCAACTCATGACTTCCTTACTAAACATCCATGACTCAACTACGGAGCCATGCTTCAAGACATGAGTCAATAGCCATCGATGTGTCTAACTTTGCTGTGAATTGTTAAAACTAGTGTGAGAGAGAATCAAGTCATCCTCCTACAGATATTTAGTGAAGCAGCTGCAATAGTTGGAGGGTCTCTTTGGACTAGTGTCCAGAATAAAAGTGGGGATCAAATTTAACTTTTCAGAAGAATAGTACCCCTCCTTCATCTACTGATCTCTTGGAGGTGGCCTTTCCCCTCCTGGGCTTGGGTCCCTCCCATGTCCAAAAGGACTTTGTTCCCTTGATTTTCATTTGCACACCATTTTCTTTCATATTTCCCTTCCCTTTGACACTGTTCTCAATATAGAAACAAGCTCAACTCAAAGGCGGAATCCCTCCCCTGTATCTCTGTATTATTTTAGGTGTTGTTCTAGCCCTCTACAGCTCACTGCTATTCCCTTCATTAGCATCCCTGAGGACCCACACGTTGTCAAAGAATTTCTCAACTCATTTCAATCGGGCTGTCCTGTAGCATTTGACAGAACGGACCATTCCTCCTTCCTAAAACTCTCCCTTCCTATGGATTCTGTGATTCCAGAATCTCTAGCTTTTCCTCCTACCTCTCTGAGCAGTACTGCATAGACTAATGGTTAAGAACATGGATTCCTAGTGGCACGTGGTCTGAGTTCTTATCACTTGCCAGCTTTGTGATCTTGAGCTGCTGTTAACGTTTCTGCATCAGTTAACTCATCTGTAAAATGGGATCATAATAGTCCCTTCTTCCAAGTGAATTCCAATGAGAATTAAATAACAGGACAGTGCTTGACACAGAATAAGTGCTCTGTGAACATTTTTTATAATTATTATTATCAGCAGCAGCATTATTAGTAATGTTAGAACATCTATCATGGTACCATAATTATTCAGCTGGTTGCTTATTTATCTTTGTCTCCCCAGTACCTCTTTCAGTGCCTGGAACTGAGGATAGATATACAAATGTTTGCTAAAAGAGTTTCTGGTGCAGTAATAAACCCCTAATTAACTCATTTTTTACCTCTCAGGAAAGGAACCATTTCCTATGAGCCCCAAATATTGGGAGTATAGGAGCTGTGGGTCCTTACTTGTCAACTGTGTTGAGTGTGGAAGAACCTGAGAAGAACTTGTCACTATTGCCAAGTCAACACTTTCTGTCATTCTGGTATCCATAACGGGTGATAAAGATGTCCTGACTGACGGAGAAGACGTCTCCAAAGTGCTGGCCATAACCAAGGGTCCTTCAGCAGTACTGCTCTCTGCCTCGGGGTCGGTGTCCGCTGTAGGTGGGGTAGCAGTTGAGGAAGTAATCTCATGGAGCACTGGGCTAGTTGAAGAGTGAGTGGTAGTGAAGGTTGAAAAGGGGGATGGTGTTGAAGCTGATGAAGGTAGGCTCTCTGCAATGGTGGACATAGTAACATCCCCAAGACCTGATACTGTCCTAAAAAATGAACTGACTGAGAAGGGAGCTGAGCTGGCACGAGGAACTCCAGGTGTGGTAAAGGAAGCCATAGACTCTGACAGAGAAGGTGTCAATGTGTTGGCCAAAATCGTCTCAGCGGAAGATACCATATCTGTGCTTAGGTGATGAGTACTTTCAGATACAGGAACAGAAGGGGAGGAGGTCAACGAAGTGGACCCTGTAATGGGGAGAGAAGCAGAAAAGTGGGTGATGGTTTTCATGGGGATTTCAGTATACGGGAAAGAAGGAAGGTGGTAAGGGACAGATATTTTCAGAGAAGAGGTGGCATCAGTCTTGGGATTCATTGAAAGATGAGTGGGGAAAGGAGAAGAAAGTGTTTTTCTGGGTGTAGATGAGCTGGGGTCCAGGGCTGTGCTTGGTTCCTTCTGTCCACGAGTCAAACGAGAAAGAAGTTTTCTCTCAAAAGCTGTAGTCTCAGAGAAGGAAGGAGGTGATGAGGAAATAAATGTCTCTTCCATGAATGGGGCAGTGAATGCTGAATACGTGAGTGTGGACGGCTCAGAGAGGATTGTGAAAGAAGAGGGGAGATCATATCCAGAATTCTTGGTCAGAGCAGTGTTAACTGCTGTGAAAGAGGAAGGAAGGATTTCCGCTGTATCTGAAGAGGGTTCCGAAGTGGGCACGTTGGCAGATGTGGTGGAGGCAGGAAACGAAGAGGAACTTGCTATCGTTGCCAAGCTTGTCTGGAAAAAGTGTGAGGGCACTGAGGAAAATGGAAAGCTGCTTTCTCCTGGAGAGGGATGGAATGTGCGTGACACAGGGCCAGGACCTGCACTGAAAAGAGAGATCTTCTCTGAGTGTGAAAAACGGTGAGTAAAAAAGGAGTGAGGCTGTGACGAGAAAGAGATGGTTGGTCGGTCCGAGGGCCGGGCGCCTTGGGAGGTGGCCTCAGGGGGACCTGTTGGGCTGGGGACGGTCGGGTCCGCCGCTCCTGGCGTGCTGGCGGCGGGAGGGGGCCAGGCGGTGCTGCCCGCGCGG